TCACACGGTGAGTAGGAACTATGGACTATATATAGTCAATGGTAGGAACAGAAAGTGACACATTGGAAAATCGAGTTTAGCATCATCCGTAAACCTCTGTTACAATTACCCACTGCAGTTGTGTTTTTTTACTTTACACTTTACACAACCGCCATTGAAGCGCCGTCAATGAGTGGAACCTTGTTTCTAAGCTATTCTATTGGCGACGATTATTAATAAATTTAAGATTCCCAGCCGTATACAACACTGATTCAAGGTCGTCTTTCTGGTTATCAAAACTCAAAAACAATTTTATGCACAAAGAATCTCTGGTTCCTGACCTGGATGAAGCCTAGTTATTTAATTTAATTTACGGTTACACTATATTTAGGGATGGACGAGATTGGATTTTTAGTTCGAGACGAGATTTTTTATTTCTCATAAAATTTCGAGACGAGATCGAGACGGGATTTCCCTTCTCATACACAACGGGAAATGCACGTTCAAAATTTTTTCCTGATTTTGTAACATTGTTAGATGACTGTTTAAATACAAAAATAATGATAATAGGCAAGAATATTTACAATCTTTTATTAAAAAACATCAGCATAACATTTTTTTTATTAATCACGCCTAACTTATTAAAAATGCCTACGATTAGGAAACATAGTGATATCAGTTAGGATAGAGTTCAACTTATCCTAAAACAAAATAAATCATAAAATAAAAGCAATATTAATTTTTATAAAATAATTACTTGTTTTGACTTTTTTTAGTAGGGTCATTCCATATCAAATCAACAAGGCTCTCAACCTGACCATCTTGGATTTTGATGAAATTTTGCATACTTGTAGTATTTTGAGTCCTGAATCCAAATATGCTTTTTAAAAAAATCTATTTTTTATAGTTTTTATGATATAAATATTTGAAAATGGTAAAAATTGGCGTTTTTTACCGTGCGCGCAAATCTAAAATGTTGTCTAGGATGAGTTCTATTGGTCCTATCAAGTTGTACAATGGCTCATTTTAAAGAGGATTCAAATGCCTTTAATCTGATACCAAACTCAACCTACTTTGGTAAAAATTAATTTTTTTTGAAAACTTCAAAATATGTTTTTGAAAAAAAATTTAAGATAGTGTTTTTTGAAAAATTTGAAAATTACATATGTTAAAGAATGTAATCTAGTAAGTACATTATACAAATTTCAAAATGGGATGATAATGGGATCAGCAGTTATGATAAAAATACTTGACTATGGTTCACTGTTTCCAAGCGTTTTCCAAGCGTACGTACTAACCTAAATGTATCATTTAATAAGAGTCTATTAACTATATGATTAAAATTAAAAATATCTGCCTATATTTGAACTATGTATGTCATATTTTGCTATAATATAAACTAAATCTAGCAAATAAACAACATTATTCAAGTTAACAGAGTTTCCGTCAACCTTTGAACATGAGGGCTACTTTGAACAAACTTTCCACTTTTCATATTTTATTTTTTTTCATATTAATTTTATCTTTAAATGATAATGTTTATTATAATTTTCTATTCCCAGATAAATACTCTACTAAAAAAAATTTTAATAGTGCATACTATGGTTCTGCAAAAAATTAAAAATACTTATTTTTCACTGACATTTTTTAGTAAAAAAAAGTTGTCCAAACTTCCATGTCTACAGCAAACCCAGTAAGTTTATGATTTATGACTTAAAACCATAATTGAATAGCCCATTTATCTGGGATTAAGAAAATACCTGCTTTGATTTCTTTATAAGCAGTAATAACTTTAAAAAAAGAAAGACAAAATTACCCAATTTGCTGACCCTTACTTATGGCGTCGCGACCCTTAGATCTGGAGCAAAATTTCCCGGACATGAAAAAGAAATACTTGGGTTTTAAGTGTTATTTTTGAAAATGATTTTTCTAATGAAAACAGATGTTTTGAGCTTTAGTTATTATTAGCAGCCATAATCCAATTCCTTTATTTGACTGCTATGATATTTAAAAATACCCTTGCAAAATTAAAAAATAACCGGACGGACATTTTGAAAATTCTCCGTAACTTTTTTTAATTTTTGACATATCAAAATAGAAGTTATACAGCAATGTGGTATGTGGTTTGTGGTATTTAAATCCACAAATCAGTTTTCACTAAAAAAATTTAATTGTTAAAGTGAGAATACATTATTTATACTTATGAGCAGACATTTCCCCAAAACTAAATAATTAGGCTATCATGGAATATTATCTATGAATCAATAATAAGGTTACTACAGGATTTATATAGATTGATCACAGTATATTGTGTGACAAAATTATCAATGCTTGTTTGTCTCTCTCTCTTGTCACGAGAGGAAAGACAGACAAACATGGACCTATGGGTTTTGGCTCAGGTTCCTGAGTATTTTCCAGTTGTATTGCAACGATTTACTGTAATTAATCTTTAAGTCTGCCTTTTCACTAGGCTGGAGACACTAGTCAGCCACTAGATCTGTGCAAAACCACATTGTGAAGCACTTTACGTTTACACTATCAGGTCGCAGCGACCCACCTCGGCAGTAGCGACCCGGTCTTGAGCAGTTGTAATTTGTTTGACAGGTACACAGGTCTAACTTATGTTTGTCAGTCTTTCCTCTTGTCTCAAGACCGAGTCGCTACAGCCGAGATGGGTCGCTGCAACCTGATAGTGTAAACGTAAAGTGCTTCACAATGTGATTTTGCACAGATCTAGTGGCTGACTAGTCTCCAGCCTAGTGAAAAGGCAGACTTAAAGATTGATTAGGCCTACAGTAAATCGTTGCAACACAACTAACTGGAAAAGACTGAGGAACCTGAACCAAAACAAATTGGTCCATATTTGTTCAAAGGTTGACGGAAACTCTGTTAACTTGAATAATGATGTTTACTTGCTTTATTTAGTTTATATATAGCAAAATATGACATACATAATTCAAATATAGGCAGATATTTTTAATTTTAATCATATAATTAATAGACTCTTATTTAATGATACATTTAGGTTAGTACTTACACGCTGTATGCGCCGAAATGCTTGGAAACAGTGAACCATAGTCAAGTATTTTTATCATAACTGCTGATCCCATTATCATCCCATTTTGAAATTTTTATAATGTACTTACTAGATTACATTCTTTAACATATGTAATTTTCAAATTTTTCAAAAAACACTATCTAAAATTTTTTTTCAAAAACATATTTTGAAATTTTCAAAAAAAATTAATTTTTACCAAAGTAGGTTGAGTTTGGTATCAGATTAAAGGCACTTGAATCCTCTTTAAAATGAGCCATTGTACAACTTGATAGGATTAATAGAACTCATCCTAGACAACATTTTAGATTTGCGCGCACGGTAAAAAACGCCAATTTTTACCATTTTCAAATATTTATATCATAAAAACTATAAAAGATAGATTTTTTAAAAAGCATATTTGGATTCAGGACTCAAAATACTACAAGTATGCAAAATTTCATCAAAATCTAAGATGGTCAGGTTGAAAATAATTTTTTATTGGTTGATTTCATATGGAATGACCCAATAAAACATTCCTCACACTGCTTACACTTAACAAAACTTCTCAATAATGTTTATTAAAGTAATATTATTAAAATAATTAAAGTAGTATTTACATTTAAAGAATTAATTAAATAAGAACGCCTTCGCAAAGGAAACGTAACTACAACACGCTCCTGTATTGCGGGTATTGCATTGACTTTCTGCAGGCGTTTTAATTTTTTTTTTTTTTATTCTCGTCTCGATAAAAATCTCGGTCAAAAAGAAATCTCGTCTCGTGTAACGAGATTCAAAATTTCCCGAAAATTTCCCGAAATTTCGAGACTTGACCATCCCTAACTATATTATTCCACTTGCGATTAATTAAATCCTTCATGTAAGAAACACGTTTTTAATCTCACTTGGATGGGATTTGCCTTCAAAAATCAAAAATGGTTGCGGTATTTGTAAACAACATTTGTAAACATATCGGTGACAGCTAGAAAAAATAATCTTGATCCGAACAGCTGTTCGTTATTTCATAGATGATTATGTGATAAAAATTGGACGAAAACTTGACAAAAATCGCACAAAACTGCATTTTTGAACGTCCGTAATTTTATTAACAAATTAGTGAGGCCATATTTTAATGGCTAAAGACACTCTCGCTAATCCAGTGAATACATTAAAATGACTTGGATCTTGATAGGTACTCTCGTTTTCCTGGAGAAGATTGCGTAAAATGCCATCTTGAGTGTTACAGACAGACAGAAAGACAGACAGACAGACAGAAATTTAGATGAGACGTGTTTCGGCTTTTTTAATGTATAAAACCTAAAAATAACCTAAAAATTTATTATTCTGAGCAATGTACAGACAAAACTCTAATTTTATTTATATAGATTTGTTTTTTTTTTAGCTCTACAAAATGGTTTGGAAAGAAATTGCTGAATGTTATGTTTTTTGGGTCAAAAATGGGAAAAACCTATTTTTACCCCATAAAACCCCCGTAAACCCCCGTTCCCATAGTCCGATCATGCTGGTTCGTTCAAGTTTATCCCGCCTTACACCTTCATACCAAGTTTTATCAAAATCGGACAAATATTACTCAAGTTATCGTGCGGATGGATACATATATATACTTATACTTATAAGTATATAAGTGAACGAATGGTGTTTTCGGCCTCTAGGAACATCAAAATGAGAAAGTAAATTGGTCCCGGGCCTAGGTCTTACCATGAGACCAACGGTAATAGCTACTTCCCTATAGGGAAATTCGCTAAAACGATTTTTACTCCCTTAAGAGTAAAAATGCCACTTAAGATCCACAACGCATGCATTAAAAACGCCTTTTTTTACTGCAGTATGACAAAAACAATTTAATATATACCCTTGATGACTCCGCTCAATTTTGTGGATGCCTCTGCGAACGCCACCTAGTTTAACATATTTGTGAAGGTGTTATAATAATATTTATAGCTGGTGTTTATGTCCTGGTTGCTAGGCGGGGTGTTGTGAAGCTCTTAGCTCATTGGCTGACAAGTTCCCCCCCTCCACCTACCCCAAGGCGTGGCACTGCTATCTGAAGCATCTCGCCTCTGATACCAAGTCCTCTGTAAGGTTAGTACTGTAGTACTACATTTAACTATAATCGCTGTTTCAAAATATTAGGTAAGTAGCCTACTGTGCGGTGTAGTTAAATGTACAAGAGAAGAATCTAGGGTTTTGATACAAATGAGGTTTATTTTACGAGAGAAAATGAGAACATGTTTTTATGAGAGGTGATTCGAAAGAATTAACGCAACAATGGAGATTTCCATATGGTCGTGTGATGGGAATTACAGATAGACTGTTAGGAACAAAGATATTTAAATTAATACAAAAACACAAAGACAACTTGCCTAAACATATAGCCTGCTTTGAAAGAGAATTTACCAGTGAGGGGATGTAAAATTGTTTAAATTTCTCACATGTTAAGGGAATAAAAACACTTTGACAGGCTTGTTTGAGCAAAATAAGGTCTTAACATTGAGGTTCCCTTCCTTGGACTTAACATTTGAGCAGTGTTGTTAAGAGATGTTTAAATTTTCATGACACCAACAGAATTTGTTCGCAGCATAAGTTTTGGGTAACAGCTTGAAGTAAATTATCAATAATGGGTGAGGTATTTATTGGTTCATGAGTAGATGTCAGAGAGGTGTTTTTGATCAGAAAATGGCCAGGAGTGATTGCTTCTTTTTGTACCGGGTTAACTAAAAACTTATTAGTTAACTGTAATATGAATGAATAAATGAATTTATTTCCCAACTGACAAAAAATAAATGAATCAAATATTATATTAACCCACTGTTCCACAAATGTATTAATTTCCAATCCAGCATGTCAAGCTTTTTTTCCTTATTTTTGTGTGTGTTTGTTTCAAGTTGCAGAGGCTTTAGGTATCACATTTCTAACTGTTGGGGTTGACTTTGACTTTTAAAGGAAACCTTTTGTATTACAGCATCAAAATGATTTAAATGTACAATCTGTTTAGTAACTTCACACAGGGGCGATGTCTACTTGTACCGGCGTCTAGTTGTACCTGCTGCATTTTGGTGACAGGCGTCTAGTTGTACCTCGTCCAAAGGTGTAGGTACAACTTGACGATGGTGCGGACGTCTAGTTGTACCTACGTCTAGTTGTCTCTACGTCTAGTTGTACCTCTTAAAAATCTACAGGTACAACTAGTCACGTACGCCACCGTCTACTTGTACCTCATACGTCTGCGTCTACTTGTACCTACGACTACTTGTACCTACGACTACTTGTACCTACGACTAGTTGTATCTACGGCTAGTTGTATCTCCCCTTCAACTTGTCACCAGTTTAAGGGATTTATTTTATTTCTTTAAAAATCATACAATCTTACAACAATTTTTTATAAACAACTTGCTACCAAAGCCAGGAAAATTTGGCTTGTCTGCAGCTCATTGAGAAACCCCTGTTCTTGATAACAATGTAGGCCTACTTGTATCCCTTGGTCAGTGCTTATCCATATTACACTTTAGTTTTCCTTATTTCTTGTCAAGATCTGCTATCATTGTTTTTTCCACTTAAACTCTACCTTTCTATCGTCCCCTACGAGCTGTTGGCCCGTCCTACGTACGGGAATCGAGCAGTCCATTAAAACTATATATAGTTATGTCTATTTCTAATTCAAGCTTAGTGTAAGCAGTTCAAAATTTATTGTAAAGAAAAAGCTGCCAATATTAATTAAAACTTGTGATCGTTGTTACTTTCCCAACCTTTCCTCAAAAAGTCGAGTAGTAAAAGATTTTACTACAGATCGGACGCCAGACAACTAACATTCGATAGAGTTTTCAACCGCTCGACCTCAACTTCATTGTACACTTCATTGTTCATTGTTCACTGGGAAATCCATTGTAAACTATAAGAAATGCACACTAATCAATGCAAATACTTTAAGGTTATGTGAAAAAAAATATTTAAAGGAAGCAGCAAAAATAGTAATACATAATTGCTAGGCAGCGGTCTATTGCAATTCATTAAGGATAATAAACTGCTTGTATATTTAATGATATTTATAAATGTTAAAGCGTTTTTCGGTACTAGGGCTGGACAATTTGAATTACAACTATAGCTGCCATTTCGACCCTGGACAGCAATGCGTAGCTTTCAGCCTCCAATTTACGTCTGTAAAACTACTAAAACATCATAGTGCGGTGAACAATATTTGCCAATCATAATCAATTGACTCGGAACACTGCAGTTCCTGATTTCATTAAGGGTATTATTAAAAAGTACTCGTGCAGTAATCAATTAACTACTAAAACATCGTAGTGCGGTGAAAAATATTTGCCAATCATACTCAGTTGACTCGGAACACTGCAGTTCCTGATTTCATTAAGGGTATTATTAAAAAGTACTCGTGCAGTAATCAATTAAACAGGGTAACGAATTGAAGGATAGATACAACTAGACTATAAGGACGCAAAATACGCGTAGGTACAACTAGTCGTAGGTACAACTAGATGTAGGGACTACTAGACGGAGGGACCACTAGTCGTAGGGACTACTAGTCGTAGGGACAAACTGGTCGCATCCGTACAAGCTAGGTGATACTACTTGTCGGTAGGATACACGTCTAGTTGTACCTACGTCTACTTGTACCTACGTCTAGTTGTACCTCCTAAAAATCTGCAGGTACAACTAGTTGGGTGTGCCACCGTCTACTTGTACCTACGTCTAGTTGTACCTACGACTAGTTGTCCCTAGGCCTCGAGGTACAAGTAGACGTAGGTACAACTAGACGGCGGGACAACGAGACGTGGTCCCCTCACACATGATTTTTAACTCAAAACTTGTACTCAATACTAATATCTAATATTTGGTTGTCTGTTTCAGTGCCTCAGGTCTTTTAGGTGTTCTAGTGGCAATGTTAACTGCCTCACCTCTCTCTCTTGACCTGGACGTCCACAACTGGCTGCTACTGCTGGCTGCCAGTATCTATACTGGTATGCAACTAAATACAAATTTAAACATAATTATTTGTACGATTTATTTATAATGATAAAGCATAATAATATTTTATTATGATCAGAGAATCTACTAATGCATTTGTGTGGTTCATGTCTTTCAAATAGTAACCAAATTATATGATTGACTGGTCGAATGGTTGTGAGATTTGTTTAGTGATACATCATTTTTCATTAACAATTTTCAAGTTGTTTTGAAATAATTTTAAAGATACATTTCTATTTTGTTGGAAAGTCTTCTTCTTCTTTGTGTTTTGCATTTAATATCTGCCTTACACAATGAGTTTAGTGATTAGATGTGAAAAAGGTCCTTCATATTTGAATTAATAATGACAACAAGAATAAAAAACAAACAACTAACACTATACAGCTGAACATCATATTTATAAGCGGTGTAATTGTTGGTTTAATTTATTTATAATTAGCTGGCCCGACAGACGTCGTCCTGTCCTAATATGGTTTTATGTCAAATTATCGTTCATTTTCAAGATGAGCTCGTTCGCATGGCTCAATCACGTCCTGGTTGAAGTTCGTTCGCTACGCTCACTCACCTTTTTGTTGCAAGTTAGCCGTTGTCATAAATTTAGGAAAAAATAGTGCTGCACCCTGTTGGTAAACCTGTTAACTTTTTAATGCTATTGAACTTACATCACCTCATAAGGTTAACATGGGAAACTCCAGAGCCACTGGGGCAGAGCCCTTTTGACGAATCTGCACCTAAGTTCACACAAACCATCCTTGAATAATGCTTAATAATGCCTGAAAGTTTCATTACAATCTGTCGAGCGGTTTCCGAGTCCATAAAGGACAAACAAACATAGGCTACACACAATAATTATACATTGGATTTTATATATATAGACAAGTTACTTAGTTATTCATGTGGTTTTTTCCTGTTGATATTGACAAAATGCTGTCTGATGCTAATTTGAGCTACGAATCTATTGCTTTGTTTATCCAAAATGTATCTATTGTTTTGTTTATTCCACAGGATTAGCAACCATGGGATTAAAAGAAAAAGAATTAAATGAGAAAATGGAAAACAAACAGTTGTGGAGTCACTTTCAAGACCCAAAGGTAAACAAGACAGTTCTGAAAAATACAGCTTACAGCACTGTATAAATTTGGTTCTTCTTTTGATGATAGTTTCAAGTTGGTAAATAGTGAGCATTTTGATTTTCAGCCACACCATTAAAATTGTTCTGTTTATTTAGGTATAAGTCTAAATCCTGGTTGTTACCATCCTAAGGTGACATGCTGTTAGAAAGCAAAAAAATCCAATGACAAAATAATTGCAACGAGGTCCACAATTGTTTCTCCTTATGATCAAACCAGCAATCTTTGGATTTTATGATAAGCACCAGCCCTACCCACTCTAACTAGGCTGCCCAATCAGTTATTATAATACACATGTTGTGGTTATAAATACAAATACGGTGTTTGGCTAGCTTTTGTAAGCTGAAAAAGATTGTTAATCAGTCACTTGAACATTGCCTTTTATGATTGATTACAACCAATCTTTGATAAAAGTTTACCTGGATTTGATATGTCCAAAGTAAATATTATTCTGGTTAAACTTATTAGGTATTTTCGTCATGCAATATTATAGGAGATCATCCATAAACCAAAACACTTATGAACTGAAATGCTTATCAATACCAATAGAAATAAGAATATAAAACCACCTCAATGTGTCTTAGACAAAGAAAGAGAAAATAATTGACTGACAGACGAAGGGTGGATAATTGGGGTTGGGGATTTTTTGTTGACTGCTACACAATTCAAACTAACTACAAAGTGATTTACAACGTCTGACATGTTACCAATGAAGCGATGGCAAGATTTTGCTCCTAGAAAACATACTGTATTTCAAAATGAATAATTGCTCTTCATATAGGCCTACATATATAATAGGTAACAATAAGTGTATGTTGTTAGACTTTGGTTTGGATTGAAAGTGTAAACCGGTAACCTTAACATGTGCTTTAGAGTTATATTATTGTTATTATCTTATTCTTACCATTTTAAATCCTGAATAAACAGCCTTCATTTTTACCAAAATCTTGGTCATCAGAAACAAACCCCCCCCCTTTATTTTGGTTGATAAAGGTTCTTTTGTGTAAATAACCAAAATGTTGAAATGCCTCAATGTTTGGGAACGCTATTTGTTTGTTGTAGATGGCTGGCTTAAGTGAGTCACTTCTGCAACACCTTGTGCGTATGTTGTGTGTGTTTGTGAGAGTTCTGGAGGAAGCTCCTGGACCTAAGAACACCAACCCATCACCAGTCAAGCGGCGACCTACACGCTCCTCCTCCCCAGCCAAGCTCACCCCCTCTACAGGTACCTCAAGAACAAGCTACTATACCCATAGCGTTTGTTCAATGCATTAAATGTAGCAGGATCTGAATTTGGTTGTTTAGGTCCTGAATATGTTGTCTTTTTGTTAACATTTTTTTTTTGTTCCAGGTAGAGTTTAATATTAATATAAAGTATTTAGTTTCTGCACCCTTGTCTGCAATAAGTTTTAGTAAGACAAGACCAACATGGTATTAGACTTATTCACCTTGGATAGTTTTATCAAGTTTATTTAAAATCTTTAACAAAATTTAAAAAGTTTAAATTATTAAATCAACAAGTGTAACTTTTTTGAATATATCAGGAGTCTGTATTAATTAACTTATTATAACTCTATTTGTACATGACTGATAATGTAGTTTTTAAAGTGATATCACTGTATGACTGTTGTGGTATTTTTTACATGATTGTTCTCTTCACATTTGTAGGTGAGAAAGACGCTGGGAAGGAAGAGAAAGGAAAGTTTGGTAATTTCACCCATCTTCCTCACTACAGCAAACTTTTTGATAACCTACGATCTGCTTATACCAATCACAAGGTACCAATTACAAGTATCTTAATCATTGTATTCTTTAAATAGAATGGTAAAAATCATATAATGCTACAGCCACACAATGTGTGTCATCTCATAAAAACCTTAAAAAATACTGATGTGTCTTATGGCAATTGTACAATTTAGACCAATTTCTAAGAAAGGGTAAATTTGAGATTCAACCAACAAAATTGGTTAAGCAAATAAAACATTTCTTGTTAAGTTATGTCTACCATATTATGGAAATTGAGCCAACATCAAGTATTTCATAAGTTATGAAAAATAAGAATAAGAGTCAAGATAAGTTAATATTGTACTCAGGTACAATCCTGATAATGAGCGAGTTGGTCAAGTGGTAGAGTGTGGGACTTTCTGAGGTCCGGGTTCAAATCTTGCCAAATCACCAATGCATTTTATCTAAGTGATTTATGTATCTATTAATTTCAACAGTCAAAAATCAATACCGTACATAGATATGATAATGCCGCAACGCCTAGGTAATGAAAAACTAATGATGTGAACGAGTAATGTAAAAAACGATTCCGGGATCGTGCCTAGCTTCCTAAGGGAAAAAATCCTGATAATGAACTTGTCCTCGATGTGCAAAGTAATAAGAGATTGCGAGGTGTGCAAACTTAAGCTTTTCTGAGTCTGGCCTCCAGCTTTTTTTGAGCCAAGCTATTGTATAAATAATGTATAAATAACAAACTTTTTTATAGCAAAACGTTTTTAAACGCACTAAAAAGTAGAAAATAATTTATAAATATGTAGAGAGTATAAATACCTGTAATATTTAAAACAAAAAACGTGGGGTGCATGCAATAGATAATTTACAATTACCTTCACCTATTGAAATAATGTATTATTATCAATTGCATGCATCCCACGTTTTTCGTTTTAAATCTTACAGGTATTTATACTCTCTACATATTTATAAATTACTTTCTACTTTTTAGTGTGTTTAAAAACGTTTTGCTATAAAAAAGTTTTTTATTTATACATTATTTTCTACTTTTTAATTTTTAATGTGTGTGGATGTTAAATATATGTCAAGCATCTATACCAGATTAAGACAGAGGCATGTGGGAAATCTAAGGTTTATTTGAGGTTCTCTTCATATAATTATGTATTAGATTGAATGTATGGCCTACCTACTAACTATAAATATATCAATCTATTTAATTTATTGTTTACTTAATAAAATAAATACATTGGTATCATACACCTTTAAATCTGCAATCAGATTTTTCATCTTTATTTTGAAATGTTTGTATGGGAGCATAACCTGTACCTCTTAACCTCTGCTCTTCGAACTGTCAAATTTAAGTATTTACATCTGACTTAAATTAATTGATATATTTACATTCTTTCAAAATGTAAACATGGAAAATTTGGAAGCCCATGGGGCGTAGCCCAAGGGAAATATGAAAATTAAATGCTATAATATTGCATTGTCATCCATTTGTGAGCTATGTTTCAAATTTCAAGTCTCTAGCTCATCGGGAACTTCGTTTAAAATTGATATCAAGATTTGTAGGAAAGCGAGCTAATAAAAACAAGCCCATGGGGCGTAGCCCAAGGGAAATATGAAAATTACATGATATAATATTGCGTTGTCATCTATTTGTGAGCTATGTTTCAAGTTTCAAGTCTCTAGCTCATCGGGAAGTATCAAAATTTGCAAGAAAGCGAGTTAATAAAAACACGCCCATGGGGCGTAGCCCAAGGGAAATATGAAAATTAAATGATATAATATTGCATTGTCTTCCATTTGTGAGCTACGTTTCAAGTTTCAAGTCTCTAGCTCATCGGAAAGTTAGTATAAAATTGATTGCAAAGTTTGTACCGGACAAGAAAGCGAGCTAATAAAAATGTTTTAATAAGCTATATGATAATCATCAACTCACACTATGTGGCTTATTTGTACATGTCTCTTGCGGTCGCGGGGACATCATCATCATCTCCCTTAATTGCTATAACATCGTGAGTTTTTTACCGTGCAATCTTCATTGCGACACTTTCAATTGTTGTTGTTGTTGTTGTGTGCAGACGCAGCTGGAATGTGGTGACAAGATGGCAGGACTGCTAGGCTCAGTACTACTTTGTATCAGTCAAGTCTTGGAATTCTCAACCCTGGCTGAGACAGGCAGGTGTGCTGAGGAACTCTTGCTATATTTACGAGTTGTTGTTTCATTGGAACCAACCGCAAGTGTTGCTACGGTGCAACAGGTAAATATTGCCCTTCTTGTATGCAAGGCCGGGAATGATAAAGTTATTTATTTTAAATGTAAATCTTTTTCAATTGTTATGTTCAAGATGCCAAGAAAAGCTTTATTGGATTTTCTGGTTTTAAAAACTCTTTTTAAATAATTTATAAACGGTATACTTTATTATGTATTTTAAGGCACACACTTATTTCCACCTTATAAATCACAACTTTCAGATTTCATCTAGTTGAGATTTGATGTACAGTATAGTCTACACTTTACAATGTCAGATTTTAGTCCCAATATCAGGATAGAGAGAAAAGTAAGATTAAGTAAAGAGAGTATCACAGGTTTGAAATTAATTGTGAGTCTGTTGTGATGACAGTGTAATCACGAATAGTCATGCTTGAGAAAACCCAATGTGAATATCCTCATTTTGATAATGTTTCCAGTTCCTATAGGTGATAAATATTTTATTTGTTGTATTTTGCAGCTGTTGAAGAGTCTGTTTGGGTCCAACCGTGTAGCAGCTTGGGAGGAGGAAGGGAAGATGTCCCTGCCTGAGCAACACTCTCCCTCCCATTGCAACACCACCACCACCACACTGGGCTTCTATGATCTCATACTTCGCAGGTTTCTTCAACAAAACACATCACCTACAGAGTCTGACATCCTGCCTAACAAGTAAAGCAAGTCACCTTTTCCCTTGATTCTATTGATCTTCATGATCATAAATGTATCTACAAACTAATACTTAAAGTTTTCTTAGTTTTAGCGAATTTCCCTATAGGGAAGTAGCTATTACCGTAGGTCTCATGGTAAGACTTAGGCCCGGGACCGATTTACTTTTTCATTTTAATGTCCCCAGAGGCCAAAAACACCATTCGTTAAAATTTTTATATATGTATATATATATATATATATAGATATATATATATATATAGATTTATATATATATATATGTGTCCGTGAACACGATAACTTGAGTAATTTTTATCCGATTTTGATGAAATTTGGTTTGAAGGTGTAAGGCGGGATAAACTTGAATGAGTTCGCGATCCAGCATGATCGGACCATGGGAACAGGGTTTTATGGGGGGTTTTATGGGGTAAAAATTGGTTTTTCTCACTTTTTACCCTCAAAACACAAAATTTCCCAATTTTTCTCCAAACCTTCTTAAAGAGCTTAAAAAAACAAACAATTCAGTATATCAAAGTGTTTTTGTACGGTTATTGGTTACGGAGAAAACTAAAAAAATTGTAAATTTAAAATTCCCATGTTATTCTTATGGAGAATATTGTAAAATGTTGTAGTTTGCTTGTTTATGGATATATTTTGATCAAACTTGGCAAATTTATTTATTTTATAGTAAGCTATCAATATTTTACTAAAAACACACTACTTTATTAGTTTCCTTGTAGCAGCAAACCTAGGTACTCGTTAAACCTAATGTTATTTAAATAGATCAATTGAAAATCAATTCGGCCAAATGGAAATTCGCTTAGATGGCAGGTTTGCTGCGACGGGGGTATATTTTTAATTACTTTCTTAATCAAACAAGTACATTAAAATAACCACTATATTTTCTAAGTTTGAAAATATACTGGTTCTGAGTTTTATTTTCTTCTACAGTATTTAGTTTCAGCAAATTCCCCATGTAAAAACAATAATAAGCTATTACCGTAGTACTCATAGTAAGACCTGGACCCAGGATCGATTTACTTTTTTGTTTTGAGATCCCTAGAGGACAAAAGCACCATCGGTGCAAATTCATATATATTTATATTTCATTTATATAATATATGTAAATATATGTGTTTGTCCGTTAGCAAGATAACTCAAGCAAAAATGATCCGATTTTGATTAAATTTTGTATAAACATGTAAACCTACATTTATTCTAATGAGTTCGCGAACGAGCATGATCGGACTATGGGAACGGGGGTTTTTATGGGGTAAAAATAGGTTTTTACCATTTTTGACCCTACAAACACAAAATTTCACAATTTCTTTCCAAACCATTTTGTAGAGCTTAAAAAAAACAAATAATTTAGTTTATTGAAGCGTTATTATGCGCCAAATGATAACTGAGAAAATTCAAAAAATTTTAAATGTCTATGTTATTTTTAAAGGGGAACAAGTCAACTGTTGTAGTTTTGCTTGTTTATGAACATATTTTGATCAAACTTGGAAAATACATTCATTTCTTACTAAACTATTAACATTTAAAACAAATGTTTGTTGTAATCTTTACCCTCCCTGTTGCAGCAAACCTAAGTACACACTCAATAACTAATTCTATTTAAATAGGTAATAAATTTGATATTTCTAAGGAGACATTTTAGTTTACATCCATGAAAATTCTGTTAGTCTGCAGGTTTGCTGCAGCGGGGGTATTATTTAACTTCAACAGTTTTTTGTGTGCCTTAGCTATATTTGATTTATCTGAGTGCATCCTGAAAGATTAAAGAAGATTTTGAAACTGTTATTAGTCCTCTTACAACGTCCCACGAGTAAAAACATGATTTTGATCTGTTTACCATGTTCCCATTTGTATTGTTGGTAATACCCTTTTTAAGCTAGCCCTAATGATCAATATTGACAGTATATAGATTTACTAATTGTTGATCACAACAACTTTTTAAACACAGCAACGAGAAAGAAGCTTGGAACCAAAGAAAGACAGTTTCCATCATCAAGGGTCTGATGAAGAGTTCTGATCGCCATGCACTAGCCTCTTACATCCGCCTGTTTGAGCCCATGGTCATACAAGCACTAAAGGTGAGACCAAACACAACACACCTTATTTATAGGATTGTGTCTGTTTTCTATTCTGTAGAGGTGATCGAAGACAATTTAGAACTTTTAAACTATACACACACATTTTTTTAGGAAATTGACTACCTTAACGAGTATAACAAAACATATAATAAAGTAAATCACAAGTATTTTTTTGCTAATTTTAAAGTGGTTGGTGGGTAATAGTTAAGTTAAGGAAAATTAAGTTTTTCACCAAATTAATTGTTGGCCTATATTTGTTTTCATTCAAACATTGATTATATTTGTAGGCCATGTTATCAAGTGATGTTCTTTGTTCTTCTCTTATGATACTTTGCCACCATCAAAGAAAATCCCATCCTAAAAAATTACATAAAAAAATCACACTTTTTAGACTGAATTTTCAGGTCTTGGATCAATTCTACAATAATAATTCAAAATGGTTAAACATGTAACTATATCTGTTTGTTTAAGCAATACACAGTAACCAACAATGTGAGGCTCCAGGTGGCTGTTCTATCTCTTCTGACTCAACTAGTCCAGCTGAGAGTCAACTATTGTCTTCTGGACTCTGACCAAATATTCATCGAGTTTGTGTTGAAACAGTTTGAGTTTTTGGAAGCTGGTCAAATCAAGTAAGTTTCTGACTAAATTATCTTGCATTTATTTTTGTAGTACCAGGAGACCGAGCTTTGGTCATTTTGAATTAAACATTAAATTTATTAGATAAGCTATTTAGCTAAATTAAAGATATTTATTATGTACGTTAATCAATTTGAACAAATGTTATATGATACAAAGAAAACATTATAATACACCTTTATAAATACATATATTGCTATAAAAATAACCTGTTTCAGCTGTTTTATTAACTGCAGCTACAAAAAGGTATTGACGATAACATGGGTACTTTAAGGGGCTTTAAAGTAGGGCAGAAACTGTATTTTTCCCAGCCTTGTGACGACAGGGTATTAAAAAATATTTATTTTGAAAATCTTGAATTGAAATTTCTTGCGGACATTTTTAAAGTTGGTCAAAACAACTTGCATGTTTTTTTGGCACTGTTCTATAAAAAAAGAAACAAAAAAGGGATGGGAATTTCATATTAAGTACAATTGGACCGTGAAACATCAATCTAATCATAAAACACCACTAGCTAACTACAGAGGTATCTAAACTGAACATCACTGCATTTAAAAAAATGTGTATTGTTTTAAGGTTTATTACAGCTTACATTACATTAAAGCTTACATAATTTCAATTTGAATTCCATAGCAAAATTAGGAGAACAATTTAAATTTTCACCATGTTTAGTAATGCTTTTGGTTAATATGCATTTTAGGGTTTGCACGCGATTTTTGAAATTTTTTTCATTCTACTCAAAATTCAACGCTGATTCCGAAAATGAAGTTCTTTTTCCGCGGAAAACGACCATAACACGGAAAAACAACCAAAACTACCAAACATCTTTTTTTTATCAAAACACGTCATGTGGGTACTCAAATTAACCGGAATATTAAGCAGATCACGAATATGCAATTGTTTTTTTTTTGTCAAATAAGCGAGATTTTTACGAAAATGTGATACTACCAGCAATAACCCCAACTCACTAGGGGACAGGTGGGAATTCGGGGTTTTGGGTGGGGGAGACATCTAACGTGGTTTATCATTGGAAAATTAGGCGGGGGAAAGGGTAATTTAATGTGTAAAAAGGGTAATTTAACGGGAAATAATGGGTAATTAGTCGGGTGAATTATGGGAAATTTGCTTGGAATTAAGAAACTTTTCCGTACCAACCTATTCATTGGTTGTTGTAGAACTGCCATGTTGCTTGAAGTTCAATCACGCATTAACTACTGGTTGGATTGTGTTGAAATTTGGTATGATGATAGCTCACATTCCCGATTAACATACAGTGTGTAAAAAATGTCTCCCCCCCCCTATTTATTTTTTTTATTTTTTAAAATAATGAAATATCGTTTGGGGAGTGATAGTAACATAACGTGAAGTTTCTTTTGACATAGTTAAAATTTTTGAATTCCCCCCCTAAATGGGGGGTAAGGGGGGTAACTCAAAATTTTTAAATGTAAACCCCTAGCTTGTGACACCTCATTTGAAAGAGCATTAAAAAACTAGGTAAATGGTGAAAACTAGAAATTTCTATCTAATTTCTAACCGGAATTACAGCCAAAAACGCTCAAAATACGATATTTTTGGGAAACTCAAAAATGTAATTATTGCATACACCCTTTGAGTGATCCCTCATTTGAAAGATAAATAAAAATCAGGCCAATGATAAGGATTAATAATTTCTAACAGGTAATTAGATGGTTTTTTATGATTTTTACAAACAAACTAACCTTAAGTGCGAAATAACAGTAGCGATGTTGTGTTCACCAAATAAATTCACAGCAAATGTTCAAACTGAAGTCCTCCTACTTCCTGACAGTAAAATAAACGAGACGTGAACTCTTCCCTCACGTTATGGAATGTTTCCTCAGTGATTTTTCTGCAGGCTTCAACAATCCTGTGTCTCAAGTCTTCAATATTCTGTACGGGAGTTTTATAAATTGTCGATTTAATAAACCCCCATAGAAAAAAATCCAAAGGTGTTAGATCGGGGGACCGTGCTGGCCATTCTATCCGGCCACGCCTGCCAATCCACTGACCATTCAGTTGTGTATTTAGAAATGCTCGGACCTGTCGATGAAAATGAGGGGGAGCGCCATCCTGCTGGAAGTGAACAATATCTTCATCAAACTCATGTGGATGTTGTGCAATAACTTCCACTATGGCTGGAAAAACCGACTCTTGAAGCATTTGCAAATAATGTTCTCCATTGAGGTTGCCATCGATGAAAAATGGTCCTAGGATATGATTACCCAACATCCCAGCCCATACATTTAATTTTTCTGGGTACTGCGTTGAGGATTCTCGGTAAACATGGGGGTTTGCAGTATCCCAGTATCTGCAGTTATGTTTATTGACAGTTCCATTAACAAAAAAAGTGCATTCGTCTGAAAAAGCTACATTATACACGAAATGTGGATTAGCTTTGATTAGTTCTTCCATTTCTTCGCAAAATTGAAGTCGACGGTCTGGATCATCGTCGTTTAATGCATGGACAAGTTTAAATTTATAAGCGTGAAATTTATTTTTCTTTAAAATATTTCGAACTGTTTGATGGGATAAGTCACACAGTGTAGCAACTGATCGAGTCGACTGCTGAGGATCCTCTACAAATTCTCCCACAACTTCAAATTGTGTTTCTTCGTCTAAAGATGTTCGGCCTGATTTTGGAGCATTAGCTACGGATCCAGTTCGTCTGAACTTGCCAATTAGTTCCCTCAAATATTTTCGACACACTGGTCGATCAGGATGTGCTTCGTTGAATCTCCTTTCTGTCTCGTGGTAGTTTTCATTCGAGGCACCAAAAGTTAAAACCATTTCCACCTTATCGTCTTTGCTTCGAGCCATTATTAAAAATTTCTAATAAACTTTTAACAAAAAACTAACTATTGAATAAAGAAACTAAATTAAAAAACCTGACTAACTAAATAGCAACAAACTAACAATTAATTATTAACCTTAGAGAATTTTAATGAACAAAAAAGTCTTTACAGTTATCAAATAGTTACATAATTGTTATTATTAAATAGAAATTGAATTTATGCTGCAGTACTGACCTAGACCTGTCTGTAACAGCTCATTGACAGAATGAGTTGAGGAAACCCATGCCAGGGCAAACAGGGAAAACCGGCTGAGCAAAGGTCATCTAATGAAACAAACTCATGTTCACGAAAATTTCTTATTGTAATAACCTTAAATTTTTAGTTTGTACTTGCTCTGTTGTGGATAACCAATACATTTCATTTTCACTTTTTTTCAAAAGATGTTATTTTGCACTTTTGCAATAATAAAGAAATAAAAGATTTTATTAAAATAATAATTTATTAGCTGTAAGAAATTTTTGGCTGTAGGAAGTAACAGTTTTTTAATTTAATAACATAAGCCTGATTTTTATTGCTCTTTCAAATGAGGGGTCACTCAAAGGGTGTATGCAATAATTACAATTTTGAGTTTCCCAAAAATATTGTAATTTTGAGGGTTTTTGGCTGTAATTCCGGTTAGAAATTAGATAGAAATTTCTAGTTTTCACCATTTACCTAGTTTTTTAATGCTCTTTCAAATGAGGTGTCACAAGCTAGGGGTTTACATTTAAAAATTTTGAGTTACCCCCCTTATCCCCCATTTAGGGGGGGAATTCAAAAATTTTAACTATGTCAAAAGAAACTTCACGTTATGTTACTATCACTCCCCAAACGATATTTGATTATTTTAAAAAATAAAAAAAATAAATAGGGGGGGGGAGACATTTTTTACACACTGTATAGACATATTCTTACCTCAAAAATCCCTTCGGGCTCCGCCCCAACGGCTCTAGAGTTTCCCATGTTAACCTTATGAGTATTCATATTTAAAAAGAATTAAATAATTTTGCCAGCTGTTTCAACTACACAATTTGTTTCTATGATATTCAATAGCATTAAAAGGTTATACGGTTTACCAACAGGGTGCAGCACCATTAGTTCTTTATACATTTATGACAACAGCTAATTTGAACCAAGCAGCAACAAAAACCTGAGTGTGAGAACTTTACTTCTTTCTATTGTTTAGGTGAAGAGGTAGAACATTATGGCTATGGTAGATGTTCTATATACTATATACCGTAGATTATAGTAAACCAAATGTTCTCAAAACGTGTCCTCTCTCATTGCAAATGCAAAGCACGAGTATTTAACCACAATAAGTATTGTATACCAACCCGGTACGAAGGACGGGTACTCAGCTAGTAGTTCTATATATATGTATTTATAGGATTATTTGACTCTATTCAATACATGCTATTTGTGTATAGCAAATAAAAACTTAGAGGGATGGTCAAGTCTCAAAATTTCGGGAAATTTTCGGGAAATTTTACATCTCATTACACGAGACAAGATTTCTTTTTGGCCGAGATTTTTATCGAGACAAGAATAAAAAATAAAAAAATTTTTAAAAAATTAAAAACGCCTGCCGAAAGTAAATGCAATACCCGCAATACAGGAGCGTGTTGTAGTTGCGTTTCCTTTGCGAAGGCGTTCTTATTTAATTAATTCTTTAAATGTAAATATTACTTTAATTATTTTAATAATATTACTTTAATAACATTTGAGAAGTTTTGTTAAGTGTAAGCAGTGTGAGGAATGTTTTATTACTATAAAAAGTCAAAACAAGTAACTATTTTATAAAAATGAATAGGTATTGCTTTTATTTTATGATTTATTTTATTTTAGGATAAGTTGAACTCTATCCTAACTGATATCACTATGTTTCCTAATCGTAGGCATTTTTAATAAGTTAGGCGTGATCAATAAAAAAATGTTATGCTGATGTTTTTTAATAAAAGATTGTAAATATTCTTGCCTATTATCATTATTTATCATTTATTTAAACAGTCATCTAACAATGTTACAAAATCAGGTAAAAATTTTGAACGTGCATTTCCTGTTGTGTATGAGAAGGGAAATCCCGTCTCGACCTCGTCTCGAAATTTTATGAGGGATAAAAAATCTCGTCTCGTCTCGTCTCGTCTCGTCTCGAACTAAAAATCCAATCTCGTCCATCCCTACTTATTTGATTGGATTTGAATTGATTATGATAATGTTTCAGCCATTGTTGTGTGTATACTGATTTGTATGTAGGCTAAGTGATTGGTAGTACCAAAACATTTATTTTTGTAGCCAAGCTGAGGTTTTAACCCCCAAGATGTTTGAGTTTCTGGTGCATCTGTCTTATGAGAAGAATCACTCTAAGCCAGTGATTGGAGTGGCCAAGGTGATACAACTCTGTGATGGCCTCATGGCCAGTGGGCAGGACCCTCTCACCCACTGTAAGTAACCACCAAGCACTCTCTAAACAAATCTGCTGTCTAATGAACAAACACTAATGTAATGCAACATTAACATGTTAAGCGCGTGGGGCAGGAAATCTTGACCTACAGTAGACGGGGCAGGATATGTCGTTCTCCTAACTAGCAGTTTTGTTTACTGCTGCTTTCTGTTGGGCTTTTGTAAAACTATGTCCACAAATACTGGGATACAGTACATACTATAATATGCGTCTCATTTTGATGAAACTGAATTTAAACGTTTTGCACAATCATCCGCAACCGCATTGAATGTGTTAAAGCTATTTTTTCAGCTATTTATTTTTTAAAGTTATTCGTGGAGCATTTATCTTAGCCAATAAACCATTGTTCATTATATCTTGGCCAAACAATGCAACCAACCTGATTGATGGCTCATGGGGGATTTTGTTGCACAATTGATTGCACATTTTGTAGTTAGGTGCCAAGAAATCTGTTAATGTTGACTATAGATGTATGAACTAGGATTATTTAAAAGGACATAATTAACTGTGTTGTGGTACAGGTATCCCAGCCCTGGCGCCCATAGTAGAGCATGTATTTACAGCTACAAGCTCCACTAGTGTCTGGCAAGTCAAAACTCAGAGGGACGTAGTAATTGCCATGCTGCTCAGACTAGCTGAATATCCTCAGGTATCTTAAATTATAATTCATATTTTTATATAGTATGTATTTTATTATTTTTTATATAAAATACATATCTATATTTTTAGATTTTTAATCCCTGAACCTTTCATCTCTTCTTGTGTTCATGGTGTGCCCAAAAGCTGGTAGGTTGCGTAAAATTTTCTCCGGGGTGATAAAATATGGTTTGGGTCCTGTAAAGTTGCAAATGACTCCTGGTTAGCCACCTGATATACCTTTTCATTATCTTCAAGCCCAGAATTTCCAGGAACCCAGCAGAATGTGATTTTTGAGCTCCCCAACCTGTAGGTGGCTTCAAACCATTCCCAAACTAACCTTGCCCTAAACTCGTAGAAAAAAGTTCTTTGAGGGAAGCTTGGATCTCTAAAAAAATGCAACACATTCCAAAATATGTAAATTATTTGCGACTGTAACATAGAGAGATTCTCAACTAAGATGTTGATCTCCCTTCTGGCTCTCAATTCCTGTATTCCTATCTCAGTTTCAGTGGTTGCTTTAGAGCCATCTGTTAACCAATTCAGCTTACCTTTTGGAAGTATTACTTTACCACTATTCATCTAATTACGGAATCCTTACAGTAAAGAAAATGAGTTTCAAACCTTTATCTGATTGTAGTTCATCCTCAGAAGAGATTCACCTCTCACTTCAAGGTAATGCTGGGTGGGTGAGCACACCCAGAGTCCCTCACATCTGACTCTCTCTCACCCTTGAAATGACAAAATACATAAAGTAGCAAAAGATCCAAAAGAACAGTCACTGATCAGCATACAAGCTTATGTACGCCCAGCAGTATTTCAGCAGCGCTTTTGACATTGACTGTGGGTCACCAGACCAGCGAACTATAGGTCATTGATACAAACAGATGATGATGCCAGGATGTCCCAGCAGTTCCCCACCATTCCCCTGCAGGTCATAGGACGCTGAAAGGTCATACAACCACCATGAACCTTACCTGTATCCGAATACACTCAGTATACAAAACTCTAACCTCACTGAGTTTGCTGAGTCAGATGTTGATAGCTAGCCAAAGTAAGGAGAGCAAGCGTTGGTCTCACCAGATTGCTGATGTGGTAATGTTGGTTATTTACAATGTAATGTTGTGTATAGGTGCTGAGTTTGCTGAGTCAGATCTTGATAGCTGAGCGAGGTGGGGAGGAGAGCAAGCGTTGGTCTCACCAGACTGCCGATGTGCTGATGCCACTTCTGGCGCAGGGAAGAGTCAGATTAGACTCAGCTGAAGCTATTGTTGCCTTGCTGAATCTTCTCAATAGTTTGCTACCTCGCACACTCAGTCCGCCTGATCCTGTATTGCGGGTTCTGTTTACCTCACAACTTTTTGTAAGTCCTCGAATATGTGTCCTTTATTTATCAGTTAAAAAGATTTATTTTATTTTCTGTGTTGTCTACACTAATGGAATTCTTTACGTTTTTAAATAAAAGGCAACGGTCTGAATCCTAGACTTATTACTATCTAACGTCAACCTTTGTTAGATAGTATCCTTAACTCATAGCATAGTGACAAATGGCATCTGGGTCTGGAAACAATCTCTCTTCGAATTGAAAGAGCGACCTTAAGATTTGAAGGTAAGCATTGTTGCAGTAATTAACAATATTATTGTTTAGAATAGGCATTGTTCCATTAGAACATTGGTACAGTTAACCACATTAGTATGATAAATCAGTTGGGATGGATGCAGGGTGTCCAGCCAACCTTGGAACCGGGGAAACCGGGAATTGTACGTAAATTTTGATGACCGGGAAAAATCTGTGAATTTAACGTGAATTTTGTAAGGACTGGAAACTTAACATTTGTTTAATAATTGCCAAAAACAGCCTGAAATCACAGTATGATGACTGACTACAATCAATAATTTTACCTTCCGAAAAAATAATTTTATCTGTTGCTCTAGCTTTTTGAGAATAGATAGTCAAGAGCTCTCAAACTATTCCATGCTTTTTGTTATTCCAGGAGATAGAGTACAGCAGCCGCAGCCTAAGCACAATGTTGGCGATGCTGTTGTACATCATAGGTAGAGATGAGGAGGACAGTTTTTTGGCTAGACTGGAGGATCTGAAGCTGTGTGTGCGTGAACAGAGTGATGATCCTCTCAATGCTACAGCCGCTAACCTCAACGACCCACCTCAGACTGTCTTTGCCAGGTGTGTGTTATGTCAGACCTCATGAATTTAACATATAATCTAACAAAACCTAAGCAAGATTAACTGAACAAACACACAAACTGCGACAAGCCTTATCCACACTATGCTGGTTGTTTTACCAGTTCTATCAGTAAAATAAATCATTCTTTTTTAATGTTAATCCTCCATCTGGAAAAACACTAGTGACTATTAAAAGTAGTTCCTCTACTGGAAAATTACTAGATATAATCGGTATGGATCGATGATCGTCAAAGTCGCGGCAACACCCGTACGTATATGTTACTGTCTCGGTAGAGATGCGATCGTCATTTGGGATCGTGTCAACATTCCTAAAAAAAACAAAAAACACCTCAATATCTTCCCTGTAGCAGCAATCCTAAGTACTTCTTAAAATTAAAGTTATTTAAATAGGAAATAAATCTAACCATTTTAGGGTTTATTTTAGTATAAATCGAGCCAGGTCAATGGAAACTCGCTTACAGCAGGTTTGCTGTGGCGGGGGTATTAGTTATATTGTAAATGACTGTATTACTTGTGGAGGAACAAAGATTTATTAAATTATTTTAATACCTGATTTACCGCCCCATTAAACCTTTGTAAAGAATTGGTGTAGTTTAGTTATTCAGGATTTTTTACCCATTTGTAAATACTTAATATTTTAGTGAATCTTGCCTGTTGTATAGATTGCTGCTCAGAACATTGCTGTGCCTTACCACTCAGTTACACTCAGCCACCTTCTGTTCCTATGGAGACCCATCTTCAGCCTCCTACCTACAATACTTGCTGGCCCACTTCTTGCTCTGTTGCTGTCATTTGCTTAAATCAAGTTAGTATATTTTTAGCAATACAGTATATAAACTATTCAAATAATTGTGTGGAGAGCTTTAAATATTTAGGAGTTACTGTCAATAGTTTAAATTCTGAAGATCATGAGATACAAAGTAAACTAGCAAATGCCAATAAGAGCCTTGGGGCCTGTACAAAACTTTTGTCATCGAAACTTTTATCAAGATGCTCAAAATTAAGATTATACAAGACCATTATACAGCCAGTGTTATTGTATGGAAGTGAAACATGGGTCCTCTCCAAAAGAAATGAAGAATGTTTGATGGTGTTTGAAAATAAGGTACTTCGTAAAATATTCAGCCCAATTTATGAATAAGGAGTTTGGTGCATTAGGAAAAATAGAGAGCTGCGTGCCCTATATAAAGAGCCTGATATAATAGTGCTTATAAAAGCCAAAAGAATTAGTTGGCTAGGCCATGTACTTCGGAGACAGGATGGCACAAGACTGAAGGAGGTTTGTGTGGCCGTACCTACAGGTAGACGACCGTTGGGTAGGCCTAAATTAAGATGGTATGACCAAGTCAAAAAAGATGTGATCCATCCTTCCCCAACAACGGAAAGCTCTCTTTGAGAAAACTCCTTCATACATCGGATGCAAACTGAATAATCTGTTACCAAATAATCTCCAAACTCTGACTGGAAAAATCCTCAAGAAAGAACTTCAAAAGTATCTACAGGACCATCCAGTGTACACCTTAGATGAGTTCCTGGGCCTACTACAATGAAAAAATGCAGTTTCAACATGAACCCATTTCTTGATATTATCGGATTTGTAATGTACAAATAAACTCCATCCTCGCTGATATCGCTGCCTTCTGGTAGGCAGAACTCAAAGGCCGCTAATCGTAATCATGTCAAATTTGGATAGTAAGTCAATTAAAATATGTTCTTTATAATTATGTAGTTATTTTTGATCTCCGGTAAAAAAATCCATCTAAAATAAGTGGCTTTCGGATAATACCAAAGTACCTTATATTTCTTGTTCTCAAATAAGCTATGTTGACATTTCTTTTGGTAATCATAACCCTTCTAACTTTGTTGCTATAAATTTGTTGTAGGTAGTCATCAGGTTATTGCAGCAGGGTTAGTAGCACTAATGGCACAAACAGAGGCCGCCAACATAACTCAGCTGAGTAAGATGTTTGTCAGTCTGGCACCACGATGTCCTCTAGTAGTGGTACTTTGGTGTCGTCTACTAGCCTTCGCTGGTATTGGACATTGTGATAAAGCTTTCTGGTCTACGCTTGTTGGAATAAACAGGTATTTACGTTTCCTTTTTCAATATCAAAAAGAATCTGGTAAAAATAGTGCATTTAGTACAGAATATCATAATAAAAAAACCTTACCAGTTCATGACAGATTGTCAATGTTTTTGTAACAACACCTCCAAACATTCAATCTCTCACTACTGTAGTAAAAGTCCATACGGCCATTGTATTTCAATAGGTTTAAATGAGGTTCACAAGGCAGCCAGATAGCATTAAATATTCAATTGAAGGTTCTAATAATACTTACTCTCAGCAGGATTATAGATCAGTGATTTGTAAAACATCCAAAATTAAATCCGATTGTGGATGCTCATTACTATAATTTTCAACATTGTACACCATTTCTTAACTAATTTTCAATGGGTTTTTCAGTGTGGACATCAATAACTTCAAACATTCATGTTTGAATTTGGACGTGGTTCACAGAGGCAGCCTTATCGTGTTTTGCGATTTTATTGCAGTAAGTATAACCATCACTATAGAAAACATTTCTTAGAGACCTATAAAAATTACTTAAACTGAAAACCCCCCACCAGAAAAAACTTGCAAACTGAGAAAGTTGCAGTTTATTTATTTAATTTTTTTGCTGTAATCAAAGGAAATTTACTCTTTATATTACACCCACAAAAGTGATATTGGCTCAGTGAGTGCTTAAGAGGTGTGGTAAAAGCAGGTTTTGGTGTATAAAAAAAATAAAAATAAATTTAAATTGATCTTATATAGCCTAAACAATAAACAGAATTTTTCTAAAATATCTTTAATTGTCAATTATCTGATAATTGATTAATTGATCAATTAATCTTAATCACATAAATCACTTCACTGAAAAGGGCACTTCTGTGTTTCAGTGGACACTTAATAATCGAGCACGATTGTGACTTTGGCGGTGTCGAATTATTGAAAATGACGGATTACTGAACATCTTGTAAAATATCTGTGGAATTTTATAGTCTGCATCTTATAATGATGTATCTTATAGAATTTCATAGTCCTATAACACTATTCATTTGTGAGACTAGGATGAATACCTAAGTCTAGCGATTGCTCCAGACGTCTATGGATCACTACCGACGTCTACCAAATGCTCCTGACATCTACCAACTGCTCCTGATGTCTACCGATCACTACCAATGTCTACCGATTGCTCCTGATATCTCTCGATCAAGAGCCATTGCTCCTAACATCTACCAATCACTCTTGCCTCTCCAACTCTACCAAAAGCTCCTGACATCTATCGATCGCTCCCAACGTCTGCCGATCGTTCCTGATGTCTATGATCACTTCCTACTCTGCCAATTTTTCCCACACTTATCTGTTTAAAAACAGCATGAAATATGTATTTAGACCTGTAAACCAATGATTGATTATCAAAAGTGCCGGACTATCAGATGCCAAACTAGCAGGCTTTTACTGTTATCTCCTGTTTGTTACAGAGCTCAGCTAGGCTTGTAGAGGACAGCGCCTGGCTGCTTGGACGTCATTTCCCTTCGTTGTTGTCTCTGTATACAGAGCCCCCCGTGTATGAGTTGCTTGAAGCCTGTAAGAACAATCCTGCCACTGCTGGACTACTGCTACCCCCACTGGCAACTGTCGCTGCCAACAACCCTACTGTAAGTAACCAACCTTTACCCATATAACACTAACAATAAGGACTGAAAATCCATTGTTTTGTTTTAGGTACCTGTTTTAAAATAGTATGATCTTTATCTGTTGTTTAGTTTTTTATTTTTTCCAATCTTGCCTCTTCCCTGTCATAAAAGCTGGTGATTCTCTAAAAGCCTATGCTTCTATGTAATTTAACTTTGAGTTAAAATATCTATTTATTTAGCTGTACTGAGGTTTGGAATACAAAATATTTTAACATTTAAAGAAAGAGATACATGACAGACCCTATTAAAAAAATATGCTCGAAATGATTTTTTTTACCTTCAGAGGATTTCTGATTATAAAAAGTAAGCAAGTTCTTAGATTGATGTGCATAAGATAGGGTACTGCAAAACATCACTACAACCACTGGTATTATGAAATAAACAACAAACTAAATAAAGTTTTTCCACCTTTTTTAAGCTTTCAAACTATTATTTATTTCTGCAGACACGCAGGTATAAAAAAATGCCTATTTTAAAAGAACTCAGTTTTACAAAAATAAAATAGTTTTATGGTAATTTCTTATAACTCTGGCTTGAATGGTGACATTTGACTGATTGATTGGTGGTGTTTAGCCATGGCTAGTCAGCAAGATCCTGGACCTACTGTTCTCTGTCAGTCTGGATGACTCAGGCTCCGTGCTGACTATACTCACCATGCTGCTGCAACATCCTCACCTAGTGCTGGCCCGGCGTGCTTCAGCACTCGCCTGCTCGTTAGTATAGTGTACAGCATGAGTGTAAAAATACTTTCAAAGCTTTTGAAGAACCTTTGTTAACATTTGCCAATAATTTATTTTTTATGTATTCCTCCCTATGCGTGGTATGTACACCACCATTTTGGCGAGGTGTAGTCTTAAGCTAGGACAACACAGTAAATTTATGGACTTCTACTGCCAACCAAACCTAATTACTTTACCTAATATGGTTATCAATAGTAATTAAAAATGAATCTTCTTAAATTTAATTTTATCATAATAATAAAACATAGTGGTTTAACTTTATATTCAATACTAACCTATGTTTGAGGTCTAGCATGAGCATGACCTAGCATGTGGTCTAATCTTGCCTGTTTTCAGGAGAGTAGAATATCTTCTGATCTTGGAGAGAGAAGAGGTTGTGAAAATGTTGGATCATGATGATCTGCTTAACTTATTGAGACTGATAACTACCAAAAACTCACGATTGGCTACCAAGTAAGTAGATGGCATCCCTTTAGGTACATAATAAAGTTTTAAAATCTATGAACTTAAGAAAGTTGTTAAAGAATAAGTTTGTACCTATTTTCAAAATGAGGACACAGACAAACATGATTTTAGTAAGTTCTTGTTAGGTCATCTGCACTGTTAGTGTTGAGCAAACCTGAAAAAACTATTATGCAATTCATTCTACTCAACTTTGAAAACCCCATTATTTAAACCACTATTGATTCAACCCTACATGAAACGCTATGCAAAGGTTTCCTCTGTGTATTTTATATTTTTTAGTACATAAATTAATATCTTCTTGGTCATGCCTCTGTTGCTGTACCTCATGTGCCTATTCCTATGAACTGGATTTAGTTTTCTGTCCATTCCTCTTGCTCCCCAGTGTGAGCCGTGGTTTGCTTCAGTACCGGTAGTGTATTGTTTTCCCAGAGGAATAACAATAACATATTTGCACTTAATTGCATTGCATTTCAGTGATGTACAAAGATAAGGATCATGATAAAAAGCAAATTGGTTTTGTTACATCAAAATGGAATACGAATATAAAAAAAAAAACTTATATAAATGCCAAAAGCACAATATTAAACCGTTACCAAACCAAGTGGGGTATTTGTTCTAGAGTTGTTTGCAAAAGAAGTGAGAAAAGGGAATGCAATGAAGAGGAACAAATATGGGGGGGGGGGGGCTTAAAGGAGAGAGACGATGAGAAAGAAACAAACTTTTTTGTAGTAAAATAATAATAAAATAAATTATGATGGTATTAATGGCATTACAACTTTTTATTTGTGACAGAGGTCAGTACCTCTGTCACAAATTAACCAGGCCACAAAATCAGTATTTGTGCCCAAAATTACAAAAAAAAGTGTTCCGTTTGATGTAAATAGATCCCCCCCCCCCTGGAACCCTACTTGAGTGCCTTATGGTTTTTTTAAGTTCAAACGTCCAATGTAGGGTTAATAACGTTTGCCATCGAGCCTGGTGCTAATGTGTCCATGAATGCTGCAGACACAGTGGACTGGTCAGTTTGCTCAACAAGTTAGCGACCACTCACTACGACATGACTCTTCCATGTGAACAGGGCCGCAATGTCAACACTACCAACATCCAGTCCATCTGCCTGGACAAGGCTTGGTTCCTTACTCAAGTGCGACTGAGGTAGGCCATTCATACAAATAGTGTTGTTTCAAATATTGTGTCATTATATCTTTCAATATATAATTTGAAACTTTTATTTAGAAATGCATTTATAAAATGAAATGTATGCTGATCCAACTTTAAGGGTGTTTTAATTAATTGGGGGAGCGAGCTGGCGTAGTGGTTAGAGCGTGGGACTTCAGTCCGTGAGGTCCCGGGTTCGATCCCCGCCATGTCACCAATGGATTTTATCTAAGTGATAATGCCGCAACCCCTAGGTCTAGCCTGAAGTTAATGTGAAAAACAATCCCAGGCTCGTGCCTAGCGTCCTAGGACAAAAAAAAAGGTGTTTTAATACACTGACCTGACATGTAGCATCTCAAAATGTTCCTTGTGATCCTAAATTTATTAAAAAACACAAAAATTATCAAAAGTTATTTTCATAAGGCCCAATTTTGAGGTATAAATCAATAGGGAATAAGCTATTACCGTAGAGCGGATTTAGAAACTGCCAAGCATACAGTTGTGTCACCTGTTTTGGCTTACATTGTTGTACGCTGTTGGTTGTATGATATGTATGGTTGTAACCTCGCGATTGTAGCTGTGGGTACAAGCTAGTAACGCATGGTGCAGGTGTTGTCAGGTGGAGAGTGCTCAGCAATGCAGCCAACTGCTGAGTCAGCTGGACTATGACGACATTGTGTCTGTAATGAGATGCCAGCAATTTAACAACTGCATTTTGCAACACTGTTTCATCCTTGGAACTCAACTTACAATGCAGGTTTGTTAACATTTCTCATGTTGTAGGACTACATTATGTATGTAGACTATAAGGTATAAAGACATATATTTTTTTACAAGGTATAAAAGTCCTTATCATCTCCAGTTTTAGCAAATTTCCCATATAGGAAATAAGCTATTACCGTAGGTCTCATAGTAAGATCCAGACCTGGGACCGATTTATTTTTCTCTCTCGATATACCCAGAGGCCAAATGCACCATCTGTTCAAATTCATATGTAAATGTGTCTGTTAGCGCGATAACTCAAGTAAGAAAGATAGCATTTTATAAAAGATAATTTATGAAATTTGGTACAAACGAGTAAACTTACATGGGTTTTTCCCATTTTTGACCCTCAAAACATAAAATTTTCCAATTTCTTTACTAACAATTTTCTAGAGCTTAAAATAACAGAAGAAGAATTTAGAAGAATTTAGTAAGCTGAAGCATTGTTGTGTGCCTAACGGTTAAGGCATTCTTAAGACATGGGGGAGAATAAATTATCTGTTGTGGTTTTCTTATTTATGGACATATTTATTTCATACTAAGCTATCAACATTTTAATAAAAACAGACCTTGCCTGTAACAGCAAACCTAAGTACTCATTAAAACTTATAAGTAATGTTATTGAGATTTGAGCCGGGTATGTGGAAATGCAGGTGGCTTAGTCTGCAGGTTTTGTGCGCCCGGGTATTTTATTTTAGGAGATAAAACACAAGGTTGGACCCCATATAAATAATTGCTCCAGGTGCTGGGAACAAAAGTAAGAAATAAAAATGTTTGATAAACTACACTTGTCCTTTGATTGGTTCTTATATCTGTTGTGTTAGGAGCGCAAGACACCCAAGACATTGAGTGAGCATCTGTCTCCTCTACACCTTGCTGCCAGGACCACTCTACTGCAGCATCTACACCATCTACACACTCTCCTACCCAGGGTGCACCAGGTGTGTGGCAACAATCCTTCATCAACATTTCAACTTCAAACTAAGATAAATTGTACTCTTTCTTACAAACCACCCAGCCAATTATACAGGGTGGTAAAAAAGTCCCAGGACAGTTAAATATTTTAAAAAATAATGTAGATAGAGCTACAATACTTGGTACAAAGTTACAGGGCATTAAACTCTATTTTAACACATATTCAGTGATCCAATAACTCTTCAGGGGGACGGCCCACAAGGAGTCGGAAGAAAATCTTAAATGGAAGCATAGGTCAATATGCACATCAAATTAAAGGTATTTTTTAGTAGAATACAATGCCGCAAACCGCAGTTCAAAAGGTTGATCCTGCGCAAAATGGCAGATGTTCAAAGATTTCATGAATCCGCCATTTTGAATCTTTGAACGACTGCCATTTTTTACTCAGGCATTCTTTTGACCTTGAATTTACGGCATTGTAATCTACTAGTGAAGACCTTTAATTTGATGTGCATATCGACCTATGCTTACGTTAACAATTTTCTTCCGATTCCTAGGGATGTGCCCCCTGAGGAGTAAGCGTATAATAGCAATGTAAATTGAATGAATCTTTGAACAACTGTCATTTTGGCCAGGATCAACCTTTTGAAGTGTGGTTTGCAGCATTGAATTCTACTAAAAAAGACCTTTAATTTGATGTGCTGTGCATAATGACATATGCTTCCATTTAAGATTTTCTTCCGACTCCTTGTGGGCCGTCCCCCTGAAGAGTTGTTGGATCACTGAATATGTGTTAAAATAGAGTTTTATGCCCTGTAACTTTGTACCAAGTATTGTAGCTCTATCTGCATTATTTTTTAAAATATTTAACTGTCCTGGGACTTTTTTACCACCCTGTATAGAAAGCTAAGCAAAGTAAAGATATTAATTTTAATTTTATTTTGTGTGTTTTTCACACCAATGGCACTTTTTACGTTTTGAAAGGGATATTGATGTTATTATACGGTTTTCCTGTTCTATTATAGTTTTTCAATTCAAAAACAACTTGTATTGAATCCCAACTAGAGACTTACTATCCTAAGTTTTAAAAAGTATTCTGTTGCTAAAATGTTTATAGTGGTGGTACCAAATCAAGAGAATGTGAAAAATGACTTGCTGTGTAATCCAACCCTAAATAGTTGAACTATGAAAATTTATGTAAATTAGATGGTTTGGTTATCTATCATAAAATATGTTTGTAGGACTTTCCACATTTCGTTATGAAGCAAACGATACCAGATGATCCAACCTAACCTAATCGCCGCAGCGCGCTGTATAAGGGTGGCCTCTGTATAATACGAAAGTACCAATTAGATGAAATCTCAATAATCTGAGTGCATTATTCATTATTATCTGTTTGAAGTAATTATCTAACTTATATTAAATGTTATTAAAATACAAGTCTACATAGCGTTCTTTAAGCTTTGTTCATTGTAGGTGTACAGTCCAGTGGGAAGGCTGGCATTCCCCAAGGAGACCAAGTACACGGAGAGGCTGAATGAGCTGTTTGGTGACGCCAAGTTTGTGGACACTCTAGTGAAGTTGGTGCCAGCGGTAGTGGCATATCTGGCGTCCACCAGAACCACAGGCTGTGATCCCTCACCTGCAGCTCAAGACCTGGTTACCTTCGGTGTCCTCTGTACTGAGGTGGGTTCATTGGACCCAAGCTGCCTTTATTTGGCTTTTTAAAATATTATTTTAGTCAAAGAAACAGCTGATCGTAGTCAGTAACAAATCTGTTTTATGATCCTTCACCTTAATATTTTTTGGAAAGTAACTGAAAGAAACATCTTGTAACACTTCAAACAAATATTTACGCTTATACTGTTACTCACAAGACAGTAAATATACATAAAAGATGGTAAGTGGTGATTGATTTTGATTAGACACTCCAATCATCATCAGACCCAATAGGCAAATGACCATTTGAATCACATGTTTGCTACAGGTAGTACATTGGATGTTGAGAAAGTCATCTCAGTGCCCTAGCCTCATCAACAACTGCCTGGAATGTGCTGTAGATGTGCTGCAACTGGAGGAGGTGTCTGGATTGTTGTTTAAGTATTCACATGTTTGCTACAGGTAGTACATTGGATGTTGAGAAAGTCATCTCAGTGCCCTAGCCTCATCAACAACTGCCTGGAATGTGCTGTAGATGTGCTGCAACTGGAGGAGGTGTCTGGATTGTTGTTTAAGTATTCACATGTTTGCTACAGGTAGTACATTGGATGTTGAGAAAGTCATCTCAGTGCCCTAGCCTCATCCATAACTGCCTGGAATGTGCTGTAGATATGCTGCAACTGGATGAGGTGTTTGGATTGTTGTTTAAATATTCACATGTTTGCTACAGGTAGTACATTGGATGTTGAGAAAGTCATCTCAGTGCCCTAGCCTCATCCATAACTGCCTGGAATGTGCTGTAGATGTGCTGCAACTGGAAAAGGTTCCTGGATTGTTGTCTGTTACCCACTTGGGTTCTCTGACCTCTGCTTTGGCTCGCCTTGTCTATTTTTCTACTCGGAACAACCTTATCATGCCTAGGCAACAAGGTACAGCATTATTGTCTGTCTCTTAAAGATTATACCTCAGCATGCATTTATTATAGATCATACTCTGATATTATTTTGTACATAATGTTATGCTTATTCTTCTATTAAACTTTTGCAGCTGTTTTCTTTCTCCTGGTTTCAACTAGAATTGGTGGTGGATATTTAGCTGTGAATATTATAGTTTGCATATCAGTTATTTTTATAAACTGTTTATATAGTTTTTTTCATTATTTGCAGCGAACAATCCTGTAGTTAGTTGAATAATTGTGCTATTAATAAATTTGGTTTGTAACGTTAAATTAATGTTGAATTAACCACTAGTAGGTCCAGTTGTGTAGTTTTTGTTAATGCATTGGATTTGTTGTACAGTAGAACCCTTCGTATCCGAACTCCTCGGGATATCCGACCTGGTGTCCGACATTCTACCTGTTTCCTGTCTGGGGTGATAACGCCTAGCACGATCGGTTGACCGAAAGACCAATTGTGGCAGACAATCACCACAGTCGCCGATAACGGGTGTTGTTGCAGTCATGGGAGACCATTACCGAAGTCACGGAGACAGCAAGTTAAGCCTAATCCACACTTGGAGCCGACTATCGGCCAACTGTTGGTGGACAGTCTGCCGACAGATTGTCTGCCGACAGTCTGTCAACATAGTTTTGGATACAAGTTTCCGATGTGTTTTGCGTCCACACTAGCCAGCCAGTGTTTGTTGGTATGGCGACTGAGGAGGACGTGTTTATATCCTTGTGGGCTTCATATTTTATCAGCTTTATGAGACAAATTTTATCAGCTTTATGAGACAAATTTTATCAGCTTTATGAGACAAATTTTATCAGCTTTCAAACTCGAGAATCAGGGGACCAAAATAAATCAACCATCAAACTCAAAAACACAGAAATTCCAAGTAAGGACAACATTAAATTCTTAGGACTAGAAATAGATAAATCTCTGAAATGGGACTCTCACGTTGAAAAGTTACTTGTCAAAATCACATCAGGATTATATGCTTTATCTAGATTGAAACCTTAATGTGAAAAACAAACTCTAAAAGTTATTTATTTTTCATACATCCATGCAAGTATATCTTTCAGGATTTCACTTTATGGTGCAACTAGTGATTACAATTTGAATTCTATTCTATATCTAAAATACACCCCGCCACAGCAAACCTGCAGACTAAGCGAATTTCCATTTGCCTGATTTGATTTATACTAAAATGTCTCCTTATAAATATCACATTTATTCCCTATTTAAATAGAATTAGTTTAATGACTACCTACTTAGGTTTGCTGCAACAGGAAGGGTAAAAAAGGGATTTTATTTGTAAAATGTTAATAGTTTTGTAAAATAAAATCTTCCAGAATTGATCAGAATGTATTCATAAACAAGCAAACTACAACTGTTTACTTATTCTCCATAAAAATAACATGGGGATTTTTAATTTACATTTTTTTTTTAATTTTCTCGGTAACCATTAGACACATAATATACTAAATTATTTGTTTTTTAAGCTTTACAAAATGAAAGAAGGAAAGAAATTTCTACATTTGATGGTTTTTGTACCAAAAATTGGAAACCAATTTTTACCCCATAAAACCCCCGTTCTCATAGTTCGATCGTGCTGGTTTGCGACTCGTTCTAGTAAATGTAGATTTACACGTTTATACCAAATTTCATCACAATCAGATCATTTTTGCTCGAGTTATCGTGCTAACGGACACACACATATATATATGAATTTGAACGGATGGTGTTTTTTTGGCCTCTAGGGACCTCAAAACGAAAAAGTAAATGGGTCCTTGGTCCAGGTCTTAGAGGTGTAAAAGCAAAAGAAAGCTGTTAGAATTATGTGCAATTTAGATTCTGAAACTTATGTTAAAAAAAACATTTTAATCAGAAAATATAATGAAAATTTATGGTTATCAGTAAAGGAAAAGACCACCATAGTCTGAAATTTTTTGAGAAAACCCCATGTATGCGGTATCAAAATTTTTTAATAACCACCCAAAAAAAATTAAGTCAGAGACTTTCAAAACAATATTTAAAAATAAATTTAAAAAAATTTTCATCAGCAAGGCTATTTATTCTTTTGAAGAGTTCAATAGTTGAGTGTTAAACATAAATAAACATACTATTTTTTTGTTTTATTGTGTTCAGTTTTAGTAATTTTGTTTGGCTTTACCTTTGTTTTGTTGTACAAAATATTTAGTATGTGAATTTTTTTATGTAATGTATAAAATAACTATTACATGCAACTGTTGACACTATTCAATGTATTTCTATGTACAAGAGATGATTAAAGTCGTACTATGGTCACAATCTTCTATCTGACACTTCGAGATGGTGCAGGATTTGGGAACTTCGCTAGGCTGACTCCTACCGGTTTTTGAAGTTTTGCTAGGCTTTGTTGGGCCTAAGATTTTCAAGCTTGAAGAGATGAACAATTCAATAAAATGTCATATAATAATATAAATTAACAAAAAATAATTCCAAAACTTTAAAGATACTAAATTCAGCTCTTTTAACACCACTCATAAATCGTAATATTACCGCGTTGCAGTCCAACTAAATGGGCTAAATGTTGAACACCTTCAGGTTGTATGCATTCTCCAGACACGTCCACACATGCAGACTTGAGACAAAAGTTGTGTCTCTTGTCTTGGTGTTTCCCATTTGTATGAGAAACAGAAAACACTATTTTTTGTCTCCATAAACACAAAAATCTGTCTGCCGACAGTCGGTAAACAGTTGGCTGACTATCTGGAGACATTGCTGGATACAAATGGCAACACTACGGGGACAGTTGGCTGACAATGTTTCCAGAGACAAATCGCCATGTGAGGACTAGACTTTACGCCCAAGGGTGTTGCTGCCGTCGCGGGAGATGATTACCGAAGTCCTCTGGGACTGCAAATTAAACTCCTCCCGATATCCGACCTTTTGGCCGTCCCGACCATGGCCCGGTCCCATTATGGTCGAATATGAGGGTTCTACTGTAATTTTATTTTGTAGACTAAAACAGTTTGACACAAAAACTTCATAAACATTTCCAATAACGAAACACAGAAATAATATTAAAACTTCATAACTGGTCCAATAGGGGTTAGGAATTAAAATTAGCCTTTATCAACCTTAATCTGTATGATTTTTTTATTAGTTGTATAACCTTGTTTAAGGAAATTCACAACTTGATTTCATGGTAAGGATTGAAGATGGCAATAACTTTACTTTACCAAAGCCTAACCAAGGAAATTATTTAAACGGTGAGTTATGTTTGACTTGTATCATGTAATGTAACATTTTAAATATGAAATTCATCTGACTTTGACATTATGTTAAATTAAGTTAAACAGTTGTATCTATTTTAGCTTTTTTTAATTTTAGTTTTGGTATTCATTACCTTGTAAACAGACTAAAAGAGTCCTTATATGCACATGTTTTCTGTCGTACAGCAAATGATCTGTCAGGCATGCTTATTCCCTTTTGCATGTATGTAACCTGTACAAACCTATGTTGTTCTAAATAAAGTTTACAAATCAGTTTGAATGAAGCTAATGCAGATAAGCATTTATTAGTGTTGTTAAAAACTATGCTGTAATGACGAAATACTATTTGGTTAAATACTTTTAATCTGTTCAATAAGGTGATATGTTAAATTGTAAATATGACGCTGTACTATTCTCAACGAATATGTTATTGTTAATAAAGAATATTGTCTATTGTTGATAAGTAACAAGATCTCACAAGTTATTATTTAATAATTTAGGCCTACTGTTAATGGAACAATTATTCAGAATTTTGAGCATTTTAAGTAAGTGGAAATGACCTGCAATTATTTATCAGCTGGTGTTTGCAGGTGAAGATGAAGATAATTCCCCTGAAGTAGAGACTGTAGTCGTGTCTCACACGTGTCTCCAGGTAGCAGCTCTAGTCTCATGGCTGGAGAATGTTCCACAGCCACTGTCTCACATACCACCCTTCATCATCAACTCCATCAGGTACATAATAGGCTAATGGTGATGCAGTGCTTGCAGGAGATGATGACCAAGTTATTTTGATTTGTTTTAAACATTAGTACAAAACCTAATATGTCACCACAAACTTTGTCAAATCTAGTTAGTAATGTTACAAATTTTGCAAATTTTGTTGCAAAATTTTGTGACAGTTTGTTTTTGTTGTTAATGTTGCAAATGTTGAAAAAGCTTGCAATGATGCCACAAATTAAAAAAAAAATTAATGGTACTGAACATTTTGGAAAAAGGGTGAAGTATTACCGCAAACACTGAAGGAGCTTTAGCTGAAGCTCGCAATACTGCTATTGCTAAAGTTAGCAATAGCTATGTGCTATTTGGGATGTTAGCAAAATCCGTCTATTCCAAATTCTTGCTAATCCGAACAGGCTTTGGTCCCAGTTAGTTTGGAATAGCGGGAAAATTGTTAACCTGGGATTGTCATAGAATTTTATTTTCATGGCTTGTTAGATATTCTATATTTTGACTGTTTGTTACAGAGGCATGGTACAAAGTGTCAGTAGATGTCCCCCAGTGTTGTGGCACAGTGTGACCCCACCTGATGCTTGGCCTCCTACATCCACAGCTGCTACACCACCTGCTCCTCCACCTCTTCATGACATTGATTTGCTAAGACAGCAAGTGTTCAGGTGGGTGAAGAAACAGTACATTTATTTAGATACATTCTCATAATGTATTTAGTTATTTTGTGCTAAATATCAAGGCTTTCACCAACAACCAACATATTCAGCAGACATAGGTGGACATTTAGAGGAGAGCTGGAAGTCTCTACTAACAGTGCCTGTCGTAACCGGATGAGATCCAAGCCATCATTTAGGTGTATTATTTAGCAATAGCATATGACATGTTGTTGTAGGATATCAATGGTAGGAGGATGAACCAGTTGTACACAGTTTAAGGAGACTTGGATATCTCTACTGACAGTGCCAGTACAAGCAGGGTGTGATCCTTTAAGCCATAAATTAGGTGTATGGTTTGACATGTGACATGTTGTTGTAGGATATCATTGGTAGGATGGACCAGTCGTACACAGTTTGAGGAAACTTGGATGTCTCTACTGACTGTGCTTAGTGCCAGTCCTAGCCCTGACTCTGACCAGGATGAGATACAAGCCATCATGCAGGTGTCTTATTTATTTTACTGTTCTTACTTATTACTCAGAGGTGTGTAAGCGGTTAGATTTTCGTTCTTAGCCTAGCCCAACAGTTTGATTGATCAAGCAATAGATCGGAAATTTAAGTTTCCGTTGACCTCTCACTTTGCGATATTATTTTGATGACAGACTGCGTCTGCAAAGGTTGCACATTAGAAAAATTCTCGCCTTTTCCGATTGCAGACAACATTAATAACGCTTCCACGATCAAAGGGGACAACAAAGATGTCTTCATGACTGCAAGAGTTGTTTACTATACTGTCATTATCACGGAAGACGAAGATGATGTCTACTCTAAAGCGGTAAGTGTCCAGGATTTTTAAGTGATCGCAGAAGATGATGATGATGTCCACCCCAAGAGATGTCAAGGATTTTTCTATGATGGTGGGAGACAATGATTTTTTTGCGATTATAGTGTACAATCATAATTTTGCTTTGATTACCAAAAACGATGACAATGTTCCCATGACCGCAGGATATATTCAGGATTTAGCCACGTTCGCGGGTGACGATGATTATGTTCTTGCGATTGCATATGTTAACGATCTGGCTGTGATCGCAGATGACGATGATGAAAAGTGTTTACAAAGAAATGTAAGCTATGACTTATGAAAAGTTCCTATTCAATATACTAGATATTTAAATTGTATATAAATATGTATAAAAGGCCAAATATATATTTCCTAGAACCAAAAAAAATACAGGGCGACAAAAATGTCTGGAAACGGTTTAATATCTTTTTAACTAAATCCGTTAGAAAATTCAAACCTTTCACATCAACATACATGTATAAAAACTACTTTTTCAAGAATTATCATTTTTTTACCTCTGCCAGGGGACGACCCACGAGGAGTAGACACATAATCTTTAATGTAAGCATAGGTTGATATGCACATCGTTTTAAAGGTCTGGTCAAGTGGAGTTCATTGCCGGAAACGGCGTCAAAAAAGGTTCATCCGTTACAAAATGGGGGCTGTCCAAAGTTCTTGTTGAATATACCTGCACAGGCCCTTACTATTGGTAAATACTCTTATTAAACATTAGCTTGAGAGCTGAAACTGTATTTTAAAGTCAACTAGCTCGTAGACTAATATTATTCAATTCAATCTTCAAAACAAATTTAAACGGGTTTCAGATTTCCCGGCTCAATGAGTATTTACCAATACTAAGCCTCTGCAGGTATATTCTGCAAGAACTTTGGACTGCCGCCACTTTGTAACGGATGAACCTTTTTTGACGTGGTTTCCGGCAATGAACTCCACTTGACCAGACCTTTAAAATTACATGCATATCAACTTATGCTTACATTAAAGATTATGTACCTACTCCTCATGGGCCGTCCCCTGGTGAGGGTAAAAAAAATGGTAATGCTTGCAAAAAGTAGTTTTCATACATATAATTTACATATAATTTTCTAACAAATTTAATTAAAAAGATATCAAGCCAATTCCAGACTTTTTTGTCACACTGTATATCCAACTCTTCAAATAGTATTAAATAGCATTTTGAAAAGAAAATGAGTCAAATAAACTTATACTATGTCACTAAGCCGAATTTGTTATGTAAAAAGTTCTATACAAAAAAAGTTGAGGCTCAAGCAATTTTCCAAAAGCTGTATTCAAGTTCGGCTCGATCGAAAACCTCAGGTTTGCACACCTCTAATTGTTATTACATAATTATTTATGAACCAATACTATGGTCTAAGAGCTCTCATTGTACACATTTCTGTGTTAATTTTGATTGTTTGATCCTTGTATTCTATTGATATTTTAATTCTTGCGATTTATATACTTTGTTAACCAGAATGTAATGCTATTTCTAAATTAAAAGTTGGACTGTCATATGTCCTTTAGGATTAAAGATAAAATTTGTAAGTCATCATAGAATTGGAAATGTACAGAATGGCATTTATATTTTTTACTCTCTGGGCTGAATGAAAAGCCTGCTCTTTGCTGAATTGTAAAGGGGGTTTTATCAACAAAACTACTAAACAAGCTAATTCCATAAAAGTGCAATAGTGGCATCTTTTGATTGCCTTCTTCCCTGGGGTCTAGGTTCTTTGCAATACACTATAAATATGAAACACAAAGAGGCTCCATTTAAAGAGTATGCCAAGATGTTGTCCATTATACAGCTTCCTGTACTCAACATTCTCTCGTGAAATGCCTCTGGCGTAGAAAAAAGAAAAAACAACCTACCCAGAAGCAGTTACATAGTTTAACCCTTTCAGTGCTTTGCAACGATATATCGTTGTTTTTTTTAAATCTCTTAAGAAAAACCCCGTTTCCATTGTCCAATCATGCTGGTTCGTGAACTTATTCAAGTTTATTCCGCCTTAGGCCGGGGCCACACTCATCTTATCTCGCTAAATTTTTTTCCATGGGCGTTACCGTTGGGTTTGAGAGATACATTAAGGTGTATGGGGCAGGCCAGACTAGAGTAAAAACGTCCGTGAACACGTTTGTCAGTGTATCCTCTACTAACATTCCACGGGCGTTGCACGTAAAACTAGTCGCAGCTTATGGGAGTGAACACACTCATCTTATCTCGCTGAATTTTGTCCAAGGACGTTTCTAGTTTTAACCTGACTGATTTACTGTACAGTGAGCATGGAGGGGGGGGGGGGAGTGCGGATCACGGACACAGACAATTTTTATTGCCAGTGTAGCATGCTCTATCAGTGTCTCTGGTTAGCCCAAAAAACCTATCTCCGAACCCAGTACTGGCCCAGTATAACCCAGTACTGGTCTAGTATAACCTAGTACCGGCCCAGTATAACCCAGTACCGGCCCAGGATAACTCAGTACTGGCCCAGTATAACCCAGTACCGGCCCAGAATAACCCAGTACTGGCCCAGTATCGGCCCAGTACTGGCCCAGTATAACCCAGTACTGGCCCAGGATAACCCAGTACCGGCCCAGTATAACCAAGTACCGGCCCAGAATAACCCATTACCGGCCCAGTATAACCCAGTACTGGCCCAGTATAACCCAGTACCGGCCCAGTATAACCCAGTACTGGCCTAGTATAACCCGGTACCAGCCCAGTATAACCCAGTACCGGCTCAGGATAACCCAGTACTGGCCCAGTATAACCCAGTGCTGGCCCAGGATAACCCAGTACTGGCCCAGTTTAACCCAGTACTGGCCCAGTTTAACCCAGTACTGGCCCAGTATAACCAAGTACCGGCCCAGAATAACCCATTACCGGCCCAGTATAACCCAGTACCGGCCCAGTATAACCCAGTACTAGCCCAGTATTACCCAGTACCGGCCCAGTATAACCCAGTACCGGCCCAGTATAAACCAGTACTGGCCCAGGATAACCCAGTACTGGCCCAGTATAACTCAGTACCGGCCCAGTATAACCCAGTACTGGCCCGGGATAACCCAGTACCGGCCCAGTTTAAGGCCCGGCGCATATTGAGATGCAGTCAGAGCAGCGCAGCGCAGGGCAGTGTTTTGTAAACCATTTGTTAGCTAGGACACGCGCATATTATGGCACAGCGCAGGGCAGGGCAGTGCCGTCCCGCACGTGGACTGCACGCACTTGTGGTTGAGTCACAAGTGTCTGTGCCGCATTGCTGCACAGGGGGCTGACCTGCGCCGGGTTGACTAGTGTTTTGCAACGGATCTAGAGGATAATTAATAGGAAATGTGCGTTTTCATCCAGTTTTCACATTACCAGTCATAGTAAGTCGGCTTATCTTATCTTATCTTATCTAACAGGGGCAGGTCGAGACCATAAAGCACTTCATCCGAAATCGAATTATTGCGCACCCCAGATACTTAATTGCTTTCTTGTTGACCTACAAGTTGAGGCGCCCAATGAATGCCTGTAGCTTTCCAATTAGTTCATCCTCAGGAATATATCTACCTCTAGCCATATTTCCAAGAGTTATCGATCTAGCGTCAGAGAGCTCGTTACAATCAAAGAGTAAGTGATCAGCCGTCTCTTCTGACCTATCACAGTACCTACAGATCGGTTCACCATCATATAAGCCCATCCGTTGTAGATGTTTCCTGAATCTTCCATGACCAGTTATCAGTTCAACAATTAATTTAATTCTTCGTCTGTCATCCAGTTTCCTCCTTCTTGTGAAGGGTACCATTACAACTTTCCTGGGATTTATAGAGAGCCCAACTTCCTGGCACCAACGGTCCACTACCCTTAAAGCTCTATTCATAAGGTCAGTTATGGTTCCGTGGAACTTTCCAACCACAAGGATTGCAACATCATCAGCATAACCTAAGGCAAAAACCCCACTTTCGTTGAGGGTCCTTATAAGGTCGTCTGCTACCAAATTCCAAAGGAGAGGAGAAAGAACCCCCCCCCCCCCTGAGGACATCCTCGAGTAGTTCTTGCCTCGATCGTATCATTATGGAGTGAGAGCCTAACCTTCCTACTGAGAAGCAAGGATTCAATCCATCTACATATTATACCGTGAAAACCTCTTGCTCTCACCGCATTAAGAATCGCTGGAGTACCAGTATTATCAAAAGCACCTTGAATATCGAGAAAGGCACCCAGGGCCACTTCACTGCTCTCTAGAGCTTTCTCAATCTTGCTTACAAGTTGGTGCAACGCAGTCTCGCATGATCTTCCTGAGACATACGCATGCTGATTAATATGTAAAGGATGTGTCCTAAGAGCTGTATCCATCATATATCTTGAGACCAACTTTTCTAGGATCTTAAGAAAGAAAGAAGATAGAGAAATGGGTCTGAATGACTTAGGGTCAGTGTAACTATCCCTTCCTGGTTTAGGAATAAATGCGATACGCGAATTACACCACCCTAAGGGAATGTGTCCTAAGGCTAAGCTGGCTCTGAAAAGTTTACAGAGTGGGTGTATAATTGTATCAAGACCCTCCTGCAAACAAACAGGTCTTACCTCATCAGGACCCGGCGATTTGAAGGGTCGTAATAAGCCAACAGCCCATCTTACCTTGCTGAAGGTGACTATGCGGCAAGCAGTGCTCCACATAGAATGAGTGGCACGACGGCCCAGGTTAGGCCGCTCAGGACTCACCTCCTCCTGCTGCACTTCAGAAACAATACAACCAGGGAAATGAGTTTTTACCATAACCTTTAGTATTTCGGTAGGTTCAAAAGCCATTACACCATCCGGTCCCTCAACGGCACCCAGAGTAACATGCCTGTCTCTAACAAGTACCTTATGTATTCTAGAAGTATCCTTGATACTATCTAAATTTCCACAAAAATTTTTCCATGAAAGCCTTTTGGCCTTACGTACTGCATGGTTATATTCTGTGAGAGTTGTATGGTATATATCCCAATTATTGGTTATCTTTGCTTGCCTAAAGTGGGCCCTTACTCTCTTCCTAAGAGAGGCAAGTTCAGGACCCCACCAACTAGCCCTGTTGCTCTTTCCCTTGCTCAAAGGACAATTATCCTCAAAGGATGTAACTATGCACCTAGTTAGACGATCTGCCGCCTCGTCAAGCGCATCAACTGTGTTTATAGGAGATGTGTTCAGGTTTGAGGCAATTCTGCCCCGAAGATCAGCTCTGAAGGATGCCCAGTCGGTTTTAACTGGGCTCCTGAATAAGCGAACCTCGCCGCAGAAATTCCCCAACCCGAAGACAATGTGCCTATGATCAGACAGGGATGGCTCAAGGGACACTGACCAGTCAATAATCCTGTCAGCCATACCCGCCGAACACAGGGTAAGATCAATTACTGATTGGCCTATCCTGCTTAAAAAAGTTGGTTCTGAGCCTACGTTTGCAACAAGTAGGCCGCAAGAAGCTATGTATTCTAGAAGTGACCTACCTCGGTTGTTAGTGTCCCTGCATCCCCAGGCCGTATTATGGGCATTGGAGTCGCAGCCTATCACGAGTTCGGATCCAGACTCGTGTGCGAGGTCGACCAATCTTCTGACCTCGGCCGATGGGAACAGTCCATCGTCGCCCTGTGGCATGTAAACAGAGGCCAGCAGCAGTTTTATGTTGGATTTAGTACATACAGTCTTAATTACTGTTACGTCCCTCGAACAAAGCTCTAGAACTGGATTACATTTTAGCCCCTCTTTAACCCAAATGCAAGTTCTAGGGTGTGGTACAGATGCAGAGAAGATGCCACCCTTTATAGTTCCCATCCCCGCAATTCTAAAGTTATTGATCCAGGGTTCCTGAATCAAGGCATAATCTAAGGACTGCTTAACCGTGCTCAGACAGAACACAGCCGTGGCAGCCTTACTGTGTTGTAGGTTCGCTTGAAGGACCTGAGTCATCAGAGGGAGCACCAGAGATAACTCTGAGCTGTATTTTCCCCAGACCCAGATAGATAATCCAGCCACGATCTTTCAGAACCTGCGCATTCATTTCATCAATAGCAAGAACAAGAATCTGATGATCATCCTTCCTCTTCCCACCAATGACGCGCCAGTCCTTTGTCGTGACACCAGGATTTTGCCGCTCAATCTGAACAAACACTTTAGAGGCTTCGACCTTGGCCAAGCGCCTGTCAGTGCGAAGGAGCACTTTAGTCGTGCGCAACAGATCCTTATAGTCTGCTACAATGACCTCCATACTCCCCTCACTTCCCAGCGCTAGCTTCGGTGCCACCCTCTTTAGCCAGTCAGTTGTTTCAGAATTACCACAAGTTACGACAAGAGCACCCTTCTCATGGTAAATTTTTTCAAACTGATGAGGAATGTTGGCGCCGTCATCACCAAACACCAACTCCATCAGTTTGTCCTGCAACAAGTCACATTCCTCAACAGAGAATCTCGCATCGGGATAGGCCGCTGGAGCTACTGCCAACTTGTGACCCACAAGCTGATCTCTGTAGCTGGCCTTTCCTGCAACGAGTCCATCTGCTGATTGATTAGAGTTTTTATTTCTCTTATGAGGAGGATTTTGAGACGACCCAGGGTTACTATCGGATCCGGTTCTACGCATCGGTGATACGCCTGAACCTTCCCCAGGAGAACTCAAGGACTCTCGCTTCCTCTTTCTCCACTGTCTGTTAGGGATCCACGTGCCCTCAGCCTTTTTCCTTTCTCTAACAGACATATTATACTCAGTTTTGGTCATAACTGTAAAAGTGATCTCAGAGTCGGACGAAACATCCGCCAGAGATGGAGAGTCGCCAGCGCTGCTGGTGTTTAGTGGCTTGTTCAGGTCCGCATCTAACCTGTGGCAAAGCTCAAGCACATCAGTTGATGAATTAGGTGGAGTTCTTGCTGTTAAGGAACTTCTCGAGAAGATCTCTGGCGTGTCCAAGATCTCCCCAGGTTCCGTCTCCATTGCGGTGTTCTGCACAGTAACATTATCATTGTTAAAGGAAAGCTGATCGTTGCCCTCCCCAGAATCCATGGGCTTGTCCTCCAAAAAGGAGGAGTGGGATTCCCCGCTTGAGCAGGTACCCACCTGGGGTAATGATTCCGTTCGTTTACTTTCAGCCATTACTAAAACAAGAAAAGCAAAAAAGTTAGCAGTTTAGCAGCCGAACCGTGACCCACTCACTACGCCTGCTAATATCCAAGACTGGACCCTTTCGGGGTTAGACCCCTCATCGTCTCCAGCTCAGTCCTGTCACAGCTGCACACATACCTGTAACAGTTGGCGGTAACATTAGCTATCTGGGCCTTGGCCGGATTGGTGATTGTCACCTCCGCCCAAGGCCAGTAGTAAGTAGGCTATATAAAGAGTAATTACAAGAATGAATTCTGGGAGAAAATACAAAAATCACTAAACATTACAAATTTTTCGGCCTTCTTTTCTTCTTCTCTGGTGAAGAAGTAACAATAAATCTAGATCAGCACCTGAATCTGACTCGGAACTCAAATCGTAATATTTAACAACATGTCCACACAAGAAATTGTGTCACTCCTATACAAGAACTGTACGACACTGCTTCCCAATATGCGATATCAACTGTGCAACACAGACTTTTTACCCAATTCTGCCCTGTGCTGTGCTGCACTGCCAGGACCATGCCGCACAGCTCAATATGCGCCTGGGCTAACCCATTACCGGCCCAGTATAACCCAGTACTGGCCCTGTATAGCCCAGTACCCGCCCAGTATAACCCAGTACTGGCCCTGTATAGCCCAGTACCCGCCCAGTGTAACCCAGTACTGGCCCAGGATAACCCAGTACCGGCCCAGTATAACTAGTACTGGCCCAGGATAACCCAGTACCGGCCCAGTATAACCTAGTACTGGCCCAGTATAGCCCAGTACCGGCCCAGTATAACCTAGTACTGGCCCAGGATAACCCAGTACTGGCCCAGGATAACCCAGAACTGGCCCAGGATAACCCAGTACTGGCCCAGGATAACCCAGTACTGGCCCAGGATAACCCAGTACTGGCCCAGTTACAGTTTGGATTGGGTGAATCTTTTATCTAAGTGGTTGTTAGTGTATCCTATGAACATGCAGGTCACCAAAGGCCGTTGTGCTACCCTTTGTTAAAATATCCTTCCTCTCTATATCCCTTAGAGATTTTTAAAAACAACGATATATCGTTGCATAGCACTGAAAGGGTTAAGGTTGCCTACTCTATAGTTGAACCTCTTAGTAATCCAGTTAAGTGGGGAAATCTTTGTTAGAAACTGGTAGTGTTGTGAAAAGTTGTCAAACTGCTAATGTAACGGTACCAAAAGCAATATCCTGTGCCCACCACTTCACTTTTTATATAACATTTAAAGTCATTCCTCAAAATTGAGTTTAACTTTGACTACACTTAACAAGGTTAGGTTCGAGTTTTTATGGTTCAAGCAATATTCATCAATCAAACAGCTGTTCGAAAATAAGTGTCACAACTGCAACCCAGGAAACAAATGGGTAGCAACTTTAAAAATAATATTTATAGGAAGCAAATTTGTAAAATGTTCAATATGCAGCCACTTTGTTTCTGTATATGTTAGGATGCTGAACTTTTCACAAAATATTTTTAAAGAAAGACTACCTCATAAATCATTGTAAGCTTCAAAGCTATTGGTGAATAAATGGCCTAGTAATTTTATGTCAAATATCTTGACAATTCCGAGCATTGCTTACAAACCTCATTGTGGAGCATCCAAGATAAGATTTGATATTCAGTAGTGGCCAGACCACTGAATGGATTGTCTATGTGGTAGGGAAGCAGTGTAGCTGTACAGGCTATCACCTCACTCCTAGTACAGACTCTACTGCAGCCATCTGCAGGCAACCCCAACACTGGTAGATTGATGCACTCTTCCAGAGACCTACCTCTAAATCTACCAGAACAGTAAGTTTCTACCTGAATCTATTGACAATGGACACGTCCCAAATACAGGATGGAGCCTGGTCAATTCCTTTTCATGAAATTGTCGCTGTTGAGATTGTGACCGTGGTTTATTGGCAACAGCAGTGAGATTTTACTAATTGTTTGTTCAGTTGCCATATTAAAGTTGGATATGTGAGAGATGCTCGTGATGAGGTGAATTTTTCTATCTCTCACTCAATTATTTCTGTGCTGTGTGCTTTTTGTTATCTAGAGTCGGGACCACGTAAGTTTGCAGTTGGTGGCAGCCAATCACAAGACAAGGCTAGTGCAACGTTGCCACATCGCTACATCGCACTTATAAAATATACTAAGCAATATTTTCAAATCAGCTGGTATTATTAGATTTGGCAACACCGCACGGTTCTCATTGGTTCATTCAAACCCATATGGGAAATAGGCTCCTCCCTCAACTGCAAACTTATGTGGTCCCGACTCTAGTAACCGGCCAATTCAAACTTTTTTGAGTTGAAAAGCATGTTCTTCAATGGCAATAAATTATAAATTAGGTAAATTGTTAACGAAGAAGATTACAGCTTAGTACTACATTCTGTGAGAAGTAGATTTTATTAATGTTCAATACTCCTGTGCTAAAAATAATTGCTGACCCATGCAGATTTTGTTTGGGTAAATTTGAACCATTCTTAAGAGAGAATACAGCAAAGACAGCGTCTTGATATAGGCTACTTAAGGGCTGCTTAAGATTGTTTGTTTCCAATATGCAGGGCCGCGTTAAGGGTCAGTGGTGCCCTGGGCAAACCCAAAAGCAGCGCCCCCCCCTTATATAGGCCTATATGTAACTAAAAAGGTTTTGACCACAGCAGTGTAGGGAGGGGAAGAGGGAAGGGGTGTTGACTCATCTGTTCGCCGAAATCCACAGTAGGTGGGTTGGGGTGAGTGTAATGAACTTCAGGCCTAAATATACATATATATTTATACATTAGCGTGTTTTTTTTTTACCAGTTTTGTTTCGTGAGGGAGTTTTCAATTCAGTATCAGTGGAAATACTAGTTAATACAGTCGGGACCACAAAAGATTGCAGTCTCATCTCCATCCATACTTGGCTTAATATACCTACTTTGTATGGTCGCCATTTCATTGAAAAGTATTAAAGTTGAGGAAGGAGCCTATTTACCACGTGACTTCGAAGGAGCCAATGAGGACAGTGTGGTGTTGCCAAATCTAATAATCTAATAATACCAGCTGATTTGAAAATATTGTTTTTTATTTTAATTATTGTCGTCAACGGGCAATATGGCACCGTCGCACTAGCCTTGTTTTGTGATTATCTGCCACCAACTGCAAACTTTCGTGGTCCCAACAGCTGTGCTATTCCCCGCGTTTGCTGACGTCACCCAAATTGCAAACAAAAAATCATCTGATGTATTGCTATATAAGTGGGTATATATTTCATTTTAGTTGATTTGATTGTTATTGTTATTATAATTTTTCTAAATGGTAAAATGGTGTTTGCAATCTGAGTGACGTGTCAGCATATGACGGGAAGCACACCTTTGTATTTTCCTTCCACCATGCAGGCCTACCACCCTGCCTCTGATAGTATAGTGAGTGCGCCCGGTTCACACTGCTGCCTGCCTTTCCCTGGCTACAATAGGTATAATCTGAAGGTCGAGTATTTTCAACTTTGTTGCATTTATTTACTTTTGCAATAAGGGAAAAATCACTTAATAAACTTTAAATCCCCCATTTTAATTTTGAAAGCCCGGCTGATCAAAACCAATTTTTTCCTAGTACTGGCGGTGGTTGAGGGCGCCCCCGGACCACCGGCGCCCCTGGGCATATGCCCAGTCTGCCCGTTTATAAAAGTGGGCCTGCCAATATGGTGGCTTTTGTAAAAGTTATTGCTGCTGCTTTAACTGATTTAATTGTGATTTAAAATGATTTAATATAACAGTTTTACCTATTCCTCATCATACAAATGAAGATAATTTATTATTGGTAAGGGTTAAATATCATTGTACAGTCTTAGTGGTGTTCAAATTTTGAGTTTCTTACTTATCTCTGAAATAAGTACTAACCATATTGGAAGGAGCAAGTTTAGAAAACATGTATCAATTTTCTCAGATCAATCATTGATATACTGTGTTTTAGATGGGGAGGCAAGTTGGAGATAGTGACAGATGCTCTCTATTGGAAACTTAGAGAATGTCGGACACTTGTACCAACCAGTGTTAAAATAAGCTGCTTACACGATCGATGCAACATTGAGAGGCTTCACAATGTGCACAGGTATGTGTTCGGTATTCATATTTTTAGAGTATTTAGAAATTAATCATTATGTTAATTAAGTCACTGGTTAATTAATCATGCTAATGTGTATATAAATCACCACATTTATTGTAATATTATTTAGTCTCAGTAACAATTTATTGTAAATAGACTCCCGCTTTCAATATTCAAATGAGATTGCTAAGCCTGCTCGAATTTCCCGCCACAGTAAGGCCTATTTTCCTGTACTACATACCCATGAATCACCTGACGCCGTGTTTGCTTCAATCGCATTTCCTATTGGCCATCGAATTCCTAGACCCCTCTAAACCGCAATTGCATTTTTCAAAGTGTGAAGCCGGCGATCGGCGTCTGTCTGTCCACGGTCGGCGTCCATAACTCACGGTGTATTCCGTTTCTCGTATCTCGGGACATTAATTGCCCATTTTACCTCTCTTAAACGTATTTTTAGGCTATAGATTAATTATATCTGGCCTCCCTCTCCTCTATAGTACATTTAACTATATATACATTTTAATTTCCCCCTTTTGTTTGTGATTAAATTACTTAAATTGTGATCTAGTGCTTTCAGACTCTTCAAACCTCAAGACAGTGTGTGCGCGTCCGTGTATTACTTCTAGACTTTTCCGTACGTTTTCACCGCGACTTCCGCGTATTAGTGAGCTCTTTGTGATCATGAACTTGGGTGCGTTGCGTTCTCCAAAATTCTACAAAACAGAAGCACTCGGTCTAAGGACTCCGCCATCCGCCATCGCTCCACCATAGACGACGCCGCTGCCATACTCTCCACCTTTGGATAATTGGACTCAAGGTACAACCTTAAAGTTTTGTGTGTGTTTTAATTAGACTCTAAAACTAATCTCATTTGCCCCTCACAAGACATTTTATTCCATCTCGGGACCTCAGTGCCCTTCAAATTGCAGATTCGCCATTTTCTATAATTTAATTATTTTTCTCTTGAACTATTAATTAGTTCTGGTCCTTCGAGTTATTAATTATTTTCATTTTCACCCATTACGCCCCCAACATTTGGTCCTTCGAGCCGGATTCATTGTCTAAAGTCCTGTGGTAATTAATTTCAGCCAATTTTCATCATCAACCATATTTTTAGCGATCTGCAATTTTCAATTTTCGCCATATTGGTAAAATATCGGCTCGCGTTCGTTCCGTTCGTGGGCGTGGCTTAGCAATCTCTCTCCACTCGCGCGTCTGCGCAGGTCACAATCATGTACAATTTGCTGTTCTCTCTAGTAGTAGACAATTTTTCCCTACTTGGCTTTTTTATCCCGAAAACGGGATTTAGTTTTAGTTGCGGGATTTAGTCGCGTGCAGACGGCCGACACTAGTAGCAGACGCATATCTCAACTGTCACTCACTGTACTGCGTTTGTTGTTGTTCTTACATTTTCTCATTTAAGGTGTATTGTGTAATAAGGTTGATTGATATTATTAATAACCAACTATTAGGTTATTATTAGGTATTTACTATTATTCTTTGAATCAATATTGCTCTTTTGAATATCGTACTAAATAAACAATAATTTGTCATTGTTATTTAACATTGTTTATGCTTTCTGAATTTTGATTTTAAATGAAGTAAAGTTAAATTAGTTCATCTCTGTAATTTTGGTTGACAAACGTGCGATATTATATTTAAGGTAATTTTATCTTGTCAATTAACATTTTAATAAATAGTTCAAAATAACCGTTTTTACTGGTTCTTATTACTAGTGTTGCAGTATAAACAAAACTGTTAGCTAGCGTATTTGTATTGTGATTCATATTTCATTGATGGTTATAATTTTATGTTCCTTTCTCATTTATTAGGGTAATAACTTACTCTTTATGTTGCAATTCTTGTTTACTAAGGATTATTCTACACTGTTTCATTAATGAGGCCTACTCTCATTAAACTTATTTAGATCCATTTATTATTTTGGTAAATAACGGTGAACTTTCATGTGACTCATTCATTTGTTCTATATCATATCTCTTGTTTTATTGTGCATTATTATTACCGTACTTGAATACTTTCAACTAAGCTCAATTGTTGATTTATGGTTTGAAAATCGAATTAAACCTGCCACACTCATTTAAAAATATTTTATTGCTATTTAACGTGTTGATAACTTAGTGTTTTTCACTATTTGCCTCAATTAAGCTACAAAGTAGGTGGATATATGTTTTAGATATTTATAATATTTTATCTCTATATTATTCAGCGGACAATTAATTACTACATTGTTAAGCTAATACCATTCATAGGCCTAGCTACAAGCCTTTTGTGTACCCACAACTTCCATTTTCGTGTGAATACTTTCAAGTGAACACTTCACAATGCCTCCTAAAGCATCTGATTTTAAGTCCGCAATCTACACCCGTTCTACGGCGCTGATTAAATCACGTTTTGAAAAACTTAAGGCTACAGTAGATGAATTATCAACTCAAATCGACCCTCTAACACCATTACAACTTAAGAAATTATCCGCTTACGCGTTGGAAATAAAAAAGAAACGCAGTGAATTTGAAAATAACCTTCAACGTGCCTTCGTTCTGGAAGATGAAGGGATCGATGATAAGACTCTTTCCAATGATCAAGATGCTATTGAAGACATGTTCTCTCACATTCAAGCTACGATTGAAACCCTGGTTCCCTCAGAACCACCAAAAACCCCTTCCGCGTTCAGTGAATCGTTTTCTGTTTCAGAAACTCATCCAAGCTCACAAGTACGATTACCTAAACTGGACTTACAAAAATTCTCTGGCGATCCATTAACGTGGACAAGTTTTATCAATCTTTTTGACACTGCAATCCACCGTAATGCTTCATTATCCTCTGTTATGAAATTCCAGTACTTACTCTCTGTCTTAAATGGAGAGCCTCTCAATTTAATAAGGAGTTTAAATCTCACCGCTCCTAATTATCTAGTCGCCTATGAATTGTTACGTGACAGATATCACAACAATCGAAGATTGCAATCATTGCATCTTAACCAATTGTTGGACCTGCCAAACATTACGGCAACTTCACTCAAAGGTTTGCGCCAATTTGTAAACCTGTTTACGGAACACACACAAGCTCTTAAGGCATTAAATTGTGACGTTAGTGACAACAACCCCCTATTGTCCGCACTCCTTTTGCGTAAAATGGACCAGGAACTACGTAAAAAACTTGAATCGTTCCGTTCCAGTCAAACCGAAGATCCAGTTACTCATTCATTACCAGAAATTGGTGAAATAATAAAATTTCTTAACCAAGAATGTTCGCAGACAGAAGATGCTAACATACATAACATGTCATCGGCCCACAGAAGCGTTCAACCTTCACCTCACAAAACCATACCAAAAAAGGTGCATTTCCGGTCTGACGTAGGCCTAGCCATGTTAGCTACTTCGAGATCTAATGCTCCCCCCTCTCATAGCTCTCAGACTAAAAATAGTCATGTCTATAACAAATGTTTTGTTTGTAACAAAAATGATCACAAAGTTTACACTTGTGACGTATTTCAAAATAAATCTCCTCGAGAGCGACACGCCATTGTTAAAAAACATAATCGTTGTTTTTCTTGCTTGGGTGAACATAGCTCCAAAGAATGCCGCTCTCAGTTCACTTGTCGCACATGTAAACAGCGACACCACTCTCTCTTACACCTTGGTGATAATAATCAAACCTCTCAGATGTCTTTTCGACCTCAAGGTCAAAGAACTTCCCCGACCACTTCAGGTCCATCTCACACTCAGACTGGTGATGTTAATTCACAAGCCTCTATCTCCGCCACTGTCGCGGATGTAAGCAATTATTCTGCCCAAAATAACTCATGTACGACTTCGGGTAATTATACTGTATTACTCGGCACCGCCTTGGTCAAGTTGACTTCCCCTCAGGGTATCTCTCATGTGTTTCGTGCTCTACTAGATACTGGCAGTATGTGTGATCTGCTCTCAGAACGCGCTGCGAATCTCCTGAATATAAAACGCCAGTCTTCTCAACTCAAAATATCTGGTCTTTCTCAAATGGCTTCCTGTACTAAAGGGTCAACTTACTTGAATCTTGAAACTCTCTCAGGTCGAGTAATAGCCACTGACCATCAATTCCATATTCTTGATAAGATTTCCGTCGACTTACCTCGCTCCCCTATATCACCGGAAGTGCTAACAAAAATCAAGCCCTATGTTCTAGCTGATCCTACTTTTCACTTGCCTGGTGGCATTGACGTGCTTATAGGTAGTTCTCTGCTACCCCTCCTCTGGACTCATGAAAGTTACTCCCTCGGCACGCACATGCCTCATGTGATAGGTACTCATCTTGGCTTTATTCTGATGGGTAAAGCTCCCTGTGCAACTAACTCGGAACCCGTGTCAGGTTTTGCGATCTCTCTTCTCTCTGTTAGTGATAATTCACTACACTCTTCCCTGCAACGTTTTTGGCAACAGGAGGAACCCCCTCACTTCCAGGTTAAGTCACAGGAAGAGCTTCTTTGTGACGAATACTATAAAAAATCACACTCTCGTGATCAATCAGGTCGTTATGTTGTGCGACTTCCGTTCAAGACGGACCCCTCCATTCTAGGCCAATCTAGGCCCATTGCTGAAAAGCGCTTGTTGTCTCTTGAGCAGAAATTTAAAGCTCAACCCCATTTTTCACACTTGTATAAGACGTTCATGTCTGAATATCAAACTCTCGGCCATATGACAAAACTAGATTTTGTTGAAGACATACACCCACACTACTTCCTACCTCATCATGGGGTACTGAAGGACTCTAGCACGACCAATTTAAGGACAGTGTTTGACGCCAGTAGCAAAACCAGTTCCGGTCACTCCTTAAACGATATTCTTTTGACAGGACGTAAATTACAAACTGACATTTGTGACGTAATTTTGAACTTCCGCTCTCATAAAATTGTGTTTTCATGTGACATTCGGCAAATGTACCGCCAAATACAAGTGCACCCTGACGATCAAAAGTTTCAACTGATTCTGTGGCGTGACGACCCTTCAAAGGAAATCTCTACGTTTCAACTTACTACCGTCACCTACGGCATGAACAGCTCCCCCTACCTTGCTATTAAAACTTTAATGCAGTTAGCGGAAGACGAAGGTGATGCCTTCCCTCAGGCTTCTCACTCTCTACGTCATCACACCTACGTGGACGACATTATCACGGGTGCTGACTCCGTTGAGGCTGCTCTTGAACTACAGGACCAACTTATCCAACTTCTACATCGTGGTGGCTTTGAACTTCGCAAGTGGGCCTCCAACTCCTCTGCTCTTCTAGAAAAATTTCCTTCGGAACATCTAGAGACTCCAAGTTTCCTGCAAGACGCTCAGCTTCCCCAGTACTCCATCCTAGGTCTCCATTGGTCTCCTGAAGAAGACTGTTTCTGTTACGCTTTCAACCCCCCGTCTGAAAAGCTGACTAAGCGCTCCGTGCTCAGCTTTATTGCCAAACTATATGACCCCTGTGGATTTTTGTCCCCATTAATCATGGTAGCAAAATGCTTCATGCAATTACTATGGACTCAAGGTCTTGATTGGGACGACCCTCTCCCTTCTGATCTCGCACATAAGTGGCATGTGTTCACTAGTAACACTAAAGACCACCTCGGTCAAATTAAGATCCCCCGAGCATTTCCGCTCGCTCACTCCTCTGATATCGAGCTTCACGGTTTCTGTGATGCATCGGAATGCGGTTATGCCGCGGTAGTGTATTTCCGGTGTGAATCTAGTGACAAAACAGTCATTGTGAAACAAATATTGTCTAAGACTCGTGTTGCCCCGTTAAAAAAGGTAACTTTACCCCGCTTGGAATTGTGTGCAGCTCACCTCTTATCAAAACTAGTGCATTATTGTGAAAAACAATTTAACTCTCTTACTACGAATACCACTGTATTGTGGAGTGACTCATCTGTAGTTCTTACGTGGCTACAAACCCCTCCATACAGACTAAAGACCTTTGTGGCTAATCGTGTAGCCCAAGTGCAAGAAATCATTCCCAGTTATCAGTGGCGGCACATAAAAGGGACGGAAAACCCCGCTGATTGTGCCTCACGAGGAATTCTAGCCTCATCTTTCATTGACCATCCCTTATGGTGGACTGGCCCACCATGGTTACAGCTCCCTGCGGCCAACTGGCCCCCCTCATGTTTTTCGCCGTCTGAACTCACTCCCACGGACGAAATTAAAGAAACTCCTCTTAGTGTACTTAGTGCAACAGTCGCCCCTTCGGAATGGGACTTATTGTCTAAATATTCATCTTGGTTGAAACTAACCCGTGTGCTAGCTTATGTACTACGATTCATAAACTATTCCAGGTCTAAAAACAAACTCTCTGGACACTTAAAACTCAGTGAATTAAATCTAGCGGAAGTGACAATTTTTAAACTAGTGCAAAAACTCCATTTCAGTGCGGATATTAAATTATTGAACAAAGGCTCAATATGTTCTGCACAATTACAGAAACTCACCCCCTTCCTCGACCCTAATGGTCTCATACGCGTCGGTGGCCGATTGTCACATTGTTCGCTTGCTCATGACATACGTCACCCTATTGTTCTACCCAAGTCTCATACTGTAGTGAATTTGCTTATAGACTTTTACCACCAGGTACACTTGCACTCAGGTCCGCAACTAACTCAATCACTACTCGCCCGAAAAGTGTGGATTCTATCGGCCAGGAGCGTTATCCGCTCGCGCATATTTAAGTGTCTTGTGTGCTTTAAAAATAAACCACGAAACAAAATCCCTCTAATGGGTGATTTACCTGCTCATCGGGTCAATCCTACTCGTCCATTCTCATCTACAGGCGTAGATTACGCCGGACCATTTAGTGTTCGCGTTTGCAGTCTCAAAGCTCTTAGACAGATTAAGGTCTATTTGTGTATTTTTATCTGCATGGCTACCAAAGCTATTCATATAGAGGTAGTCACCGATCTTACCACCTCAGGCTTCATTGCCGCTCTCACACGTTTTGTGTCGAGACGCGGACTCTGTTCCGATCTGTATTCTGACTGCGGAACCAACTTTGTTGGTGCAAACTCGGAATTACGCAAGGTAATCCGTGAAACCATCCTTACACCTGATTCGCAGGACAAAATTGTTCATTTCACCACCCCCAAAGGAATTAACTTCCATTTCAACCCCCCCTCTGCACCTCATCAAGGTGGCTTATGGGAAAGTGCCGTTAAAAGTGCAAAATACCATCTGAAACGGGTAATTGGTGAAACCATTTTAACTTTAACCCAATTTCAAACTTTGTCCATTCAAGTAGAGGCAATGCTAAACTCGCGCCCTCTTACAGCTCTTAGTTCAGACCCTTCCGAAATTTCTGTGCTGACCCCTGGACATTTCCTCATCGGAGCTCCATTAGTTGCCCTGCCGGAACCTCACCTGTCTGAAGTGCCCTTCAATCGTCTTCGTCAGTGGCAGCTTGTCCAGGCTTTTCACCAGCGTATCTGGAGGCGTTGGCAGCTTGAATATCTCCACTCCCTCCAGCAGCGATCCAAGTGGACCACCCCTCATGAGAATTTGAAGACCGGAGACTTGGTGCTCATTCACTCCAATTCACCTCCACTCACCTGGCCTCTTGGACGCATCGTCTCCACTCACCCTGGCGCTGATGGAACAGTTCGAGTCGTCACAGTGAAGACAGCTTCTGGGACTTTCACACGGCCTGTTCACAAGGTCTTCCCTCTGCCATGCAATGAAGACTAAGTCCAAGAACCTACTCTATGTACATATTAGATTTAAGTGTGGTTTACGTTTGCTCTTGTGTTTTTTAATTAATTGTCTGTTGAAGCTGTAATGCTTCAAGGGGGCCGGAATGTTCGGTATTCATATTTTTAGAGTATTTAGAAATTAATCATTATGTTAATTAAGTCACTGGTTAATTAATCATGCTAATGTGTATATAAATCACCACATTTATTGTAATATTATTTAGTCTCAGTAACAATTTATTGTAAATAGACTCCCGCTTTCAATATTCAAATGAGATTGCTAAGCCTGCTCGAATTTCCCGCCACAGTAAGGCCTATTTTCCTGTACTACATACCCATGAATCACCTGACGCCGTGTTTGCTTCAATCGCATTTCCTATTGGCCATCGAATTCCTAGACCCCTCTAAACCGCAATTGCATTTTTCAAAGTGTGAAGCCGGCGATCGGCGTCTGTCTGTCCACGGTCGGCGTCCATAACTCACGGTGTATTCCGTTTCTCGTATCTCGGGACATTAATTGCCCATTTTACCTCTCTTAAACGTATTTTTAGGCTATAGATTAATTATATCTGGCCTCCCTCTCCTCTATAGTACATTTAACTATATATACATTTTAATTTCCCCCTTTTGTTTGTGATTAAATTACTTAAATTGTGATCTAGTGCTTTCAGACTCTTCAAACCTCAAGACAGTGTGTGCGCGTCCGTGTATTACTTCTAGACTTTTCCGTACGTTTTCACCGCGACTTCCGCGTATTAGTGAGCTCTTTGTGATCATGAACTTGGGTGCGTTGCGTTCTCCAAAATTCTACAAAACAGAAGCACTCGGTCTAAGGACTCCGCCATCCGCCATCGCTCCACCATAGACGACGCCGCTGCCATACTCTCCACCTTTGGATAATTGGACTCAAGGTACAACCTTAAAGTTTTGTGTGTGTTTTAATTAGACTCTAAAACTAATCTCATTTGCCCCTCACAAGACATTTTATTCCATCTCGGGACCTCAGTGCCCTTCAAATTGCAGATTCGCCATTTTCTATAATTTAATTATTTTTCTCTTGAACTATTAATTAGTTCTGGTCCTTCGAGTTATTAATTATTTTCATTTTCACCCATTACGCCCCCAACAGGTATGTCTACAAAGTATCAATAAATCCAGAACAATTTAGTTAATTACAAAAAGTTATGAAACATAAACAAATTCACAAAAAGGTTTCTGATTTTTCAAAGTAAAGCCCATTGTTGTACAAAGTGTATTCATGCGTTCTATCTATTATTGTGTGAAAATGTCGGTATTTTGGGCCCTAACTTAAAACACCTTTTTTAAACTATATGATTTATCTGTAAGGTCTAATATAACAATTTTTATTTTTAGTTTAACTGAATGTTACTGTTTATTACTAACAGTCCTTTTAGCATTTCAAACTCAAGTATTCAAACAACCACTCAAATGTAATGAGCTTCAATGCTATATTGTTAGGTGCATCTGTGTGATAATTGCATTTTGTAGTCATGAATGGTCTATACTTTCAGGTATGGCTACAGTCAAGTCTCTGTTAATTTTTTGAAAACAGCAGTCATGTCAACAGAAGAAAGAGCTGCCTATCCCTCAGGTAAAGAAACGGATACTTTATTTTCAGTTAAAATCTTTCTTTTGAAACATTGAATTTATTTTCAGTCTTAGGGATTAGATAAGGTTTATAAGACCAAATTATTCTTAGATAGTCCTATTATTTTTGGAGCTTCAAAACGTAAATGTGTTTATGAATTCTTGTTGCTAGAGTAGTCTGTATTGTCTAGTAATAAATTGGTTAGTTGGAGGTTGTTTGAGAATTGCAAGTAAATACTTTTGTTTTATATATTCAAGAGACATATTTAAATTACAGTCATGATGGTCCTTAATTTGGTGAGTCGGTGGCTCAGTTGGTAGCGTCGTGGACTTCGGGTCCAAGGCAGTAGTGTCGTGGTTTCGGATCCTGGTCACTGCCACAAACTTTTATCAGTACAGTTCACCTTTGTACTGTACCGGCTCACCCCTTGCTTTGCTGGATACGTTCCACGCACAGATCTGTAGTCTATGTGAACGGGCAAATGCAAGGATAAAAGAGGCCGCCAACCTCTTTAAAAAAAAATTATCTGGTACCTTAAATGCCTTAAAAGTAACTTAGCTAAAACCCCAAAAAAGTTATAAAATATAATCAGAGAAATACACTAACAAATAAAATTAGTGCTTACAAAATGAGACCATTAGGTGTCTTCAGTCCAGTACTAATGTACAAAAAATACTTTTTTTGCAGTAAACTCTGACTATGAAGAACATTTGAGGAGGATTTCAGAGAGTGGGCTGGACTTACACTCTTGTCTCCAGTTCCTCTTAGATCTCTACTCACAGTGGACACAGCCCGAGGTATATTCATTGCCCATCCTCTTCAATATATCTATTATTTTATAGTAGATGTTGAAATCCTTGTAAGGCATTGGTATTTTGCAATCATTATTTTTTCTAGTTTTAACCTAATAATTTTATTTTCCTACAGTCACCCGACAAAGTTGGCTTCCTTGTCCTGTTTATAGTACAGGAAACTGCTAATATCTGCATATTTATACTTTGTCGTACGGTTTATTTATTGTTTCACCTCATTTCCAGCAATGTATTAGTGCCTAATAAGACTGATAGTATATTAACCCTTTGAGTGCCAACGTCCGGGGAACCGGACGTTTTTAAAACGAGCCAAAAGTGCCAACGTCCGGCCGACCGGACGTTTTTAGAACGAGCCAAAAGTGCCAACGTCCGGCTGACCGGACGTTTCGTAATGATCGAACAGCTGTCATAACAACCGAATAAATACTCGGATTCTTTTAACCCATATATTAACATTGAGTCGAAAGTTGCTAGATGCGATACATCGATTTTCGTTGGTCGAAATATCGAAAATTCGATTTTTACGAAATTTTAACCTAAAAATCGCCAGATCGCGCTCGGCATTTTTAGCGCGACCTTCGGGAAAAATCATCGGCATTTTTTGAGCGTTACTTTTATTTCTCGCCTGGCACTCTAAGGGTTAAGAACTTGTGAGGTTATGCAGTAGAACCTTCCTAACTGAAATAAAGGGGTAGAAGGTTGTTTCAGATAGCAAAAATGGTGGTTAAATTGGTATTTTCTGTTTGTTAAGCATAATAATAATAAGACTTTTATTAGGGTATAATATATTATACATGTAGATTATGCTTTTTTAAATATAATTCAAGATTTGCCATATGTTTTAAATACCTATTTCTTTCTTGTAATATTCCACACACCACAGGCACTGACAGACTTCTATCTACTTACATCTTCTTCTAATTACATATTATTATTCTTCTAATTATATAAAAGCGTGGATCACGATGGGAGTATCGGTTGTTAAGTGTGTGAATGTGTGTTAGGTGAGTGTTCCACTGAACCTGCTGGTGGAGGTGGTGAGGTCTACGGTGATCTTGTCAGATCTGTTCTCTGAGAGATCTCACTGGGCTTGGCTGCTGGACCTCAGTCTGGAGCTGTCTCGCTCACATACACCAGAAGACGAGATCCTACATCAGTACCTGCTTCTGGCTGCCTGCAAGTCTGCTGCTATCCTGCCTGCTCTGGTAAATATCCTTGTCAGTCACAAATAGTTACACATTTTAAAGATGTTTGTGTTTTACATCAAATCAATTGGTGAGTGATTGGAAATAGATTAGATTTGGATGCAGGTCCAGACAACTGTCTCTTGAAATGTTAGCTTGGGAACACTGAGATGTTCACAAATTCGCTGCGATCTCAGAGATGTTGGCAATTTTGCTGATATGGTTGGTGAGGATGATGTCCTGTCCCAAACCAAAAGTGCAATGCTGTCCATCCCTAATATACCTATTAGGAAACCTAAAAAATAATTATTACACAGGGTGGGGCTGAACAGATTAAGCAATTTGACTTGCGTAGTACTACTGCTGTGTAGGTGTAAGGGGAAAACTTTTGGTTTTGTTTTCTGCAGTTCATACCATATCAATAGCCAACATGGTTTGGACGAGAAACATCAAAATTACACAATGTTTATTTCAAAAACAACAAACCAGTTATTATGCTTAAAGAGGAGATTTTTGCCAGTGGCATTTTAATCAGCTCAACCACACTATTCCTTGTTTTTAAATACGCACTCATTGCATAACCTCGATGTTGGCCAGTCTATCCCATGATGGCTTTTAGAAAGGTACGAGTCACCCACATGGCTAGTAGCAGTCCATGGGCCTCCAGTGACAGAGTGTTGAGACTGCTAGAGGCTGGACTCAAGGCTAACTTCTCATCCACCAGGCTGGCAGAAGTCCATGGTCTTATGTACCTCTTGGAGAGCTTCTCTAGTTATTACCATGTTGCAGGAGACATGGGCCAGTGACAGAGTGTTGAGGCTGCTAGAGGCTGGACTCAAGGCTAACTTCTCATCCACCAGGCTGGCAGCAGTCCATGGTCTTATGTACCTCTTGGAGAGCTTCTCTAGTTATTACCATGTTGCAGGAGACAGAGGCCAGTGACAGAGTGTTGAGGTGGCTAGAGGCTGGACTCAAAGCTAGCTTCTCACTCACCAGGCTGGCAGCAGTTCATGGTCTTATGTACCTCTTGGAGAGCTTCTCTAGTTATTACCATGTTGCAGGAGACAGAGGCCAGTGACAGAGTGTTGAGGCAGCTAGAGGCTGGACTCAAAGCTAGCTTCTCACTCACCAGGCTGGCAGCAGTTCATGGTCTTATGTACCTCTTGGAGAGCTTCTCTAGTTATTACCATGTTGCAGGAGACAGAGGCCAGTGACAGAGTGTTGAGGCGGCTAGAGGCTGGACTCAAAGCTAGCTTCTCACTCACCAGGCTGGCAGCAGTTCATGGTCTTATGTACCTCTTGGAGAGCTTCTCTAGTTATTACCATGTTGCAGGAGACAGAGGCCAGTGACAGAGTGTTGAGGCTGCTAGAGGCTGGACTCAAGGCTAACTTCTCATCCACTAGGCTGGCAGCAGTTCATGGTCTTATGTACCTCTTGGAGAGCTTCTGTAGTTATTACCATGTTGCAGGAGACAGAGGCCAGTGACAGAGTGTTGAGGCGGCTAGAGGCTGGACTCAAAGCTAGCTTCTCACTCACCAGGCTGGCAGCAGTTCATGGTCTTATGTACCTCTTGGAGAGCTTCTCTAGTTATTACCATGTTGCAGGAGACAGAGGCCAGTGACAGAGTGTTGAGGCGGCTAGAAGCTGGACTCAAGGCTAACTTATCATCTACCAGGCTGGCAGCAGTTCATGGTCTTATGTACCTCTTGGAGAGCTTCTCTAGTTATTACCATGTTGCAGGAGACAGAGGGCAGTGACAGAGTGTTGAGGCGGCTAAAGGCTGGACTCAAAGCTAGCTTCTCACTCACCAGGCTGGCAGCAGTTCATGGTCTTATGTACCTCTTGGAGAGCTTCTCTAGTTATTACCATGTTGCAGGAGACAGAGGCCAGTGACAGAGTGTTGAGGTGGCTAGAGGCTGGACTCAAAGCTAGCTTCTCACTCACCAGGCTGGCAGCAGTTCATGGTCTTATGTACCTCTTGGAGAGCTTCTCTAGTTATTACCATGTTGCAGGAGACAGAGGCCAGTGACAGAGTGTTGAGGTGGCTAGAGGCTGGACTCAAAGCTAGCTTCTCACTCACCAGGCTGGCAGCAGTTCATGGTCTTATGTACCTCTTGGAGAGCTTCTCTAGTTATTACCATGTTGCAGGAGACAGAGGCCAGTGACAGAGTGTTGAGGTGGCTAGAGGCTGGACTCAAAGCTAGCTTCTCACTCACCAGGCTGGCAGCAGTTCATGGTCTTATGTACCTCTTGGAGAGCTTCTCTAGTTATTACCATGTTGCAGGAGACAGAGGCCAGTGACAGAGTGTTGAGGCGGCTAAAGGCTGGACTCAAAGCTAGCTTCTCACTCACCAGGCTGGCAGCAGTTCATGGTCTTATGTACCTCTTGGAGAGCTTCTCTAGTTATTACCATGTTGCAGGAGACAGAGGCCAGTGACAGAGTGTTGAGGCGGCTAGAAGCTGGACTCAAGGCTAACTTATCATCTACCAGGCTGGCAGCAGTTCATGGTCTTATGTACCTCTTGGAGAGCTTCTCTAGTTATTACCATGTTGCAGGAGACAGAGGGCAGTGACAGAGTGTTGAGGCGGCTAAAGGCTGGACTCAAAGCTAGCTTCTCACTCACCAGGCTGGCAGCAGTTCATGGTCTTATGTACCTCTTGGAGAGCTTCTCTAGTTATTACCATGTTGCAGGAGACAGAGGCCAGTGACAGAGTGTTGAGGCGGCTAGAAGCTGGACTCAAGGCTAACTTATCATCTACCAGGCTGGCAGCAGTTCATGGTCTTATGTACCTCTTGGAGAGCTTCTCTAGTTATTACCATGTTGCAGGAGACAGAGGGCAGTGACAGAGTGTTGAGACGGCTAGAGGCTGGACTCAAAGCTAGCTTCTCACTCACCAGGCTGGCAGCAGTTCATGGTCTTATGTACCTCTTGGAGAGCTTCTCTAGTTATTACCATGTTGCAGGAGACAGAGGCCAGTGACAGAGTGTTGAGGCGGCTAGAGGCTGGGCTCAAAGCTAGCTTCTCACTCACCAGGCTGGCAGCAGTTCATGGTCTTATGTACCTCTTGGAGAGCTTCTCTAGTTATTACCATGTTGCAGGAGACAGAGGCCAGTGACAGAGTGTTGAGGCGGCTAGAGGCTGGGCTCAAAGCTAGCTTCTCACTCACCAGGCTGGCAGCAGTTCATGGTCTTATGTACCTCTTGGAGAGCTTCTCTAGTTATTACCATGTTGCAGGAGACAGAGGCCAGTGACAGAGTGTTGAGGCTGCTAGAGGCTGGACTCAAGGCTAACTTCTCATCTACCAGGCTGGCAGCAGTTCATGGTCTTATGTACCTCTTGGGGAGCTTCTCTAGTTATTACCATGTTGCAGGAGACAGAGGCCAGTGACAGAGTGTTGAGGCGGCTAGAGGCTGGACTCAAAGCTAGCTTCTCACTCACCAGGCTGGCAGCAGTTCATGGTCTTATGTACCTTTTGGAGAGCTTCTCTAGTTATTACCATGTTGCAGGAGACAGAGGCCAGTGACAGAGTGTTGAGGCGGCTAGAGGCTGGGCTCAAAGCTAGCTTCTCACTCACCAGGCTGGCAGCAGTTCATGGTCTTATGTACCTCTTGGAGAGCTTCTCTAGTTATTACCATGTTGCAGGAGACAGAGGCCAGTGACAGAGTGTTGAGGCTGCTAGAGGCTGGACTCAAGGCTAACTTCTCATCTACCAGGCTGGCAGCAGTTCATGGTCTTATGTACCTCTTGGAGAGCTTCATTCATGTAAAGGTACTCTACAATCAGTGTAGCAACCATTTTTGAAAACACTCAACATTAGATTCAATAATTATTTTGAAAAGTTTCAACCTATCAAACACTCTTTGATAGATAAACTTCAATGTACTTAATGTAGAATGAATAGCAAATTGATGATATAGAGAATTTAAGTAAATCTTTAAGTTGTGTTTCTTTTCTTTTTTTTTATATTGTGAACTGCGTACCGTTCAAGTTTCTGATGGTATTTCTCACTAAGCTTTTCTTTGACAGAAATTGATTGAATGTAATGAACCAACTACAATTTGTGTCCATGTGAAGAAAAAGTACCCGTAGAAATATATTTAAGAGTGCTGCTATGAAATTTACATGGATATTTAAAAGAAATACAAATTATGTTATGAATAATTTGACAAAATAAGAACTCACGAGATTAAAAATTTTGCGACAGAGTAAATACATAATGTTTTCTAAAATAATATTCTATCAAATTTTTACAACAAGGACTCATTAATCAATTACAGACTGAGGAAAACGTTAGTGAAACTCCCAGCAAAGTGCCAGATACAAGGCAAAGACTTCTATCCATGGCGAAAGAGTTTATCAACAAGCACTTTACTGCCGAGTCTTCCACTCTGTAAGTACTTTCATAGCAATATTTGCCTAACTATTTCAGTTTTTCTCCAACTTAATGTTGTCCATTCATTTTTACAGAGAATACATTAAAGATAACAGAAAAAGTACATTCCTAATAATTTGAAAATCAATTATAAAAAGTTTCTTTTGAATTTAATTTTTATATTTAGCGTACACAGATTATGTGTATCACCAGCTGTATCTGTATATACAGTAATTTGTAATTGTCACCTCCATTCCTCCATACTCTATCTGACTGTTGTGTTACTTGTATAGACACAGTGAGGACAGCCAGCTAGTGGTGTATAGTCTGGTGTTTTATTTAATGGAACACTCACCAAATGATTTACCTTCAGAAGTACAGTCACATCTGCTACAACTGGTCATCTCCACATCCTCTGGAAGACAGATAGTTCTTTATCAGGCACTTATGCAGGTCAGTGTATGTCCAGTTTTAAATTCCCATCAGTTTTAATTCAAATTTTTTACTAAGAAATCTAGGAATTTTAGGACAAAAATATTGTCTTCAATTTAAAAATACATAGATTAAACTATCACTATCTCAGTCTCAGGTGCATAGTTAAGCAACCACTCCCTATTAGTGCAATATAGTCTTTTCATAGACAGTTCATACAGTAGACCTGGCTCAACTGAAATAATGATAACTGAAACCGCCTAATAAAAGAAAAACATTGAAATGCATCTTGGACAAAAGAAGAGAATGTGAAGTGACCTAACAAAGAGGGATGGCACAGGGTTTGGTGTTAAGGCCGTTGACTGCTACACAATGCAAACTACAAACACACTGGCTGCATTACTATGAATTTGAAAAGTACATGCTTTAAGTAGGGTAATAAAAACATACTAATATTAATTTATTTTAAGAACAACTTCAGAAGTGAATTTGTAAACCTAAACAACCAGCAACATATCAATATAGCAACCAGAAAATCCACTGTCAATAGTATATTTCATAACAAGAGTAGAAAGTGAGTCATCACATATTTGAGACCATGTTAAGTGCGAGATTTATCGAGAACTTTAAAAGGTTGAGAATATGTATAGACCCACTTTCACTCGTGTGTTGAACGTTACTTTTCGCTACACTAAAAAGACTAATGATTTTCTTGAAAATTAAAAAACTCATATTATTTTAAGGTTAGGCCTATAGCTTCAATTTAAAGTTAATATTTACTTTGGTTGTACAGTTTTGGTAGTTGAAAATTAAAACAGTTGACAAAACAATAACAAATCTTTGTTTGTTTACGTCGGCAAAGTAAAAAAGAAATAGTAAACATTACTTTCGCATAGTAACCATTTTTTGCCGTAGTAAAAAATGTAATGATGATTTTTTGCAGGTGATAAACCAGTAACAGAAACAGGTTTTCACTACACAATAGTGTAGCGAAAAAGAATTTTATCATAATGGTTAAAATACAAAAATAGTAAAAAACACAACAGATTTACAATATCTGTGCTCTAGAACTAGATGGAATTTCACATCAGTCTGTCACTGACGTCTGAAGTGAAGTCTTTAAGAAAAAATAAAAATTAAAACTTGAACCTGGGAATTGCAGAAGATTTAAAAATTCATAAACAATCTACATAATATTTTAGATCCAAATGTTTAACAAAATTGTTTAATAACATGAACATGTTCTTCAGTTACTTTTTTGCCTTATTCTCATCACTTTAAAATTTGAAAACCCTAGGTAACCAGCTGAAGGGTTGATTTTACAGTCCAATAGTAGATAATTATGTTTTACAGGGAGTAAGTAGATTGGTGTTGGCCCAAGTGCCAGGGCTATTGGAGCCTGTTACGAGGCTAGCTATGGACAGACTCAACCAATCAGATCCTGCAGTGTCTCTGCTTGCTTTGAGGCTACTTCTCATCTGCATGTATGGTGGTATGTCTCCTCCTTTTTCTCATCTTTTTACAATGAGGATAGTATTTGCTTTGTCTTGTACTGTATTGTATTGTAACGTCCAAAAGTAGTTATGCAAAACTTAACTGGTAAACTCTATTTAACACTTTGCACTCCGACGTCCGAATTATCGGACGTTGTAATTTCGGCCAAAAACTCCGTGGTCCGAAATATCGCACGTCAGCAAAATCTCCCGAAAAATCCGACGTCCGAAATATCGGTCATCAGTAAAATCGATCGTACTGGCTATATAAATAGTCCAAACGCGCTAATATTATGACATATTTGTTAGAAAGAGTTGTGAAATATTACTCTATGCTTTTTTTCTCCTTTCGTAGCTGTAATTTTGTGCTTGTCATCTTTTGTTTTTGTGGTCTATGGCGCTGGCCGGCTGACGCAATCCAGCTGTCTGCAGTAACTGGGAGGTCGGTGTTTGTTTGCTGTTTGCATTGTTATTGTTTATGTTTACTGCTAATGTTTCTGTTTACAGTTTTTTTAGAGTAAAATTTTAACCTTTTATTTATTTAGTTTACAATGGAAGATTCAGACAGTCCTGATGAAGATATTTATAACAGTAACAGACGCAGACGACAATCACCAGTTAGCGAAAATACACTATTCAGAAACGTAGTGGAATCTGGTGTTGGTGTTTATGATGACTTGAGTGACAGTTTTGTGGAAAACATATCAGATTCTGAAACTTCTGATAGTGAAAACAAAAGTGATGTTTTGTCAGGTTTTGATGATGATACTGATGAAGACCCTGACTATGTTTTATCAGAGGAAGAAAGTTCAGATGAAGATGCTCAACCTACAAAATCTCGTGATAGAATGAATGAATGAATGAATGAATGAATGAATGAATGAATGATTTATTCCGTCAAATTTGCTACAAAGTACAATATTACCTTTTTACTATAATATTAAGTTTACAACATGAAACAATCAAAAACAAAACAAGAAATAACAAAGTTGTGAACTTAATGTTGAATTATACTAAAACTAGCAAAACGAACATAATAAACTTATAATTTTGTAGCTAGTTATAATTGAATGGTCTTGTGGAATCAGCAGACATAGACAAACTCTGCCTGTGCGTCTGCTGGGTTGCATATAATCTTTAATGACCTAAACTTGTTTGATTGAAAATTCAAACGGAGATTGAATAAAAAACGGAAAAAAAAAGATTTTTTGAATTTTTCTTGAGGATGAATGATATGTAATTGACATGAAATGGGTGATAGATAATTACAGTGGGAGCAAATTCAGCTGTGTTGTGTCCATACAGTTGTGACGGCCAGGAGCTGTGCGCACGGCTGTCGGCTGGGGGGTTGGTGGGGGAGGGACAGCACAGCACAAGGGTCAGGTCAAACACGCCGGTAATCAGCTGAGATGATAAGTTCGGCCTCGTCCGTTCCTAGATTTAGAAGGAATTCTTTAACCCTGATTTTAAACAAGTTGAGAGAAGGTGAATCAAAGATGCCTAAGTTATTGAAATAAGAGCCGATGTTACGAAACAGAATATGAGAAATGTAAAAGGAGTTAGTTGTAGAAAAGGAATAATGTTTTTGTAATGTAGTGATACCAACTCTTGAAGAATACCTTGTGTTGTGTGAATGTGCAATTTCATGGAAAATGTTATTGTAATTTTTGAAAATATGAATTAATATATTTTTAATGTAAAGTTGGCGAATAGAAAAAAAAAGAAATATGCCTCTTGGTAGGCCTAGTGACATAGCTGAAAGTAGGCCTGTTGAGTTTGTAATTTTGAATTCAGGTAGGCCTAGTCCTAACCTAGCTTCAAATGGTAGGCCTAATCCCTCAACTAATCAATTGCATGATACCCAATTGCATGATACCAATAATGTAGATTTAATCCAAAATGTCCTTGAAGAAAATGTTGGCCTAAATGAGCCCCTTTTGAACAATGAAGTAAATGTAAATGCACCCCTTTTGAACAACGAAGTAAATGTAAATGCACCCCTTTTGAACTTGAATACAGTACATGCTACTATTGAAGATGTAATAAGAAATTCCGAACGTTGTGTAACCCCTAACCCTGACCCTGATATTCCACCAGATATGGACCCTAGTGAAGAAGAATGGAAACCTGTCCATGAAAGTGATGACCCTGGATTGACCATGACATTTTATTTTTCGAACAACCTGGTCCAAAGCACTGTCCTCCTCGTGATTCTGAACCGATTGGTTATTTTTATTTATTTTTCACGGTTAAAATCCTAACAAAATTTGTAAGAGAAACTAACAGGTATGCTAATCAGTACATCGAATCACATCTACATAATTTGACCCCTAATTCTAGAGCCCATAAATGGAGACCGGTAACACTAGCTGAAATGAAGGCATTTATTGCAGTAATTTTAAATATGGGCCTAAATAGGAAACCGACAATTCAGAGCTACTGGGCAACATCTGACTCCCAATATACTCCCTGGCACGGAAAGATGTTTAGTCGATCTCGTTTTGAAAGTATTATTCAATTTTTTCATTTTTTCATATGGTAGACAATTCAAATTTGCCTAAAATTGGGGAGCCTGGATATGACCCGTGTGCAAAATTTTCGCCCCTGCTAGAAGCCGTCAACAGACTGTTTAGGCTGTACTACACACCACACCGTGAGTTGTCGGTTGATGAATAATAATAATAATAATAATATATCTTTATTGTCGTTTGGTAATATAAACATTACAATAGACAAGGTCAACATGTTTTGTTACATATGTTATATAAAATATTAAATATTCTACAGAAAATGTTAAAATAAAGTTAAAAGAACCTTAAAAGGATAAAGCATCAGTAATAATAAAAACTCTGAAATTAACAGGGAAAAGACCATAACACGAACAAAGAATCATCAAGACTGCTTGGCCTCACATTTAAGCGTTGAAAAATCTACATTCTGCAAAAACTCCTCAACTGAATAAAAAGTGATGAAAGTTTGATCGGAACTAAATCAAGATCTCAGTTATTGCAATACCTCCCAAACAAACACCATCACAAATGGGGTGTAAAGTTATGGATGCTGTGTGATTCCATTTCGAGGTATTGCCTTACGTTTTATTGTTACAAGGGAACAAAAAGTACTGGACAGAAAACCACAGGCCTAGCCTACAAAGTTGTCCACAAACTGCTTGAGATAGGCCAGTATCTGTACAAGGGTTACCATGTTTTCATGGATAACTTTTTTACTAGTATCCCTTTAGCTACAAGTTTGTATGAGAAACTTACATTCATCACCGTCACCGTACGAAGGAATAGAATAGGCATTCCATCTAAACTAAAAGAAAAATTCGACATTGGCCAAAAGACCTACATGAGAAATGACCATCTTTTATTTTTAGGCTTCAGAGAGAAAAAAAGTCAGAAAAACCCAGTTATTTTATTATCATCTAGACATACTGCTAAGTCTATTGAAAAAATAAAAAAAAGAACAAATGAAAATTTAGTAAAAGAAATTCCTGAAATGATTGATGCATACAACCGTTTCATGGGTGGTGTTGACGGCAATGATCAAATGATGTATTGTTACTTGGATGAGAGACGCACCCTAAAATATTGGAAAAAAGTCACCTTTAACATATTTGCAAGAATCCTCCTAAATGCCTATATAATTTACTCAGAAAATACCAGCGGAAAAGTAATTTCAAGATACCACTTTACCATTTCTATTATTGAGGCGCTGTCTTCACAGTGGTACGAAGAAAAGAATCCTAGTAGAGCCCAAAAAGAAGATGGTCGGCGATGGACCAAATAACAAAACTCAATTTGGCATCACATCTTTACCTGGAAGACAGGAGAGGAACTGCTGTGTGTGCAGTCCTCTTAGCACAAGAATGGGAGGCAAGAGGAAAAAAAGCCGTACAATATGTGTTCGTTGTGGTAAAGGACTACATGGCGTTTGCTTCGGCGAACACAAATGCACCAAATAATAACAATTCCTGTTTGTAAATAGTTTTTTTGTCTTGTGTTTGCATAATTTGTAAATAGTTTTTTTGTCTTGTGTTTCAATGATTGACTGCATGGACTTTTTTATGACTTTTGCATGGCATGTTTTATTGAGTATTGTAAAAATTAATGTGGTTGAATAGATTTACTTTTTGAATATTCTCGACATTTTTATTTTGCGTTTTCAACAATCATTAGTGCTAAGCTAAAGGCCCTACACAAAAACTTATTTTGAGTTTTTTCTACAATATTACTTTTACAATACCATAATTTGATTTTTGGAAGAAATAGTTTGAAAAATGTAATGATTTGTGATACAGTCTTGGGGTAACCCTCATTTATCAAGATGCAAGTATTTTGGAGTTCGGACAAAAATTTTCAAATTTGCCTACAACTTCTTCATTTTTCAAGGTAGGTGCATGGAACTTGTGGTGTTTTGTTCAGAACTAAGTAGAGAATTTGAGAATACTAACATTATATATGGTCTCAATGGTTTTTTTTTTAGATATACACGTTCAAACATAATATTTTTCTAAAAATAAGAAATCAAACGTATTATAATAAAAAATAATTAAAAAAAATTATATTTGATATGGGTTATTTTCACTTATTTTTATGTAGAATTTCATAGGGAATAAAAGGAAACAAAAAGTATGTCTCTATCTGATCAGACAAGGAAGATACATAAATTTTACCAAACGCTTACAAAAATTAGTAAAAATGTCTGGAGTTTTTGGCTAGGCCTATCCGGCAAAGTACCGGCATTTTTGGCTAGGACCAAAAAATTTTTGCCGGAGTGCAAAGGGTTAAAAAGGTTTACACTAAATGCCATTAGATAAATTAATTAATTTAAATTTGATGACGCTTTATTTGAGTAGGCAGTCAAAATGAAATTAGAAAAACTACCTGTATTTTATAAACTAGAAATAGTTAAATGAAACTAAAAAATGAAGTGTTTGAATTATGTTGCAGGAGATTACAGCAGAATGAGGGGACAAGAGGATTTTGTAGATCCTGAGCAGCTTGTGGCGACCATGGAGAAAACCTCTGCTTTGTTTGATAGGTAGGCCAACAGTAAACCTACGTATCTTTCAAGCACAGGAGTAAGTTGACTTCTTGCATGGAAATAAACCTTAATAAGTTTAAAAAATGCATGTAAAATCTAAAAATGTATAGTTGTATCCTCTTTCAATTAAATGAATTACATAGGTTATTTAATCTTCTATTAAATCTACTGATGTATCCTAACTCTCCTCTACTGTAAAGTACTTTACAACAGCGTCATCCAAAAACAAAACATATGTATTCATTTTCCTTGTATATAATTTAATTGACAATATCACTAATCTTTTTTCAATCAATTATTTTGTTTTAATGTAGTCAAATTATGTGGGAAACAATTTTCAGAGTTAAAAAGGGAAGTCCTTCAGAGGTAGAATGTGTGTGTGCAGTTCTTCCGTACCTACTTGCTGACTTCTTCCCTGCTTCAGAAATGTTGACCAAAGTCATAGGAGAATTTCTTTCACCTCAGCAACCCAACCACAGACACCTATCTGCTGTTGTTTTTCAGGTTAGTATTTCAGTAACAAATGTATTGATAATTTTTATAATATCTATTCTCCTAAGAGGGTAGGTAAATTCTTGTACACTTTTGCATCATAGCAAAAAATCATTATTAGAAAGCAAAAAGAAATTTTTTCATAACTTGATAATTTAAATAGGAGGAATAAGAGAGAATCAATATCTACATGGGCCCAAGTAAATTATATTATAGGTAAAAGCATAAAAGAAAGTATTGATTTTACAGTGATGAAATATTTAGGTAAAGAAAATACACCTCAGGAAATATGTAATAGTTTTGTTCAACATTATACTCAAGGTATAAATGAAGTAGTCCATGGCTGTAATATAGTCACAAATTCAATGAAAAAATCCAGGAATAGACTGCATAAAAATAATCGATCTAATGAAAAAATCACAGGTGTTAACAGGTCCCTTGGTAAAATTTCCAATCCTGCACTATCGGCCGTGGCATTACAACATATTAATTAAGGTGTTCTTGTTTCATTTAATCCCCGTAACACCTTTTTTTCAAACATTACAATTGCAAAGTGAATAAAAATAAAAAGTTATAGTCTGATTGAGCAAAGCGAGGGAAGCTCTTATACTACACTCCTGCTTTTGATTTGCGAATTCCCCTCATGAACGGCTGAAGCAATCTACACAAAATTTAGCAGACATAGTAACCAACCATGGGAAGGTATTAATCTGAAATATAACAAATCAGACTTAATGGCTCTGTGGTACGGTATTATTAACTTAAAAAAAAAAATTAATATGGGCCTTATGAGATGATTGTTTGCTATTATGGTTTTGCAAAATACAAAAAAAGAAGTTTAAAACACAAAAGTTGTTACATATGTTAATTAACAAGCCATTGAACTGCGCTCTCACAGGTATGCAGAGAGGACCAACTATCATTGCTACAGGCGTGGTTGGTCATGTCTCTACTGATACATTATGTTTTGTGTGTTGGCCAGGTGTTATCACAGGCATGCAGAGAGGACCAACTACCATTGCTACAGGCGTGGTTGGTCATGTCTCTACTGATACATTATGTTTTGTGTGTTGGCCAGGTGTTATCACAGGCATGCAGAGAGGACCAACTACCATTGCTACAGGCGTGGTTGGTCATGTCTCTACTGATACATTATGTTTTGTGTAGATACATTATGTTTTGCGTATTGGCCAGGTGTTATCACAGGCATGCAGAGAGGACCAACTACCATTGCTACAGGCGTGGTTGGTCATGTCTCTACTGATACATTAAGTTTTCTGTGTTGGCCAGGTGTTATCACAGGCATGCAGAGAGGACCAACTACCATTGCTACAGGCGTGGTTGTCCATGTCTCTACTGATACATTATTTTTTCTGTGTTGGCCAGGTGTTATCACAGGCATGCAGAGAGGACCAACTACCATTGCTACAGGCGTGGTTGGTCATGTCTCTACTGATATATTATGTTTTCTGTGTTGTCCAGGTGTTATCACAGGCATGCAGAGAGGACCAACTACCATTGCTACAGGCGTGGTTGGTCATGTCTCTACTGATACATTATGTTTTGTGTAGATACATTATGTTTTGCGTATTGGCCAGGTGTTATCACAGGCATGCAGAGAGGACCAACTACCATTGCTACAGGCGTGGTTGGTCATGTCTCTACTGATACATTATGTTTTCTGTGTTGGCCAGGTGATATCACAGGCATGCAGAGAGGACCAACTACCATTGCTACAGGCGTGGTTGGTCATGTCTCTACTGATACATTATGTTTTGTGTATTGGCCAGGTGTTATCACAGGCATGCAGAGAGGACCAACTACCATTGCTACAGGCGTGGTTGGTCATGTCTCTACTGATACATTATGTTTTCTGTGTTGGCCAGGTGATATCACAGGCATGCAGAGAGGACCAACTACCATTGCTACAGGCGTGGTTGGTCATGTCTCTACTGATACATTATGTTTTGTGTATTGGCCAGGTGTTATCACAGGCATGCAGAGAGGACCAACTACCATTGCTACAGGCGTGGTTGGTCATGTCTCTACTGATACATTATGTTTTGTGTATTGGCCAGGTGTTATCACAGGCATGCAGAGAGGACCAACTACCATTGCTACAGGCGTGGTTGGTAATGTCTCTTCATATCTTTACTCAGACTCTGCCTGTAGCCACATCCACTTGGTGCCTTGCCTGCTTCTTCATCAGTGCCTCCACTAATCCTTGGCTGAGAGCTATGTATCCTTTCTACGAGCCAGTTTTATGTTATTTTAGATTTCTAAAATCTCTTTAACCTTTTTTTGTAAGGTAAACTGCAAACTCAATTAGGCCTTTTTACCATCTCCACCTTTAACAACAAAACCAAGTAACCAGAAAACGCCAAATAAAAACGATTAATACCAATCCAATTACGTGCCCCAGGTTCCCTAGTAATTATTATTATAACTTTTTTTCTAAATGGCATTTGTTTGGGCCCAAATTTGATGTTTGAGAACCTGTCATTTCAAACAACCGTTTCACAAAAGTAAGGACGACTTATTCGTTTTATTCAACTTCCAGTTTTGATTACATTTGGCATGAATATGAAAGGCTGGATCAGTGAATAGCTTAGATATTGACAAATCTTGTGCATTGTGCTTTGTAAGGACTACAAAGTGACAATGATGATGACCCTGTGATAGTGGGAGAAGTTCACGGGAGAGATATTCACAATTTTACCACGATGGCAGGTGACGACGATTATGTCCCTGTGATCGCTGGAGATGTGCAAGATTTTGTTGCGACTTACGGAGTGGGGACCAGGTAATTTGACCAAGGGCCGCATTATTTATTTTAACTCAAGCTATTAATATTTTAATAAAAAAACACACTTTTTTACCCTCGGGGTAGCAGCAAACCTAGGTACTAATGAAACCACATGTTATTGAAATAAATTGAATTTAAAATCAAATCAGGCAAACGGAAACTCACTTAATCTGCAGGTTTGCTGTGGCGGGGGTATTTTACCTATTCCATGAAATGCAGAGATGGCATCACAACCTGTGATTGCAAGGAAAATGAAAAGGTTGCTGCAGATCTCTGGAGAAAGTTGAGAAAACAAAACACTGAAAAGTTTTAGTTATTTTATTTATTAAAGGCCGCCATTATAAAATGACCTTATCAAACTTAACCATTGACAACCTGGGCTGAGATATTGTGTTCAAGCACTTGTATGGCAAATTTCATTAAAATCGGTTCAGCACATACCCACAAAATATTGTCAAGCGTTCTTCCTTAATAGTATTTAATGAGGAAATTGTTTACAGAATACTTCACTTAACCCTAGCAGTGGCCAACCATCGTCTGGTGACGGTTTGACGTTGATGCTTAGAATGGCCAGCCGTCGTCTGGTGACGGTATGGGCCGAAATTATTTTAACGGTAAAAAAACACTTATGAGAATAATATATATACCATTCGAAGGATCACATTCTGAACTTTCGTTTTATTACATAAACGAACCCTGTAGCAGGTATATAACAATTCCACGACGATTAGAAATCAAATTAATTTTTGGAGCGGCACGACTTTAGCAGCTGACCCTTGGGAACTGGCAAAACACGTCTTGTTTGGCATTACCCTGCTCGGGTAATAATCGCCTTGGGATGTTGCGGGTGGTACCACTGGATAGCCATTGATTTTATCTTCATTGTGGTAGTGATATTTTAGAACTAAATATTGATTGGACAACCGGTACGATTTTATGAAAACAGCTGTTTTCGAAATTTATAACAAATGGCCAACCGTTGTCAGGTGACTGTATGGAAAATGCAAATTACATACAGTGTAAGTTATTATTACTAGTCATATAATATGTCATTTTGAAGAGGAAGAAATGTAGCTTGTTATAGTGGCAGCCCTGCGCTCAGGGTTATTTTTGGTTTCTCTCACTAGGACGACGAAAGTGTGTCACTACTGTCAAGATCTCACACACAAAGTGCCTTGTATTCGCCATTGCGTGTTGTTGCCGGTGAGTTTTCGCTCTCGTTTTATCTGCGATTGATTACTAAATTTGTTTTTATTTCGTATTTTTTGAGAAATGTGTATGTGTATATAACAGTAATCTTCATGTATTTTATTATGCATGAATATTTACTGAATGGTGTCAAATTGTGTTTATAAAAGGTTGTATTTTTCTTTTGGTTGTATTTTGAGGTTTTCCGTTTATTTATATTATTATGCCCCTAGCACGTAAAAACAAAAATTTTTACCCAACATGTTATACATTTTTATGTACGTAATTGAATACACTACAAGATGTTTATGTTGGTTTGAAGTAAAAACATTTGGTACAAAAGTTTTATACTAAATACTATGATTTTTTTTCTCACAAAATCGCTAAAATACAAAAACATTATTTTATTTATAAATAAAAAATATTTTTACCATAAACTTTATGACTTTTTTGATTCCTTACTTCATTAGCTTTACACACATGTATATATCATTATTAGTATACACATATATTATATCACTTTTTACAACACAAACTAACACTGTACGGTTTTCAATTTTTTCGGTTCTCCGTTTGTTATTATATTTCGCCCCAAAAACTTATAAAAAAAAAATATTTTCCTAACATGTTATATTTTTTCTATGTAGGGAATTAGATTGTCTACAAAATGTATATAATGAATTTCCCATAACAAATCCGCAGACAAAAAATACCAAGGCCGCTTTTGAAATAAAAAAAAAAATCAAATTCTTTTATTTTTTCACTTTACCGAAGAAATACACAATCTAAATCATTATTATATTACTATTTCTAGATTCTCCTGTTCTTTCCGAACAAAATGAATATGAGGTTGGCTAGGTTTACTTGTACGGTTGAATTTTTACAAATTTTCAAAAAAAGGTCTGCAAAATCGCCCAAATGGGTTGGCCATTCCCCACTTCTAACATTGGCCACTGCTAGGGTTAAGCATGACCTGAGATTTTCACTTATAATGTTTCACTATACTTCTTTAACTGGCCACTAGATTCCCTCATGTTCAGTCACGGATGGGTAAGTTCACTTATGAAGACAGGAAGCTGCTTTGTATTGCTGCCTCAGACTTCTACAGACAGGTTTGTGGCGCTTGAAACAATTTGATTGCAAATTTCAATGTATTGTTTGTTTAGTCATATATGTAAATTATTTAAAGAAACATCTTGTAAATAATTTCCTTGTGGTGTTGATAGCAAACAAACATTTTTTTAATGTTAGTACTTTTGTGTTATTAGACTTTATTTAAATCGTTTTGGTGTTTGTTGACATATGATTGTATTTTCCAGCTGACTGATGATAAGCAAAAGGAAACATTCTATAGAACCTTTAAAGAAGCAGCATCAACTCCACGGAGCCCTTTTGCTGATGTGATTGCAAGTCTATAGTCAAAAAATTGCAACAGAGTCAAAATAACAGCTGAAAAAGTAAGTATACAATCTATATATATAAAGCTCAAATACCACTGACTCATTCACTCACTCATCACGAAACCTCAGAAACCATAAGACCTAGGAACCTGAAACTTGGCAGGCATCTTCCTTTTGGGTAGTAGACGCTCACTAAGAAAGGATTTTACCCTCCGACCTCTGGGCTCCGCCCCAGTGGCTCTGGAGTTTCCCATGTTAACCTTATGAGTACTTTTATTTAAATGGAATTAATGAATCTTAACAGCTGTTTCAATTAAACAAGTTGGTTCTGTTCCATGATGTTCAATAGCATTAAAGTTACAAGGATTACCAACAGGGTGCAGCACTATTATTTCTTTTACATTTATGACAACAGCTAATTTGCAACCAAAAGGTGAGTGAGCGTAGCGAACGAACTTCAACCTGGAGGCGAGTTAGCGTAGCGAGCGAGCTAACCTGAAGGCAAGTGAGCACAGCGAATGAGCTCTAACCTAAAAGTGAGTGAGCGTAGCGAACGAACTTCAACCAGGACGTGATTGAGCCATACGAGCTCACTTATGAAGTTAAACGGCGCAAAGCCCGCGGGTACAGCTAGTTTATTATAAATTCAATCATATTTATGTTGGTTAAATTAAGTTGTAGTATCTTAAAACCTGTTATTACTTTAAAGTTATAATTCCTTAAAACGGATAATGAACTGGGAATTTTAACTGGCATAAAAACAATTTAATTGATTTTCAAACGGTTAACACCAGAATTGTAGCAATATTGTGATCATCTCCTGCAATCACAGCAACATCAAGCAATCTCTCACGTTGCAGAAATTAATTAAAATTTGCTGGTCTCATATTTTTGGGGCGTTATGAAGCTGCCTTGTAAAACCCTTACCTTTCTAAAAAACTGATATTCCTGAGAGCTGCCTTCAGGTAACAACCTGTCACCAGTTAACTTAAGTGTACATAGCCTACTATTTTGTATGATCAATATAGTAGCGGTGTCAATGCAGTCAATGTTAAAAAAACTACAGTCGTATCTATGTTTGTTCAAAGATATCTGACTTTGAATGAACATAGCCTTGAAATTTTAAAATTGAATAAACAAATTTGATATCTGAAAAGCCTTCTTCATTTCGGTTAACCAGGTTTTACTGTAGTATGTACAAAGAGTAAGAAATATGCAATTTTATTTGTAGCCTCAAAGAAGTTTTTACCCTTTTACCTCCAAATGCAGATATAAATGTTAAAAGAGTAACACAATCAAAATTCAATTTAGAAGTAACCTTGGAGTTAAATTAAAACTTTGCTCGTCCGCTTTGGACTGTTAGTTAACGAGTGTTGTTAGTAAGGTAGTTAGGCGTGGTCAGTGGCCAAGTAGTCTGAGTGACTGGGCTTTTAGTTAACAAGTGTTGTTAATGTGAGGTGTGGTCAGTGGCCAAGCAGTCTGAGTGCTTGGGCTTTTAGTTAACGAGTGTTAATAGTAAGGTAGTTAGGTGAGGTCAGTGGCCTAGCAGTCTGAGTGCTTTGGCTATTAGTTAACGAGTGTTGTTAGTGTGGTAGTTAGATGTGGTCAGTGGCCAAGCAGTCTGAGTGCTTGGGCTTTTAGTTAACGATTCTTGTTAGTGTGGTAGTTAGGCGTGGTCAGTGTGTGACGCATAGCGGCACGCTATATTTGATATATAGTATGCACATTTCGCAAAGCCGGGCTACATGGCCAGCTCGTAGCCTGTCGCGACTGCATCAACGCTCTATCCCCACCTTCCTACTCTTCTCCTCCTTCTTGTTCTTGATCTACGAGCCTTGGAAGAGAAAACTGTGAAATTGCTAACTCCGGCAACCGCAAACTGATAAGTTTATATTTAGTTATAATTATGTAGATATTAGGGATGGACGGGATTGAATTTTTAGTTCGGGACGGGACGGGACGGGATTTTTATTTCCTTCCCGATTTTCGGGACGGGACGGGACGGGATTTTTTTCTGTGTATAAAAAGAAAGTACTGTATTGCAGTTACCAAAAAAGACATACGAAATCAATTTTTACCATTTGTGGCACTGATCTATAAAAACCAAAAAATGGGTAACAATTTACAGGTACCTATAGAAACTTGTGACTCGCGGGTCACAAGGTGATTGTCTGTATGACTCACGGTCATGGCGCGATCGTCGTCATGACTCGCGGTCACGGCGCGATCGTCGGTATGACTTCGCGGTCACGGGGTTATCGTCAGTATGACTCCACGGTCACGGCGCGATCGTCGTCATGACTCGCGGTCACGGCACGATCGTCGGTATGACTTGCGGTCACGGCGCGATCGTCGGTATGACTCCACGGTCACGGCGCGATCGTCGGTATGACTCCACGGTCACGGCGCGATCATCGTCATGACTCGCGGTCACGACGCGATCGTCGGTATGACTCGCGGTCACGGCGCGATCGTCGGTATGACTCCACGGTCACGGCGCGATCGTCGGTATGACTCCACGGTCACGGGGTTATCGTCAGTATGACTCCACGGTCACGGCGCGATCGTCGTCATGACTCGCGGTCACGGCGCGATCGTCAGCATGACTCGCTGTCACGGGGTTATCGTCGGTATGACTCCACGGTCACGGCGCGATCGTCGTCATGACTCGCGGTCACGACGCGATCGTCGGTATGACTCGCGGTCACGGCGCGATCGTCGGTAGGACTCCGCGGTCACGGCGCGATCGTCGGTAGGACTCCGTGGTCACGGCGCGATCGTCGGTATGACTCGCGGTCACGGCGCGATCGTCGGTAGGACTCCGCGGTCACGGCGCGATCGTCGGTAGGACTCCGCGGTCACGGCGCGATCGTCGGTAGGACTCCGCGGTCACGGCGCGATCGTCGGTATGACTCGCGGTCACGGCGCGGTCGTCGGTAGGACTCCGCGGTCACGGCGCGGTCGTCGGTAGGACTCGCGGTCACGGCGCGGTCGTCGGTAGGATTCCGCGGTCACGGCGTAATCGTCGAAATGACTTCGTCTCCTGCGTTCGCGGACCTATCGCTCGCAATAACGGCGTTATCGGCACTCGCGAAGCGGAAAAATCGCCGACGATCGGACCAAATCCCGTCCCGAAAAATTCCCGAGTCAAATGTAATCCCGTCCCGATAATCGGGAATATTTTTTTCCCGAAAAATTCCCGAAATTTCGGGACCCGTCCATCCCTAGTAGATATATAAGTTCCAATTATGGTTGGCTAAGTCAGGAAACAAGCGGGTAGCCCTTCTGGCTCACCCGACTATTGAAATGTAGGAAATCACAACTTAGTCGGTTGGCTGCAACGTTCTTAAACATGAAATATTAAACCACATGTTCCCAGAATGTAGCTTAGCAATTATCAATCAAATTCATACATATTTCACATTCAGTATTCAATTATATAGCATTTATTCACTCATCAATATTAGTAAGTAATTATCCATGTTCAGTTCATAGTTGGAAGGATAGGTCTACAGTTAAATATTTAGTTAAATTAGTGTAAATCAAAGCTGGCTAGGCAAGTGTTCTGATCTGGGTAAAAGGTCTCCGTCCCTCTGGTCCCCAGCAATCTTCCTAATTTTATTGGTAGCAGATTCAGCACGCTAATACTAAGTTTGGTCCAGACACAGATATTCCTAACCTATTAGCATTACCCTGTTTATTCCCTCCTGATTATCCGAATTCCAACAATGTACCCATCGCCCCCAGTTCATCCTTTGATTAATCCCCCCCCGGCTACAAGTGGCCAAGCAGTCTGAGTGCTTGGGCTTTTAGTTAACGAGTGTTGTTAGTGTGGTAGTTAGGTGTGGTCAGTGGCCAGGAGACGGCAATGAAGGTAGATTGATTTTATGAATTTCATCTCTGTCACCTGTCTGGCAGAGCTTGGTAGAAGAGACCTGTAGTAGTTGGGTGAATCCTTTGCGAGTTGTACCTCAAAAGAACCATTTTGTTACTTTTACTTTTCCTTACTGAGCGACACGCCAAAAACTTACTTTAAAATAATTTTAAATTTTCCTGTAGACATACTGTGATCAAATCATCAAATTACTAAAGAATCCAGGATTCAAATATGATAAAATAATATTTCGATACTAATTGGCAGTCAATGGGCCTTTTGGCCATCAGTTTTTTTGTTTTCAAACAACTGCTGATGTCTGTGTAATTTGTTTGATATTTCAGGGGTTGCAGCTTTAACACATTTTTAATGAAGACATACAAACCCAAGACTCACAGTGAAGAGTTAAATTCTCTTCATTTTACACTGGTAATGTTATGTAGAAATAATTTGTTATATTTTTATAAGTTATTATATACTGTTAATTAGTGTCAGGGTTAATTGTTGTATTGACTAGTGTGATACGTTAAACTACATTTGTTTTTATTAATGTATAAGTTGAATTTATCAGCCAGTACCTTAGTCATACGCTTTTTACAATCCAAGTCTAGCCAATGTATAGTTTTGTTTTATTTATATTTATATATAGTCATCAACAACCAAAGGTATATTACTTAAACTTGTACCTTAGACATTCCGATCTTTTTATCATTGCTTCCAGGAAAGTGTTAACTGCTAAGGTTGTATGGAAAGTGTTGATTGAGTGTTACTGTGGCTATAAATACAATCTGAATAGTTGGTTACCATCACGAATACTTGAACAGAACAAATATGTATCATAAACATAAACAAATGACTTTGCTGACCCGAATCCTATACTAATAGCATTAACATATGGTTTAGACAGTTCCATTTAAGCAATGTTAAATAATGTTTATTTTCGGGCCAGGAACGTCATTTGCTTATGTTTATGATCCATACCGGTTCTGTTCAAGTATTCATGGTTACTGTAGAACACAGAAAAACCACCTCACTAAATATCAAATTGTTAGAGGAGTACAGTAAAAATTTAATTTTTCAATTAATTTTGTACTAAGAATTCATCTTTTAAATTAAGAAAATCCAAAATCTGTAATGTTAGGCCATAAAATAAAAATATTTTTCTAAAGGTTTTATTATCTGAACTCGGTGTGGTTTTCTCACAGAAATATATAATAATGGATATCACAAAAGCATTGAAAGAGTTTGTTATGGCATCTCCCTTAGTTATATTTCATGTCATTCTATGTAAATCCTAATGTTTAAAATTGTTGTCTAGCCTACAAGTTAAATATTTAGCTCTGTTCTTCCTTTAGTTAAGAAACAATCAATACAGACAGTGTTAGACCGATCTGTATACAGTATAACAAACAGAAACAAAGCCTACTATAATATAGCCTACAGGTAATGTAGGATTTGGTTTATGGTATAAGCCTAGTAAAAGGCCTAAAAAAATAGTCACTAGCCAATGAAACATGGTTGAATAAAAATTTAGATTTTAAGACATAATGAGGATTTTTGACTACAATACAAGGACTTAAATTTCTAATCGAAAAATCAAACCACAGAACACATTTTGAAAACCTGATACAGTTGCCGATTTGTTTTTTTAAACTTTATGACAATGCAATTTCTTCATAATATCCCTGATATAAATATATAACTTTTTCAGATTGATCCTTCTCCTTCCATGTTTGAAGTTCTTATGTAGGTATTTCCCCAAAATACCTATATTTAATAAATAAATACCTTTTAGAAAGTATTGGCTCAATATAATTAAACAATATTTTTGCTTTGAAAAAGTACATCCTCAGATATCCTGATAGTAAGAGAAAACCATTTAAAGTGTAACACAATTTTGTAATGTAACATGAGTATATCCAAGGCCGCACTAGATATGCAGGCCGTCCTGCTAATTGTGTGACGTCACAACTGTAGGCAGTCCCGCTGCCGCTACACACACAGGGGCTTATAAAGATTTATTGCAAAGAAATAAACCTACCACCACTTCTTTATTGTTCGATATTTACAATTTTATCATAAACGTTTGAATGGTTGTGGACGATTTTGTTAGTATACCACCGCGTTATGCCGACTGACCACACCGCATAGCGGGGAAGCGACCGCCTTCAGTTGTGACGTAGCGCCTGAAGTGGTGGGGGAGCAGGACGGCCCCTATATCTATAGGAACCTTGGTATATCACATAATCTTTTTATTATATATTAGTTTTTCTTTCGATTACTTAAAGTAATATCCGTTACCTTATTACGATTTCTCGTACAATTCGTTACTCTGTTATGATTTTTTCAGTAACCTACAGTTATTATGTTATGTATGCTATCATGTTTGTAACATATTTAATATATTGAAAATAAAAGTGAGATGTAAGATAGTATTTTGACAAAATCACAGTTGTACCTAAATAAATTTTATCTAGTAAATTGGTGGATTCTCATTATTTCTTTCATATTCTCTTGTGATTGAACCCTATCACATTTACTTTAGCCCCACATGTACAATTGTACATCTCCAAAACATTGCTTGGGAATGTTGTAATCGTTACCACAGAATGCGAGCTTTATTCTGGTGTAGGTTGGTACTAAAATTGCCCGTAAAATCCCGTCTGGCAATGCTTTTGTCCCGTTTTTGGAGATTTTCTCTATTCGAGCCATATTACAAAGACTCTATTATTGATTATTGGTTATTGATCCAGGCAGTGCTGCTACCTTTGGGTGTTTCAGTGAACTACGTCCACTTTCGGGGTAACGCAGAACCATCACCACTGCTCTTTTGTGATTCGTCTTACTGAGATATTTCAATACCAATAGCGATCGCTGATTCAGTTAGCACGTTGGGGCCTCACCGCCATTGGCGAGCGCCTGTTTAAAGGTTTTCAGCAGCGAACGTGTTAACTGGTTTTGTTATCTCCAAAACAAAAATGATATTCTCTCATTCTTTCTTACACTACAGTCAAACCATCTCAATCTCATAATGCCTAAGACTAGTAGAATGTCTCATTAAGTTCAAAGAGCAATCATGGCCGACACAAGTATACCTTGCTCAGTCTTCAAGCGCTCTACTCCGTGATGTGTGATCTATTTGATCCATGGTCTGTTTGCATCAGCAAAGACTGATCTCTAAACATTATGAAACAGTACTAACATTTTGCAACATGTTTTCTTCGCCTTTATATGTTAGATTTTGGTAAATAAATTGATTCTCCAACTCATCTAAACGGGCATAAAATGGCATTTTACTATGCTAAAAATTTTTGTTCTGAAACAAATATATTTCCCATGTCCAAGGACCCAGAACTATGATCTGTTTCACAAGAAGAGGCAATTGACACTATAAATACTCCTAAAGTAAAATAAAACAAAGTACCATAGTGCTGATAAAAATATTTATTATCTTATATACTTTGGTGAACAAAATTTTAATTCTACACATCTATAAGCTCAAGCTGAGGAAATTCTAAACTTTTCTCAAGCCAGAGGGCGACAGAGAGCAAAGTTTGCTCACAGAAGTTGGGGGCAATCAGCTGTAGACCGATAGGCAGGTGGTCTTCTGACAAGCAGACAGGCAATGAAACTGCGGGACACCCTGCACATATAAAACAATCAAACATAAGAAGTTGAAATCTAAAATACACAATAATGTCTATATTTAAATAGATATATGTAATCAATTTTACCACCTTCATTAAGAAGGTTTTTGACATACTGCAGCAAAAACAGCCCTTTTTAATATGTATGCGTTTCGGGTCTAAAGAAGCTATTTTACTCTCTAGGGAGTAAAAAGCCTTTTTCTGACATAGGGAGTAAATGTCAGCTGCGGTAAACAGAGTTGAAAATTTTGCTTGTAGGCCTAACCAATCGCATGTATCAAAGTTATTTATCGATTGATTCAACCGTTTGTAGCTTGTTGTTGTCAATGGTTTGACATCGATAGTATAATGTACAGTAGGCCTAACACAATCGTAATGGACAAAACGATCGAATCACTTAATAAACAGCTGCTTATTTGCATTGGAAAAATTGAAAACAAGCTGAAGTCGTTTTGAGAGGTTATCTTTCTTTACTCTTTATTTGAAAAGTATTTTTGTTTTCTAACTTACATTTTTAAATAATTTTGCAATATGACAAAAAATGTATCTCTTCACACGGGCAAAACGTCAAAAATGTGTCTTTTCAACCCAAGCTTATTTTCTGAAGAGCTCTGGTCAAAAATAGTCACTTTACACCCTAGTGGTGAAATGTACTATTTATATGTTGCAGTGAATCTATCTACCTATTAGTGATGGGGGGGATCCAAGAAAATATCGGTACCGGATCCGGATTTTCGGAACGTTGTTGTTCCAACACTTATACTAGTAGATTACTCGATTGCCAGTTTGATTATATTTTCTACGTCAACATACTATGCTCACTGAGACAGAGACGTACCAGCCATGTTGGCAGGTTGAGTGCAGTAGTCCTGTGTGTCACATTGTTCTCTGTTGGAGAGGCTGGTGAACTTGTTAAAGGGAGGAGCAGGGGAGAGAGTGGTGGGGGTCAGCAGAAGGTCAACTCCATCCCTCCATACAGCAGCAAAGTCCTCTGCTATCAGACGTCGCACTTTCATTGCTTGTTCAAAGTATTTCTCGTAGTTGCTAAAACATATGTTACCTTCGGTTAACTGATTGATATCTTTACACCAGCTGAATAAAAATTAGATAAATCTCTATAATATAAAAATGATGAACGTCTTCCTTTTGTTCAATGCGATGCCAAACCAATTATCATGAAACTTTAGGAAGTTGCTATTCAAAAATATTTGTGTAAAATCAAGTTTTAAAAACTTTGTTTGGTATAGAAAATCTTTCTTAATTTATAATATTAAATACTTTGGTAATAAACGATTACCTTATGGGGAGAGTGAGTTTGTCTACAAATTTTCTTATTTGATTTCTAAAGCGTTAATAAACCACGGATGTTGGTTTACTTTCTATTATTAATGTGCTTTACCATCCAATTCCGTCTGTATCTAACATTTAGGCTGCATAAAATTATAAAGTAAATAAGTAATTTACAAAAATCAGTTTTATATGCCACGTTGAGTAATATTTTAAGACTTTAGGTAGTGATGGATCAGTTGCAGGTTTTATAGATTCGGTTGTAGTTCAGTTTTTTTTCTATTTTAACGTAGTTCTATTTTAACGTTAATTCAGTTTTTTGTTTTTTTTTTTAACTCGCAGAATTCCATAGTATGATTTATAGGCTTACAAATGCCCCACTTAATGAAGAGAAATACAAAAAGGAGATGAACATCATTAAGGAAATAGCTGTTAATAATAGATATCACCCAACCCTTATCACAAAGGTATTAATGAAAGAAAAATGAAACCAAAGAAAACAAGAGCCCAAAACTAATCAAGAATTTGTGACCACAACCTACCACGGAAAGATAAACAACTCTTTCTATAAAATCCTAGAAGAACAGGGACTCAAAGTTGCCTACAAATCGACTAACAACCTCGGGAGTTTGCTAAACAAAAAGCAACTGACAACAGTAGACAACTTCGCAGGTACAGGGGTCTACAAATTAACCTGTGGCTCTTGCCCTAAATTTTATATTGGGCAAACGGGCAGAAGTTTTCACCAGCGTTTCAAAGTATATCCCCCCAAAAAGACCCCAACCAGCTCATCAACCTATTGTAAACATTTAATTTCAGAAAACCATTCCTACACCTCAATAGATGCCAACTTATAAAATCTTACATAAAGCCCCTAAAAACAAGAAGTTAAATAGGCTACAATAAAACATTTTCATATATAAAACGCTACTAAAACCGACCCATCCCTCATACTAAATGACCAAAGAAATTTTGTCACTAACATCATGTTCGACTCATTAATTGAAATAAGAAATAAATAATACAATACAATCCTTATACAGTCCAACCTCAGTATAACGAATCTGAAGGGACCGAACTGAATATTCGTTATATCAAGGATTTCGTTAAAATGAGGTTCGTTATATAGAGGTTAGGTTTGCAGGAATTTCGCTAAGTTGAGGTTCAGAACCAGCGTCGGTCAATATAGGCCGGGATTTGACCTCATTAAAACACAGTTAAAGAAGCATAGGCTACAATACTTTACAGTACAGTGTTCATTGTACAGTAGAACCTTCTGTATCCAATAGTCAATGGTGGAACCTTAATTATCCGGCATAATAAAGGAGAGGGATCTTGAATATTGCGCAATCATGACAATGGTATTGACCTTGGTACAGGTTAAAAACTGTAGCTTGTTTTAACCCTCCTAAAACCTAGCCAAACACTGCATTGCGTAGTCATAAACCATGTAAAAAACAAAACAAAACAGTAGAAGGTTTAGTAAGCTACTGACTGTTCCGTGATAGGCCGGTAGGCTACTTACAGTACAGTAACGTACTGATTTATCACAATAGAGGAATGTCAATAATAATCATTAACAATAGCATTGGTGTTGCTAGTTGAAACAAATCGTATTGAAAACAATAAGTTATTAGATAAGTCATTATAAAAAAAGTGCATATTCATAGACAACTTAAAGATAATAAAAACACTCGTAAATTAAGGAATGTTAAAATAACGATGTTGCTATTCTTTCTCTTTGCTTTTGTTTTTATATTCTTTCTTAGATTTCTCTTTATCCAAAAATTGTACAATTCGCCATATTTACTTATCACCCAATCACAGCTTACTACAGATTACGTCGTCATCAGTCCTCAGTGAATGAAATCAGTTCTCAGTTGCAACATTGTGTGCGCAGCGACAGCAGACAGAGAGATTTGAAAACGGAGCAGACGAATGTTAGCGCAAGCGATGAAATCACCTTTCCATTTCATTTGATAAAGAAACAGATTTTCCAAAAACAATACTGGGGTGGGGGATTTGTTATATTAAGGGAAAGACGTAGACAATTCGTTGTGCAGAGGTTAAATTCACAATGTAGAGGTTCTGACAATGATAAATTTGTTATATTGAGGTGTCTTATATTAGCTGAAATCACGAAAAATTCGTTAAATCAAGGTCGTTGTTATGGTTTGTTTGTTATGTAGAGGTAAAATATACATAGTCTCTTATGGAGAGTTCTAGGGGATTAAAAACAATTTGTTATATCAAGGAATTCGTTATATTGAGGTTCGTTATATCAAGGTTAGACTGTATATCCATATATATAATACGTGAAGGCGATTTCTACAAAACACTACTCCTCCGTTAATAATGGACAGATTTTTACAAACGATGTGTCAAAATCAAGCATTTTTTGTGTAGACGCTCCCTTTCAAAAATTCCTGTAGTAAAAGTTCTTGGTCTTTGCCCCACAGGCCAACAAAATCCCAATATATTTCTTATGAAAGAAAATATTTTGTCTATTTTTAACAGACGAATAATTTGTATTACGAGTAATTACAGCTGTTCATATTAAACACAACACACAAAAGCGTTCGTTTTCAGAGTGAGTTTGTTTTCAGTTTCAATAACTGGAGTGGAGTGAGCGTTCGTTTTCAGAGTGAGTTTGTTTTCAGTTTTGATAACTGTAGTGGAGAGATTAATTACATTCTTTTTGAGTTGACTCTTTTAAGTAATCGGAAATTATGACTGTTATTCGTTTTGAAATATCGCCTGGAATACTTTGCAACTGCTCGAATTCGAGGAACAAGTGCACTAGTATTAACAAGCATCTGTTTGCAAAAATACATAACTCTCTGGAGTGATAAGACCATGCTGCTAGAAGTAAAAGTCATCACATCCCAACTTCGGAGGTTAGGATTGATAAAGATCATGGCCATGAATCTAAGTTGTTTTCATTTATGTCTTTGTGAATATTTATACGTGTTCAATGTTACAAACTATACCAAATCAACAATATCTCAAGTAAGAGATGGCAAACTAAAGGTTTAGCTAGCCTATGAGATAGAGGACTGACAATAACGACGTAGGAACCTAGGTCTCCGCTATCTAATAAATTGGATCGTAAGGTAAAGCCTTAGATTTAATTATAAAAAATATAGTTATTTATCCAGTTGTGAAGGTTAATTTGAAACCTTTTGAGCAAGAAGTAGTTGCCGGTGAGTATGCGGCTGCGGACGACCAGCCCCAATGCCTGACTGCGAGTGTCAGCAAACAGCTGTTCTGTGGAGACATTAGTGTCAGCTCGGTGGCCGTACTGCAGGCCATCATACCTAGCCATGTTGCTGGCCACTTCACACTGATTCAACACAGAGTAACACACGATGGACAGATCCGTGTGAGGCATGGATACCTGTAGGAATACAACATCAAGATTAGTGGTTAGTAATTGGTAAGAGGTTCATGGTCTCAGTTAAACTTGAACTTTCCCATTAACACAAGCGAGAAACGTATTCAAGCAAACCAAGAGGTAAGCTGGTACAGTAGCCTACAATGATGGACTGTAAGTTAAAATGGCGGTAAACCCACAGCATTGATGCCTCGGATTTACACATTTACAGATTAGACAATTCTGCATCAGAAGCCCCAAAAACCTATTGAACCACAGAAGTCTTGAGTGAAATGTACCTAAATCAACACTTTATGTTATTTGTGAATTTTTATGCCTAAAAATATTCAGTTAAGACATTAGATAAATCCGCAAATCGCCCTAAGCATACAGACTTAGCCAGTTTTATGCTCATATAAGATTGATGAAAATCTGAATTTTATTAAATTATTCCGAATTGTATCAAAATATGGAAAAAACGTTGTTCTCTTCCCTTCAATTTGACGTTCAAATTCAAATCACTTAATTATGTTGAATAGTCCCCAAGCAACAACCGTTTGAAATCCATGCAATCTTTAATAAACACCCTGTATAATATGTGAAGCCGTTTTTTGTGAACACTACTCCTGCTTTGGAAAAATAAGATATTAAATTACATGAATAACATTTCTCAAAACCTGTTTGACATTTGCGCCCCCCTCCTCCAGCAGCTGAGCAACTTCTGTCCAGGCTTGTAGCACCTCAGGATGTAGACCAGGACAGTGATATTCCCGAGGTATGCCTACTGTCAAACCACACAGGTTCAGCTGGTCTCCTAGCACCACCTGGGGCGACTCCTCAGTGACTGTGGTAGAGTCCAGCGGATCACAGCCAGATATCACATCTGTCACAAACAAATGTTGAAATTAAAATCCCATAGGCTAGTTCAATCTATTTTTTTTAAACACCTTCCATGGGCGTACCCAGAGAGGGGCAGGGGGGGCAGTTCCCCCCCCCCCCTAGAAGCCAGATAAGGTATAAAAAAATTGATATCCAAGAAAAATTGTATTAGTACGAGAAAATATGAGCAGGGTAGTTTACAGATTTTTTATAACATTTTTTGACACGTTATCAATTTTTCAATAGTTTCAGAGTTATTTCTTCAATAAAATAAAAATTCCAACAGTAGTAATAAACAGACCAATTTCTTGCAATATGTATAAACTAACAACTTTGTGGAGTATAATTAATTAATATAAACCTATTTTTTGTGACATTGTTTTGTTTTTATTTGCCTTCAACAATAATGTAACAAACAAAATTGCTCTGTGGCAGAATGTGAAGTTATCAGGCATTCTTCAAAATAGTTTACCATACATTTTGGGTGTTTTAAATGGATGTGAAAAGTTGGCATGGACACAAAAAATACAGATAAATGTGTATTGTAAAGCTAAGCAACCTGAACTGACCCCATTGACGGACATAAATCCACTTTACTTACTAAGACTTTATAAACACTGGCTTATCGAGCTAGTTTTGTTTTATTAATGTCTCAAAATAGCGTAAAAAACGCTAATTGTTTTTTAAAATTTCCCCCGGTGGGCCACCCCTAGCGGCCCCTGTTTTAAGTACACTCTTGCCCCCCCCCCCTTTAGTTTTGGTACTGGGTACGCCCTTGACACCTTCTATTATTACTTGTAGGTATACATAGAACTCTTAATAATATATTATGCTGGTCTTTAAGTATCCCTTTACCAATTAGCCTTCGGGTTAAGCAAATTTTAAGTTGCTCAATAACAGGAATTTTACACTTTAGGCCTAATTCACTCCCAAGTCATTATTGTTACAATGAATAAATTATGTTTGTGATGAAATCAATTAGGGAGTAATTATGAGTTGGAAAACAATGGTGCTAGCTTTAAAAACATATCGCTAAGTTAAGACAGCAAACTAAGAAATAGTGTTTTATCTTGTTTAGTTGGAAGCTGTCTATGTCTATGTGTTTGAACATTGTGTCTTACTAAGGACATTTGCTGCATCAGACACAGATCTAGTGAGGATCCCAGGGACATCCATGGAGTTGACAAGAGGGATGAGACCGTGACGAGACACTCGGCCATAGGTTGGCTTGAGGCCGACGATGCCGCAGTACGACGCAGGGTTGCGAGTCGAGCCTCCCGTGTCAGAGCCTAAGGCACTGAAGCAGACTGTTGCTAAAATGAAGCCAATTGTTATCTGTAATTTTGTAAAGCAAGTTCAAGAGTACGGTAGGTAGTATGATAAATAGGGATGGTCAAGTCTAGAAATTTCGGGAAATTTTCGGGAAATTTTAAATCGAGGCGAGTTAGCGTAGCGAACGAGCTAACCTGAAGGCAAGTGAGCGCAGCGAACGAGCTCCAACCTAAAGGTGAGTGAGCGTAGCGAACGAGCTCCAACCTAAAGGTGAGTGAGCGTAGCGAACGAGCTAACCTGAAGGCAATTGAGCGCAGCGAACGAGCTCCAACCTAAAGGTGAGTGAGCGTAGCGAACGAGCTCCAACCTAAAGGTGAGTGAGCGTAGCGAACAAACTTCAACCAGGACGTGATTGAGCAATGCGAACGAGATAATCTTGAAAAGAAGTTAAGAAGCTAAACGGGGCAAAGCCCGCGGGTTACAGCTAGTTTTAGGATAAGTTGAACTCTATCCTAACTGATATCACTATGTTTCCTAATCGTAGGCATTTTTAATAAGTTAGGCGTGATTAATAAAAAAATGTTATGCTGATGTTTTTTAATAAAAGATTGTAAATATTCTTGCCTATTATCATTATTTTTGTATTTAAACAGTAATCTAACAATGTTACAAAATCAGGTAAAAATTGTGAACGTGCATTTCCCGTTGTGTATGAGAAGGGAAATCCCGTCTCGATCTCGTCTCAAAATTTTATAAGAAATAAAAAATCTCGTCTCGTCTCGTCTCGAACTAAAAATCCAATCTCGTCCATCCCTAGTAAATTTGAAAGCGAGTGTTATATTTAATTGCAGTGGATAATAAATGAAATTGTTTTGCAAAAAAAGTGAAAAACAGTGATGAGGGTTCAGTAATTGGGAAAGATATATATGCAGTGATCTCAGGATACGACGATTATCACGATAAGGGGTGCCCACAGGGGGGTTTGATGTCGCATTTTGCGACATCAAGATTTTTTTTGGGGGGGATTTTGTTGTGCCCTTAAATATATTAAATTAAAACCCATTTTGTTAGAGCCACTTCTTTCATTGTATTTAATAACAAAATCCAAAACTTAAAAGTAAACATGAAACAATAATATATCAAACCAGATGACAAGCAAATAAACAAACTATTAATGTAGACCTCAGGACATCTCCCTCTTAAAGTTCTTCTATGAACCTCTTGGCAGGTTTAACAATTCTGGTAGGTCTGTGTATGGTTGAAGAATGATTATGTAGGTTGGATCTTGGTGTATGTGTCTGTCTTGGAGGAAGTGTCTGTGTATGGGGGTTTTCTTTATCAGGATTTTCTCTTTCTCCAGAGGAGAACATAGGGAATAAGAATTTTGCATTCCTGATATATCTTCCTCCCTTTTTTGTTTCAACGTTATATTTCCTGTTCTCTAACTTCTCCTTGATTACCCCTTCTTCTCTTCGGTCCGATACCCAAACTTTAGCGTTTTCTGGGTAATCCTTGACCTGGGTCACTCTATGTCTTTTATTGAACTGTTGTTCCTGTTTCCTCTTTTCTTCCATTTGTCTAAGTCTATATCTATTGTGATTTGGAGTGGCTGGAAGTAGAGTTGCTTTATTCACTGGTAGATTTGTTCTTAAAATCCGTCCCATTAATAGTTGTGATGGGCTATAACCACATTCCTTTGGCGTCGTATTGTATGCCAATAAGCCCAGATGTCTATCCTTACACTTCTTTAATATGTTTTTGAAGATTTTCACACCACTTTCAGCTTGACCATTGCACTGATGATGGTATGGTGAACTAGTTTCCACTGTGAAGTCGTATTCTGATTTGAATAGTTCCCATTCTTCTGATAGAAATTGCACACCTGAGTCTGATCTAATTGACTCGGGGATGCCATGCTTTTCAAACGATGTCTTCATTGATTTAATCAATATTGCCGTTGAACAGTTAGATACCTTATATACATCGATGTATTTGGAATAATAATCCATGAGAATTATGTATTTATCATTGTTGAATTCACAAAAATCTACTCCGATTTTCTGCCAGGGTCTTTCAGGAACCTCTGTAGGAATCATAGGATGGCGAGGAGGCACTCTGTCAGCAATGCATTGCGGGCAATAGGTTACTTTTTGTTCGATGTGATGATTAATTTTGGGCCACCATACTGACATTTTAGCCCTTTCTTTACATCTTTTAATACCTTGATGACCTTGATGAATATTATCTAACATTTCTTTTCTCAAGGATGGAGGAATCACTATTTGATTATTTCTCATAAGTATATCTTCATTGATCGACAATTCTGCTTGATGATCCCAGTATTCTTTTAATCTTTCATTTAATAGGTTCTTATTTTTAGGCCATCCTTGAATTGTAATATCTAACAATTCCTGTAATTCTTCTCTTTGATTTTTTATTATTACATCTAATTTATTAGATGATACTGGGATTGATTGAACTACTGTTCTTACACATGCTTCTGCTTCTTCTGCAAGTTTCTCAATATCTTCCTCTTCAGTTTTGTTGATTGGCGCTCTTGATAACGTGTCGGCAGTTGTTAATTGTTTTCCTGGTACCCACAATATGTCGTACGAATATCTCATTAATCTCATTTTAAATCTCTGAACTCTTAGCGGCAGTTCATCCAAACCCTTACTACTTAAAAGAGGAATCAGAGGTTTATGATCAGTTTGAATTTGAAACTTCAATCCTGTTATAAAATTTTTGAAACGTTCACATGCCCATACTATTGCATAAGCCTCCTTTTCAATTTGTGCATATTTCTGTTGAGTCGGTGTTAAGCTCTTTGATGCGTAGGCCACAGGTTTTAAATGTCCTTGATGTTCTTGCAAAAGTGTTGCACCCAAACCATAAGCTGATGAATCGGCCGAAATTATAGTTCTCCTTTTCAAATTGAATGGTATTAAGGCAGGAGTTGTTTGTAAACTCTTTAAGGCTGTTTTAAATGATTGTTCTTGACTAGGACCCCAAACAAAAGCCCTATCTTTTTTAAGTAGTTCCCTCAGTGGTTGAACGATATCAGCAAGGTTTTCTATGAATTTTCCGACATGATTCAACATCCCTAGAAATCTCCTAACACTTCCCACATCACTGGGTGTGGGGAAATCGATTATTGCTTGTAAGTGTTTGGGATCTGCTTGAATCATACCAGAAGAAATAATGTGACCTAAGAATGAAATCTTTGTTTTTCCTATTTCACACTTGTCATTTAAGGTAACTCCTTCTTTTTCCAATTCTTGTAACACTCGGTCTAGTCTGCTGTCATGCTCGGGTTTACTTTCTCCGGTAATTAAAATATCATCCATATAACACAAAATTCCTGGGATGTCTCCAATAATACTTTTCATCCTGTTACAAAATATTTCCGGGGCTGTTGAAATTCCGAAGGGAAGTCTTTTAAAACAAAATCTACCAAATGGTGTTATAAATGTTGTCAATTTTGAGGAACCCTCATCTAGCGGTATTTGCCAAAACCCCGAATTAGCATCTAATTTTGAATACCATTTGGAATTCCCTAGACATCCAAGTAAGTCCTCAACAGTATTAAAAACGTTATTTTCTCTCTGTAAATGGTTGTTTAAAGCTGAAGGATCAATGCATATTCTTACACTGCCATTAGGTTTAGGTCTTACCACCATTGGATGACACCACTCCGTAGGTCCGCAAACTTCTTCAATGATTCCCGCTTCTACCATTCTTTTAAGTTCATTTTTCACTTTTTCTCTTAATGGAATAGGTATGTTTCTAGGAGTTTTTAACTCCATTGGTACCGCATTTTGTTTCAGTTTAAGTTGAGCTCCTTTCTTCATCTTACCAATCCCATTAAATAAACTTGGATATTTATTCTTGATCTTCTGTAGGTCTGTGTTGATATTCTGGTTGCTACAATATTCACTTGACTGAATGTCATTTTTAACTCCTCTGATGACCCTTAAGAACCCTAGGGCTGAGATGCATGGTTTCCCAATCAATGCTTCCTCTTGACCATTGATCACATATATTGTTTGACGAGTTGTTTTATTCTTATACTGAATTACACCTTCAAATTTACCTAAAACTGTTAAATACTTCCCCCCAGGTGTTTTTAAAACAATGTTTGATTTAGTCAATAATTTGTTTCTAGCCATTCTTGGAGGCACAATCGTCACGTCGGCTCCACTGTCAATCTTGAAATGTTCCAATTTCCCATCAAGTTTTACATCAATTTCAAATTCATTCTGTTTATTGTAGTTCCTTGTTGTCGCTCTTATTTTCTTAACTTCAGCTCTGTTAATGTAATACCCGTCCTCGCTTCTATTATCCTGTTCCAATCTGTTCTCGGTATTTTCCTGAATTTGATTCAGGGTTGGGTTTCTGTATTTATTGTTCTGCCTCTTTTTACAACATCGGCTGAAGTGTCCTTGCAATCCACAGTAGTAGCATTCAATATTCTGAGCAGGACATTCCTCCTTAGGATGCCTCTGTCCTCCACAGTAAAAACAATTAGAAGTAAATTGTCTTTTGTTTTGTTTCAAGTTCGGATGTTTTTTCACTTGGTCTATTTCTGCAAAATCTTGTTCTCTTGATCTGTTAACAGTAATTTGTTGGTTCTTTATAATTTCACTTTGTTTCAATCTATTTATTGTTTCATGCAATGTTAGGTCAGCCATCAGTTGAAGTTCCTTAGATAACTTTGAATCTGTTATTCCAACAATGAGTTTATCCCTAATAAGGCTGTCTTTCATGTCTTTGTAATCACATGAAGAAGCTAATTGATGTACATCTGTTATAAAATCGGATATCGGTTCATTTTGCTTTTGTACTCGTTGATTGAATTTCGCTCTCTCATAGGTCAAATTCACCCTTGGTGTAAAATACTTATTAAGTTTTTCCACCACTTTATCATAAGTCTTTTCATCTTCTTCTGTTACTCCTGCTGCTATTAATACATTTTCTGCATTATCACCCATGGATATTATAAGGAAATTTACTTGCTTTTCTCCA